ATCTCTGCAGTTACATATTTTATCAAATTTGTTTATAAATCTGGATACTCAGATAAAATTGGTCAAATTTTATATAGCATATATTGATTATTTCAATTGAGTAAAAAAAAAATAAATAAATAAATAAATGAAGAATTGAAATGGGACATTGAAGACGAAATTCTAGGTTACAATCGTAGGTTCGTTTTCAATCAACATAAAACAAATTGCCAACAAAATAATGCTCAGTTTAGCAATTGAGTTCTTATAATATGAATTTCTTCATTTCTCCATCTCTCAGACAACGATTATATAAAAAATTATCCGCAACATTCTTTTCATTTTTACATTATTTAACTTTTTTTTACTGTGAAAGTTTGAATGATCAATTCAAATTTAATTTTCTTTTAAAGATATAATAAGATACAATAGATACAATAAGCCACAGACGGATCAACGAGTGGGGTAGGGATTCAGCCCGAAAGGCAAAATGATACAATGTAATTGTACCATGTTTTATTGAAAAATATTATCTGTTAAAATATTATTGTTCGTTTAATTACATTTAATACAAGAATCACTTCAACACCATTTCATATAGGAATTTTATTTATTTATTCCTCCCTTCCTTGCCTTTCGACTACACGGGATTTTGCAGAGATGGCATATCACATACGTGCATACCATGCCTGATATTAAACGACAAATACATCATCAATTTTGTTTTGTTATTTCAAAAACTCTTCTTTTTCATTATTATTATTCATTATTCTCATTTTTATCATAATAGTCTGGCGGCCTTCTATTAGCAGGTCCTCTTCTTCCCAGTTTAAAGTATAAGGGTCCCGGAGCAGCTTTCCAGCTGTACACAGGTCAAACAAATCTTTCCACCTGTACACAAATCTTTGTAATACCAGTAATTCTGCTTGGTCACTAACTGGGGAAATTCATCCTCCGTGAGGCCATAGACTCCAATTTTTCTCATAATTTCAGCCCTTAGTCCATCAAAGACCGGTGCAGTTGACTATGACGTGCTCAGCCAGAGGAGGTAGTTAGTATCTTTATTTTTTTCCAAAAGTAATTATTGTTTTGTATATATATATATATATATATATATATATATATATATATATATATATATATATATATATATATATATATATATATATATATATTTATTTATTTATTTATATGTGTGTGTGTGTGTGTTTGTGTGTGTGTGTGTGTGGAAATAAAAGGCTTTCGTGTTGGAGCCCTCAACCCTTCTTCCCAAATTAAATCCTGGATCCACCAGTGATACAAGCCTTATGTATATTTAAAAATAAGGCTATGCTATAAATAAGGAATGCTTTTAGGGATACGTTTTTTTTTCTTGAAACGTTCTTAAATTTATTTATTCTACTTCATATTAAGCGAAGAAGCAAATCAATTAGCACTGGAGCCAGGGCCCAAAAATCGACCTGATCGCAGGCGAAGGTTTGAATGTAAATTACGAAAGTGTATGTTATTCTGAGTAAAATGGACCTTGCCTGCTATTCCAGAACCGCTGCTTTCAAAAATGGCTGCTGATTTAATTAATATTAGGCCAGTAAATTGAGGATCGAAACGAGAAATCTATTGCGAAAAATGTGAGAAACGTTTCTATTTTTTAACTTATATATATGGGTTTAGACATGACAAAAACAAAATTGATAACGCGGTCCACCAAGAGAAAACTTTTTAAGGCCTTTTTAAATCCTAAACGATGCATCAAAACAAAAAATGTATTCTTTAATAGATTAAAGAACGTTAAATTGTGCGTCGAAGAAGTACATAGACTTAATAAATTGATTACGTGGTAAGGTATAAAACCACGGCCAAACAACGCCGATTTTTACCAAATTTGTCAAAAACCGAGGTAAATTACTATAAATGGTCCTGTAACTTTGGAATGGCCTCCTTTAGAGGAAAAATCCATGGAATCATAGTTGTAGAGCATCAAATTTTGCGTCCACTGTATACCAACTATTTCAATGTAGATTACTTACTCTGAAGAAAATCGGTAATCTCTCGATGGTTAGAAATTGGTAATGAAGGTATACGTGATTTTCAATATTTCAACAGCATGGGTGTCTATTTACTGAGCTATTTTTGTTTAGAGTCTGTTACATGCAGTATAACCACTACTCAGCAGCCTAAGGATTTTGATAAGCGATGTGTCTAAAGATACCGAATTTCATAAAGGAATAACAAATTCCGATTTGAGACATATAATTGGCCTTCAATAAAAATGTCATTACTCAGTGAACACAAAATTTGAATCTGTACAATTTTGATTCTATTGGTTTTTCCTCTTAGAGAACTCATTTCCAAGTTACAGAACCACTTACAGTAATCTGTCTCAGTTTTTGACAAATTCGGTACAATTCAGGTTTTATACCTTACCACGTAACCAATTTATTAAGCTTATATACTCTTTCGACGCACAATTTAAGCTTCCTAAATTTATTAAAGATTACACTTTTCGCTTCAATGCCTCGTGCAGGAGTTATAAGTGAAAAACTAAAAAAAAAGTCGAAAAAATCCTACTTTTTGTCTGTAAATAGTTTTTCCTTGGTGGCTCGCATTAGCAATTTTGTTTTTTTACAAGTCTAAACCCATATACGGAAGTTAAAAAATAAAAACTTTTCTCACGTTTTTCGCAATGGATTTCTCGTTTCAATCCTCAAGTTACTGGCCTAATATTCTTTAAATCAGCCGTTATTTTTGAAAGCAGCGGCTCTGGAATGGCAGACGTTCATTTTAATCAGAATAACATACACGTTCATAATTTACAATCAAACTTTCACCTGCGATCAGAACGATTTTTGGGCCCTGCCTTCAGGGATATGTGGTATCTAGCCATAACTAGTTAAGTCGAAAAATGGTCCTCAAGAGTTCCGTAAATTGAGATCTTCTTCCAAGCCTTCTAAAATCTATGAAGAACTTGGTAAGTCACTGTGCAAAAATATTAAAAGTCGAAACGCAAACTGTAAATTTATTAACTTCTTCATGGTGATGAGAACGCTTGGAATATAATCCCAATTTACAGAAATCGTGAGGACCATTTTTTGACCTTTATATTTGTTCTCTCCTTTTAGGCTACAGGGTTTGCCCGAACCAAGAGGCGAGGGCGGGGGAATAATGCCAGAAGCCCTGTTAATGTTAAAAACAAGGGGATTAATGTTAAAAGCCTTCCTTGGCACCGGGACGCGAACTCTTTATTATTTTATCAAATTATCTTCTATTCGGGTTGTCAGGCAACGCAGTGCTGTGCACACGCATTAGCCCGTTCGCTCGCCCCACCACCGATCATTTTTCGGCTTATGGCCGAATTAACTAGTTATGGCAAAGATCATAGAAACATAGACCAAAGAAAGAAATATATTCTTCTATTTTAGGAGGCTTCTATCCGAAAGCCCTACCTCTCCCTTGGGGATCCGCCAGTAAGTAAAATTAAACAAAGATTTCGTGAAGATAATTTTAAGTATCTAAATCACCACAAATTTTTATAACAGGAAAAATATCAACTGTATTATATGTATTTGTTTTATTTACTTTTTCGTGATAGATGTGAGGCTTGAAATAATTATTTTCCACATATTCTGGTCTATTCTTCCTAACACATAGATAAATGCACGTTCCTAAAATCTTGATCCCACTTGTATCTTATCAATTTGTTATATTTATCTATTTTTTTACTAACGCTGATAACAAATAGGTTTTATGATCTTTCAATCTCAATGAAAACAACAGCCAAAATCCTAATTTGGTTTGAAAGGCCGTGATAACTGAAATTATTAGTTTTCAGAACAATGGGAACCAATATATCAACCTAAATTTGGATTAAAATAATGGTTGCAAAGAAGACTGTGGTATAGTGAGTGATTCCTGTTTAACTGGTTGTTGTGACAGGTAGACTGTAGTTTTGATATAATCGTTGCCTATTGCAACAAATAACTAGTTTATTTATTTCTACATCTCTTTTTTATGTTATTGAGCCTATTGAAGAGCACGTAATTTGAAAGGAAAGCAATGTTGATCTAATAGATAAAACTCCTACAAAGATACTGAAACATTGATAGAAGTATCGTGTGATAGCTGATACTTTCCAAAAAGTTGTGATATTACAGATTGTATATTCCTCAACAAGATAGGGGACAGAATTAAGCAATTTGCTGACTCATTTAGACTTACACATCTTCCTGTGATAAGTAAGGTTCTGAAGAACGAATTTATGATCATTTCTCGATTTACAAGACAGCCTTGTAAATATGGTTCCTCCAGAGGCAGAACAACTTAAGTCCTTCTGCGAGTGCGCAGATATGTTAAGAGGGCGGAGCGATATGTGATGCTACTGATCTTTCTCATAGCTTCGACAGCGTCTGTTCTGTTAGTCATGCGTACTCCAGTTGCCACATAGGTACGATGGTCTCAGCAACTTATAGTCTCAGCGCTTTCCTTCCCGAATGCCCTCTCGAAAACAAGAACTTACCTCTAGGGGAGGCATGCAAAGATTAGAGGCACTTAATGTCAGATTTTAGTTCCAAACCATAGAAGCTTGTTTCCGATGAATTACTGAGAAAATTAAAATATGAAATGATTCCCTTCCACTAACTAATCTGACGGCCTAAGCCACTAGCTGATTCAGGATTTAATTTTTTTTTTGGGGGGGGGGCTTCAGCCCGAATGCTTTTTTTTTCATAAAAATTACGATAATTACTTTGGATAAAAAGAAACAAACTAACTATCTATATGAAATGGTGTTTAACTGATTCCTTTAGTTCTCTTAAATGTAATTATACGAACAATAATACTTTAAGAGATAATTTTTTAATATATTTTTCCATAAAACATGGTTATATTTTACCATTTTGGGGGGAGGACTTCAGCTCCTAGCAGTTAAACTGTTAAAAGCATGATCTAAAAGATATAATAAGCAATGAACTTCAAATGACTATGTCATTTTCTAGTAATGTCACTGTTTATATTTTTGTTGACAGATATAAAAAGGCAAAGAGTGAAAATGAGAAAACATCCAATTTCTGTGAGTCCAATGAAATCTCCTGGCCGATGAAGGAAGTCAACATCGTCTTTAGTTACTTCTCTTCTTTGTACACATTCTTAGCCTTCTGCACAGCCTGCTCCTTGGTACCATGGATCTCTCTGACATATTTAGGTATGTTTCATTGGTTTTAAGTTGAGAAATGAGAATAAAATTAATACAAATTAAGATTAAAATTTATTAATTCTCAGTAATGAGAGGAATGAGGCACACATGGAACAGGTGGCTGGAAGGAAAGTATCCTGGTTTGGAATTTGTTATCAACACAACTGCAAGAACTGCTGTAGACACCCCCAGAAACCAAGGTCTCATCTGCCTTCTCTTGTCAGTACAGGGTAACTGTCAGATCCAGCTTATCAAGAATCGTGTAAAGGTATATCAGAAAAATAAGGTTCTTACTGCCTAAATCTATTTTGGATGTACATCTCAATCTTTTTCAAAATCAGATCATGTATCTGATTATTATCAATATTTATGACTTGGCTTAACATATTAAAAATTTCTTTTTGGCAAATAAAATCAAAATATCTTCTAAAATCCAAATTTATATACCTACATTTTTATGAAATCTTGTTTATTTCAAACAATATATAGTACATTATTAAAATTAGGGTTTTTTTTTTTTTTCTGCAAAGCTTAGGATTAATGTGCTCCTTTGTAATGATTTTTACAAATATATTTTCAGGAAGATATTCTGGAAAGAAGGCAGGGAGGTAAACTAGTTTTCCCTCATTTGAGAACACAGTTGACATCAAGGTGGGGTAGCTATGCTTGGGTAAAAGGATCAGAAAAAGAATTCTGCTTGGACGACCATATTCTCCTCGCTCCTACCACTTTCAAAGGCCGTCCAATAAGCAATCTGAATATTCAGGTAAATATTCCAGTTTTTTTTTAAGGAGTTCTGTGAGCCAGGACTTCCTTTATAAACTATTGATTTTATTTACTTGGTAAATGCTAGAGACCATGTAATAAATGTGCACAGTATTCATAGTGTGTCCTTACTTTAAGATTTCTTTAGAGTTTTCATAGGTGATAAATAGTAAGGATGCAATGTTCCTAAGGTTTTTATTGGTGCCGACGTTTCAACCCAAGCATGTGGGTCATCATTAGGGCCTGTTTCGAACACTGAAGATATTCAAGTCTGAGATTAAATTTTTCAGTATATCTTTATTTATTTGTGAGTCTATTATTATTTTTCTTATAAAAAATTGCTGAGATTTTTTAAAGGAAAGATAGACCTTAAAAAAAAAATCCTTTAAAAAATATAATCTTTTATGGTTGTCAACTACCGCCGATTCTACTCATCTATACTATCCTCCCGGATGATCTTCCATTTCCTTGGGTCTTCAGCTATTCTTTTAAATGTCATTTTCATTGAGTCCTCTTGCAGGATAAATACGAGAAGTATCCTGCTTCGGTATGGCTTTGTGATGTGCAAAAGAGTAGTATGTTAAATTGTCACTAACCTGCATTTAGCCGTTGTGAGAGATTCTGGAACCAGAGAGGGGAGGCATCCCTCAGAATAACCAGTATTAATCCATTATAAATAGTCATTGTAAAACAAACAAAATGCATTTCCCAAGTGACTAAGGCCATTTAGGGCTAGGGCCACCCTATTTCCAAAGTAGTCCATATGAGGTGTCATATTAAATCCTCTTCCAAATCTTATACCAAGTGAGCATTTCACTTGGACATATCCTCGTTCCCTGTATGCAAAGATTGATAGGATGTACCCTATCCGTCTTTTCTCTCACAAGGGTTGCCAGTGTCTTTGATGTAGCCACTTGTAGCTTCATCCTCTCCCACCATTATCCAACCAAGCGCTCTGTTCTGCTTCCTCCTTTACTCCGGCTCTGCTATTAGAGGCTACTAAGACCATCAAATCATCAGTGTAGGCCCCCCGCAGGGAACCGCTCTTTGAGCACACCCATCTTATCAAATACTAGCTTCCATAGAGTCGAACCAAGGACTGATCCTTGAGGGCTTTCTCTCTCTTTGGAAGCTTCAGTTTCATAAGAACTAACTTTGACCTTTACAAATCTGTCCTGGAGGTAGCTACTTAAGAGGGCATATAGATTGCTGGGCCATCATACTTCTGAAGGTGCTCCAAAACGCGCTATCAAAGGCACAGGATATATCAGAAAGCAGTAACTTAACATACCATTCCTTCTTTTCTACTTTCACTTCTCCTTTAAGTCCGTACGCACTTGAAGCAGGGCATCATCAGTTCTCTTTTCTATATTATTTTTCGTTTATTTTGATTTTTTAAAATTTTATATGTTATCTTTTAGGATATGACAAGTGATATGATTGCTAAACTTCTTCCTGGAGAGATCCCCCCATGGCAGATCTCAGTGATAACAGGCATCGACAAGTCCTACCTACTAGTCAGACTTCATCATCTATACATGAGTGAAGAAGGTCTTTCCCTATCTGATATTCTCAGTATTAAACAAACTACTTGGGAATCATCTCCAGTACTTGATGGTGTTTTCAGGCCACCTGTAGTCATACCTAGGGTGATTATAAATTATAATAATATTAATTGCTGTTTGCTTAAATCTAATTTGTATTTAAATTTGGATTAAGGGTGATGTATACAGCACAAACAAGCAGTTATAAATATATAAGATATATATATATTTATATATATATATGCTATTTATATAAACGTTTTATGCTCGAATGTTACATTGTAATTTTATGCTATTAATGAATTCTTTTAACTCCTTCTTGTAATATATATATATTACAAGAAGGAGTTAAAAGAATTCATTAATAGCATAAAATTACAATGTAACATTCGAGCATAAAACTTTTATTTAATAAACTTTTGAGAAAACCATTAAAAAATTAATTTTTTAGACTTAGTGTAGCTTATTAGACTTATTAGACATTATGTATTTTAGCCCTTATTTTGTAGATACTCAATTGCAGATTTATACGTTTTTTTCTTCTCCACATAATATTTGTATTTGTTTTTGCCTAATCGTATGTTTTGTTTTATTCGTTTATTTATTTATTATATTTTCTCTTTTTCAGTACATTTTGGTATTGTTCACTCATCTGATACTGTTATTTATTTTATTTAATCATCCATTGTTTAATTTTCTCTTTGTAATATATTTCAAGTACCATTCCTTTTAAGTATCTTTTTCCAACACATTTTGTAATAAGCTAAATCGTATATGTAAAAAAAAAGTTTAAATAACAATGTGATGCATATGATATGCTTTTGCATGGTGTATTCACATTTATAAGAAATATACGCCTCTTCTGTAAGGTTACTACTGTACAGAAAAAAAAATATATATATAAATATATACTAACATACTAACATACACATACTAAAATATACAATATTTTTTTATATTACATATATTACAATAACCATTATGCTTTCTAGGTCTATGCAGCATTATCTGAAAGCACATCAAACATGTGGAATGAAATCCTTGCTCAGTATGATCCAGCAGAAAAACCAGAAGTATTGAAACACCCAACGCTGAGATCCACATTTTATTTAGCACTTATTGTTATAATTTCAACAATAAAGTCTTATTTGTCTTCTTCGACTGTCAGTCTTACTGAAACGTTCAAGACCGAGTTATACAAACGAAGCTTTACACTCTCGCTAATTTCAAACAGTATTTACAATATCTTATCTCTAAATACTGTCTTCGAAATGTTCCTGATGTTTTTCAAATTGCCTTTAGAAGCTACAAAACTTCCTATCAGAGCGATTCATCTTGTTTTAGACACACCAGTAAGTTATCATTGATATTGTTACTTATATTTAGTTTTTAATTACTGAAAAACAAAAAGGAAGCAGTGCTTTATTGAATAATATTTTCTTTGTTAATATCAATATTTTGTTTCCATACTGAAGTCATTTTTGTTTTATTGTTTGTTCGTCAAATGCTCATTTTCCAAAAACCTTAATTTTTATAAAAGAAAAATATTCAGTTTTAACCTGCCAAGTCAAAACTTAAAGAATACTTACTTTTATACCATTTAAAATAAAATAATAATAATAATACTATTGAGCAACAAACTCAAATGCTGAATGTTGAAACCATATAAAAGAATATTGTTAAAATATTATTTTTATTTTAGCTGGCTTGTTCCTTATAGCACTTAAGGTTTATTTGTATTAGACTATTCATTAAGTTTTCTCTTTTAAAGTCAGAATTTATACAGATGTAAACAATTAACTTTTACAATTTGTAATAATTAGAAGTATGAAATAATGAGAATGTGAATGTTGCATTCTTTTAATGTTTCTCTTACTAGTCAGAAGTTTCTGGTAGCATTTCAGATACTTCTCAGTCTATGTATTTATTGCCAATATTGCAGTATTTACCTAACACACTGCTGTACCTCAAAAGCTTAGCCACTTATTAATACATGAATATGTTCATTAAAAATTATTTTTGTAGTTTTTAGTACAAATACAATTTTGAAGATATTATTTAGATTAAACTTGATAAAAATAATTTGGAAACATGAGATCAATAAGTTTTTTGAAATAAGGTTTGAGTCAAACTAATAAATTTATTCCCTATAGAGTCAAATTCATTCTATATTGAGATAAATTTATTCTATGTAGAGTCAAAATAATAAATATATTCTCGATTAATGAATAATAATGGAGATTACCCTAAATACTTTAACAGTTGAATATTACTTTGAAAGTAAACTGTTCAATGTTGGTATTAGTGCTTTTTTATCTTTTTCCTTTTACATATAAGAGGAATTTTTTCAGCAACACCTACTTAAATCCTAGATTATCTGAAATCAAAAGATATTCATTGATCCTTCCTTTCACCAAATTTTTCGAATTCTTTCAGTTACATTATGATACTATATTATTTAGTTGATATAAATAAATGTAATGAAAGTTTACTTTTATTCAAAAACATATCTGACTTTCTGTTAGCCTTAAGACATAACCATTACCCAAGGGCAAAACTATAACCCCTTAAGGCATATCTTATACAAGCAAGCCTTCACACTGTCTTCAAGGTGTGTGTCATGTAAGGGTCTCCTATATGATGCTCTTTACAGATTCACACATACAAGAGGACTCTTAAGTCATGAAACATACAGGTATTGTGGCTATCTGCAGCGATATCTAAAGTAGATATATTCAAAGAAGTAGCAGACAGCTAGCCGTAATGATGGCCAAACACATTGAGGAGTCCAAAGTGCCCAGTTCTGATTGTTCTTGGTTCAATTGCCTTCTGGGTCAGTTTATATTTATTTCTTGGCAATGCTGAGAACTGAATCTTGACTACATTTACACTCTACATTTCCTTTTTTTTTTGTTAAATAGCCCCTCACCCACCATTCATGGCACACGGAGGGCCTTGCTCTAGAGGTACAACCAAATCTATTCTAATCAGAGTGGGAGTGTTGAGTTTCATTCAGTGGACCCTCCACGAATTAAGAGTCAAACCCTCCTAGGCCGGATTCGAACCGGTGTCACTAGGCACGAGGATGCTAGAACGGGCAACGCTCCAACACACTCGGTCATCACAACCTCGAACACTCTCCATCAGGTAAGTATGAGGCGGCCATCTCAAGGTACCGGTCAGGGGTTGGTAAAGAGGACCTCAAATCCCACTTGCAAGACTAGTTCCTCCCACCAATTGTAATACCAATAGTATGGGAATATTGCACTGTAGGAATATTTATAATAAGATTATTTTGGCTTAAAACATTGGAGTGAGAGTCCCATAGAATTTGATTTGGAATAGTGTGGATTCCATTCTCTACTGGATCATTGAATCTGAATATTTTTGTGTTTCCTTGAAATAAATCTTTACGCTCCCACTCTGGTTAAGATGGTTTGCAAACCTTTTGTTAGCTATCAGTGATAAAATTACAATAGGCCAACTTGTATTGGATTAGTGTTTATGGCTTTCCAATTAATGGAAAATAACTGCTGATATTATTCAATAATAATAAGAATTTAATTGATGATTATTGGAAGATATGGCAAGAGTATGTCAAAGTGTGAAGAAACTCCCCTTTGGAGAAAACAAATTGTATAATATTAGTTTTATCCTATAAATTTTACAGTTTGTTGAATTAAGTATTGACAAATTACATCTTAATTCCACATGTTTGTATTGTGAATGTCCAAATTCTAATTTGAGGATAGAATTAGCACTTACTCCATTCATTTTCTATTTCTACAGAATCACCTGAATTTGATCATCTCATTGTTCCCTGATGCCTCGAGCAAAATGGATGTGAAGGAGGTAGTGAAACTAAATTCAAATAGCTTTTATGATTCAAGGCAGTCTTCGATTAAAGCTATTAGTATAAGGATTTTGAATAATTTCAATAACAGATTAAGCTAATATTATTTTATTGTTTCTTCTAGATTTATCTCTATTGGCTCTATTTGGGACATTATGTTTTACAAGAGTTAGTCTACCTCTTCAAAGTGTTTTATCGAGCTCCGAGAGTTTTATTTGAGGAGTTATTTCTTCCAGAGACACCGGCAAATGTCCATCAACTGCAAACATTGTCTGTATGTGGAAGGAAAGTAGTCAGTTGGTCTGAATCAGTGCCAAAGGATGTTATAAAACAGGTATACCATTTTAAATACCTATGTATTTCTTATAATGTTCAAAAATCTTAATTGATTTTACATTCATCTGTGTTAGCTCAATATTAGCTTCATTGCATCATTGATAAATTCAGTTGTTTAAAGAAGAAAAAATGACAATTTTTTATAGAAAGATAATACTCAATTTAATGCTTAATAATTATTCACTAATTAAACTATTTGGAAAATTTTGTCGAGGGTCAATGATTTAAGCTTATATTATTACTAAGTTTTTCATCATAATTTTGTAAATTTAAAAGTACTGATACAGACTGAGAAATTTATCAATATAAAAATAAATACAACAATAGTGACAATAAACATACAATGATTATTTTATTTAATATTCAAACACTGAAAAAAAAAAAAATATGTGTCAAAATATTTCCTGCCTCCAGTGGCTCTACAAGTACATTTTTTTAAAATATGCTCTTTGCAATTTTCTTTCTGCTCTATTATGCCCTTATGAAGTTTTTACTATTTAATGCTGAGGAAATATTTTTACTAAAGGAACCAATCTAGAAAAAACAAATTAAATACACTTTATTTTCTACTTAAAAATTTTTATTTCCTTGAGTATTCCAATAGAAGATCTGATTCTCTGGTTGGTAATTAGTAGTTGCTTTTGTTTCTCTAGCACAGGGTTGCTTGGAAGGGGGTTTTATGGCACTAGTTGCACCATTAAAATTTTTGAGAGGGGCATATTTTGATGTTTTTGAATTTTTGAGGGGACCACATTTCAACGGGGTTATGAATTTTCAGAATGAAAAGTTTCAAAATAAGGGACAAGGAGGATACATGGAACAGACCGCAGTAAGTGTAATTGCATATGATGTATGATTTTTCTAATTCTACCTTCGCTTACTCTATTTGTAAGAAGAGGTAAGGCAATAAAATATCTTGGGAGTGGGGTAGGTTAGCTTCTTGGGCCATTGACCATAGAGGGGATGGGCACCCCTGCTCTAGCATATTTATATAAAACAACTCCACTTGCTATAGCATCAACGCCATATGAAGCTAATGAATGTTAATTTGAATACTTTTAGAAAATTAATTAAATCATAGGAAAAATGTTTTAGTTTGTTACTTGGGTTCCCCTTTATTTAATAATATAGCTGAAAAAAGGGAAGGTAGTGGTTAATTTTATTTTTCATTAAATATTCTATGAAAATTGGAATACATTTTATTCCAAATATTCTCTCCTCTTTTATATATGCTTATTTTTAAGGGGAAAATGTTATAAATAAAATTAATTACTACACTTTAACAATAAAGATTATTTTATTTATAGCAGTAACAGTTTCATGATTTTAGATTGCCTATGCATCAGGTTCAACAGAGAGTGAAATATTGCTGACTGCACTTGCAGCTTCATTAAAGAGCTATTTTGAGGAAGCTGGATTCTCACTTCCAGACAGTGTCATGACAACGTGCCATTTCACAAAGAAAGGAAAAATTCCAGGTCCAGGTTCCGGTGGCTTCTTGTGCCTTCCTCTTCCCCTGACAGGATCCAACGTGCATGAGAGGTTAATAATTATTTACTATAACCAACAATTTCAAACCATTTCTTTTAACTTCAATTTTTATTTCTATATAAAAAATCTGGTGTGGTGCACACATTAAACCACTTTCACTTACCATCGTCTTAGCAGAAATAAGTATTTTCAGATAAAGGGGAATGAAAGTAAAAAATTATAGACGTTAAGAAACATTATTTCAAACAATTAATTACCCTATGTTTTTCATAGCAGTTTAATATATTATATTTATTTTGTTTGCCAATAGCTATTTCCTTTTACAACTGTATATTTTAATTATTTATTTCATTATAACAAATAATTAAGTGCCACAAAATATTTTTAGTCCAACAAAAGTGCCACTGATAAAGAAGGCCACTATGTTTATTGTAGGTATTTTTATTTGTTTAAGTACTGGCATATATACAAATTATAATTTTTGTATTGCTGTAATCTATACAATTAAATATTCAATAATACAAACAATAGCATTTGTGAAAACGCATATGTTTATTCAGTATCAGCCTTAGGGAGGGACAATCAGAGCAATAGCCCTGGGACATATTAAAATAATTAATTTTAGTCTATCAATAAAGCAACTGTATTAGAGAAATGTTGAATGAAATAAAATTCCTATATTACATAATATAAAGCTACGATTTTCCGCTATAGGCTTGGGAGATAATGCTGCCCTCTAAGCTATCACGAGGAAGTTCTTTAAAATTTATTTTACAATATTTTTACCCTGAATTGAAATAGTTTAGCCTGTTATTTCTTGCATCATACATTTATTTGTTCCACAATTTGTGTGCATTTTACTTTTTTTTTTTTCATTAGGGAAACTTTGGTTCTTGTACTTTTAATAATTTCAAATTTGTTTAAATCTAATAATACAATTTTACTCAAATTTTGCAGCTCTCTAAACACTGCCATCCCATACAAGTGCTTAGTCTGTCTTTGCATAAATCCAACACTGGACGAAACTTATTAAAACAACGTATGGTTTTGAGATTCATTTTGACCATAACTTCTGAGTGACATCAATGCTCTTAAACTAATTTGAAGAAAGATTAAATTTCCATCAAATATTATTAAAGAAGATCTAAGCTCTTCATCCATTACAATTTTAAAATTCAAAATGAATAATTGAATAATGAAAATATAAAGATGACTTCCTGAAGCATCTTAAGGCAGCGCACCTTGTTAGCTAAACTATTCAAGTTTCCAAAATTTAGAAACAGATAGCATTGTAATTAATGAAACCACCTTTTGAGGAAAACTGCCTGATTTGTATGAGGGAATCTATATTCAGTAGTAATTTAATTTTTACAGTTATCGTACTGCATTGGATGGTGCTACTACTGTATAATTTTAAGTGCTATTAGAATTTTCTCTCAAACTATAAGTTGTTATTAATCTAATTAGTGTACTTCTCACAACAAATATCCCAAACTATTTAGTGTGAAACATTCTTAAACTAAATAAATAGTTACTCCATCACTATTAATAATAATGAGGAAATTTCCTGAAGTAGCTTCAAGAGAATAATTTGATTTTGGAACTTTTATCTAAATGGGATTCGTGAGTGAAACATACTTTTTATATTTTTAAGAGACCTGTCAAATTTGAATAGAAGGATATGATTATTTATACAATAAGATTTTCGGTGAATTAGATAGGATAGGTATTAAGAGATTGATGATTATTTCAAAATAGCAATAATTCCAAAAATACTGATATTTACACAATTTATTTTTTAACTAATCAACTACTTATTTGAAATATATAAGAAGGAGTTGGTTGGAGGGTGTGTTCAAATAAAACACTAAATTTTTGAAAATATTATTTTTAATTGTTACATCAATATTTCGACCCACCTTGCAGGTCTTCATCAGGTTATGGAATGTGGCACTGCAGGAATCAGTTGATAGACTGGCAGTTGAAACAGGTCTAGTATACATACATGCATGAAACACATACATATTAATGAAACTAAATGCCGCATTCTTCCTGCCACTTGTTTTGTCTTTAGACAAAAAATACTCTGGGACCAGGAGTTCCGTCCTTGAATTTCCAAATACCTTACTGATGCATCCGAGAGGTATTCATTACTAAACTTTTTTTTTTTTGGTTCTTCCCTACCTCGCCGTTTAGGCTATTCGGGTTTTCCCCGGGCTGGAGGGTGAGGGCGGGGAATTTAAAATCCCCTCCGACACCGGGACGCGAACTCGTACTTATTCATATATCTTCAACTTCATAAATCTGGTTGCCAGGCAACTCGCGGTACTGTGTACACGCTTTAGCCCATTCGGCCACCCCGCCCCCATTCATTACTAAACATGTACTAATAATAAAATTGATGTATGTATGTGTACCAGACCTGTTTCAACTGCCAGTCTATCAACTGCTTCCCTCAGTGCCACGCCCTGATGAAGACTGCACGGCGGGTCGAAATGGTGGCATAACAATTAAAAATACTATTTTTTAAAAATTTAGTATTTATTTGACCAACCCCCTTCCCCCCAACTCTTTCTTATATTTTATCATGGTCAACCATCTTTACATCATTATTTGAAATATAATTGATTATTTTTTACTATACCATTTATTTCCAGCCCAGTATATATCAGTAAGTCATTTATTAAATTTCTGTTGTATATTAAGTACAATCTTTTTTTTCTTTAGTAAAATCATGTTTATTTTTTTTATTTTAGCCTTGAAGAGATGAAAAAATCCTTATTTAAGTCAAAGAAGTCACAGACAGTGTTTTATTTGGCTAGTGAAAGAGGCCTCGACTCAAGCTTTCTACTTAGCCTGCTACCAACATTATTCGCAAAAGCTGCTCTTTATCTGTTATCAAGGAGGTATGCAGTGTCTGTTTCTTTGGTCGAAGGGACTCCAGATTGTACGCTCCTTTGGGGGCAGCATGTTGACGAGCTCATGTATTGGAGACCAGCTCAGGCCAATGTCTGTAAGTGAACCTAGTATTATATAGAATTAGCTTAGTTATTGTAGAACCCAATAAATAAACTTGAAATTCCTTCTAACAATATGTAAGCAATTAATATTGGTTTATTTAGCAATTAAGATTGGTTTATTTAATCATGATGAAGAAATGTATAATAAAATATTAAGGGCTTATAAAATATAAGGAGGAATGAAAGCTTACATAAATCACTAACAGGAAATTAAGAAAACAACATGGACAAATACTCGGATTCACTGGACTTCCCCAAAGGCTATCTGATAGGTAAAGAAGTTCAAAACTCCAGACAAGTAGGAAATATAAATACGGAAGCATTGTAACCTGATTTGAATTTTTATAGTCACCAACGATTTTAATTATTTTTAATTTATTGAGCTATTAAACTTTCTTTTAGTAACCTACAATGATTTCAAGTCAGTTCAATTGCTACAATAGTCATTTCAAGTGCTTATACATGCCTTATTCTTCAGAAATGTTTATTTTGAAAGATGTGCATCATAGTTGAAAAGATAATGAAATTAAAATAACACTTTCAACAAAATTGTATAATGATTAACACCTTGACTGCCCATCATTATTTTAATATGCATGTATATGCACTTGAAATGACCATTGTAGCAATTAAACTGACTTGAAATCATTGTAGGTTACTAAAAGAAAGTTTAATAGCTCAATAAATTAAAAAAAATTCAAATCAGGTTACAATGCTTCCATATTTATATTTCTTACTTGTCTGGGGTTTTGAACTTCTTTACTTATCAGATAGCCTTTGGGGAAGTCATTCAAATTGACATCTTTAAGGTCATACTTCCACAGTGAATCCGAGTATTTGTCCATGTTGTTTTCTTAATTTCCTGTTAGTGATTTATGTAAGCTTTAATTCCTCCTTATATTTTATAAGCCCTTAATATTTCATAATACATTTGATCATTATTAAATAAACCAATATTAATTGCTAAATAAACCAATATTAATTGCTTACATATTGTTAGAAGGAATTTCAAGTTTATTTATTGGATTCTACAATAACTAAGCTAATTCTATCTTGTAGTTTGTTTAGTTGACTTATTTTTGCAGCTACAATAAAATTCTTCATAATGATTTTTGATGATTATTATATATTAAACTTAGTTTTTAATAATATATCATTATATTAAATTGGCTTTTTACTCATGGCATTTAACATGTTAAATGTTATTATTTGTTAATTACACTATTATTTAGTTATTTGTATTTTATTGCAGGTTTGTCTTTAACATTAATCTGCTACAGTGACTCAGTCACTCTTGGAGTAATGGCTGATGCCCAACTTTCCCCACATCATGCTGATTTATCAGTGTATTTCCCGAAATACATACGCAACCTCGCATCTTCACATGGTATTCCATTTCCTGGACCATCACAACCTCAGTAAGGAATGATTAATAGTTGATATTTTGAAAAAATGTGTGTAATAATTTTTTATCCTTCTAGCGTTATTGAATGTAATGCAATGTAAGATGTAATAAACAACAGGACTTGTTAGTTTTGTTTAACTTAGTGTTCAATCATGTAACTATAACACGTTAATAAAACAAAAACACGAGTGATGTTTTAATGAAATCACTCAAAATTTGTGATATATTTGTAAATATTTTACTGTAAGCAGGACTGTTATTTTATATAAAGATAATTTATTTTTTTAACCAAGTTGGTAGAGAAAAATATCCTTTTATGAAATTTAATTGTACAGATAAATTTTAATTATGTAAAATAAATTATTTTTTATTTATAAACATGTATTAACTCACTGAACCTGTTCAACTTTCGGAAATGAATTTTAATATATTTTTAAAAATAAATTAGGATATACATTCTATTTACTCATTCTAGAGTTCAAACAAGGTTAATCTCCTTCCAACACAAGTCTAACCTAATGAGTAGCCGAACATCCCGGGGTGCGATTATGGACCTCGACCATTTTTTGGTGATATCCAAGATTAAAGCAAGGATTTTCATCAGCCATGAAGCAAGAAATGGCAGAAGCAGAAGGATAGATGCTGACAAACTCAAGGTTCCAGAGGTGAGTATAAGATTCCAGGAGCAGGTCAGAGAAGAGATAAGCCAGGCATACCGGTTATTGGAGGAAGGTTCGAGCGTTGATGAAGAATGGTTGGTCTTGAAGGGACCCATTAAGAAACCTGCCAAAGATGTAGCAGGAGAGACGAGAGAAGGATGGTTCGACGAAGAATGCTGAAAGGTCGCAGGAACAAAAACGAAGCATACAGAGGAGGTATACCAGGAAGGCAACAGAGGAATGTAGAAGGGAGGAGAAAAGAGTGCACCGAGGAAAGAAAAAACCAGAGAGAGGATAAAGATGGGATATTTCTAAACAAGAAAGAAGAGATGCTGGAAAGATGGGCCGGTTATTTCGAAGGACTTCTAAATGAGAGAAATGAAACAACAGCCCTAGATGAAAGAAGTCATACCGGAGAGGAAATAGAAGATCTTGAAGCTCCTCCAGATCCAGAAGAGGTGATTGAGGCTGTTGGTCGATTGAAGATTCATAAGTGCACAGGACCGGATGAGATACCTGCAATACCTGATAAACTCCTCAAGTATGGTGGAGAAGAACTGCATAAGGAGCTATAATCTAATTCTCCGAGTATGGAATGATGAGGGGTGGAAGGAAGGGTACAATATGTCCAATCCATAAGAAAGGGGACTGCACAATATGTTCAAATTATCGAGGGATTTCTCTGGCATGTATAAAGACAAAGTCCTGTCTGTTATCTTACACAAATGGTTAGGGATTATGAGATGGGTTTTAGAAAAGGAAGGTCCACTATTGACCAAGTGTTCGCTTTGAGAATGATAATGGAAAAAGGAATAGAGTACCGATTGCCAACCTACCATTTATTCCTGGATTTCAAGAATGCTTATGATAGCACTAACCGATCAAATCTATATGGAGCTCTGGTTGACCTGGGGATCTCTCAAAAACTGACCAGACTGGTAAAGATGACCATGAAAGGAATCTGCAGCACGATCAAAGTTCAGGGAGTTTTGGACGGGGAAAGGTCTACGCCAAAGAGATGGATTGGCATGCCTGCTGTTTATACTGGCCCTGGAAAAGGCAGCTCGAGATTCAGGTATACAGACCTTGGTAACTAGGGGGCAGAGAGGCCGAATGGGCTAAAGCTTGTGCACAGCACCGCGAGTTGCCCAGCAACCAGATATATGAAGTTTTGAGAGACAAGAAAAGTACGAGTTCGTGTCCCGGTGCCAGAGGGGATTTTGAAAATTCCTTCCCCTCACCCTCCGGCCCGGGAAAATCCCGTATAGCCTAAACGATGAGGTATGGAAGAACAAAAAAAAAAAAAAATCTTGGTAACTATTATTCATCGAAGCTTACAGCTATTGGCCTTTGTGGACGATGTGGACATAGTGGCGAGATCAAGGAAAGCTATGTAGGACGCCTTTCTTGCTATTCAGTCGGCAGCGCTGAATATTGGACTAGAAATCAATGAGACCAAAACCAAATATATGCTGGTAATCGGTGAAAATAAACTAGTGAACCCTTCCAGCTCTAACAAGAGGAAATTTCTCCTTTGGAAGGATCCCAAATTTTGTGTAACTGGGAACGCTTGTTACCTCTTCAAACAACGTGGCCCTCGAAATGAGCCGGCGGACCACGGCAGCCAACCAGTTTTGGGCTTAAAAGGCTGAAGAGCCGCCAGCTCACCAGAGAGACCAAAGTACAGCTCTATACAAGACACTGATGAGACAGGTTCTTACCTATGCTTCACAAACCTGCACACTAACTAAGGCAGATGAGAAAAGTCTCTTAATTTTTGAAAGAAACATATATGGCTCTGTTAGAGAAGGTGAAGCATGGAGAAGGAGGAACCATGAACTCTACAGCTTGTACGGAGACATTGACGTAGTATAGTTCATAGCAGGGTGTTTGATCTACCAGATTATTTTTATGAAATGCTTTGGCCTTTCCAAGTCATCAAAGTTGTCATTAAAGAACATAACATAATTTTACGTAATATTTCATTTTGATATATATATATATATATATATATATATATATATATATATATATATATATTATATATATTATGTTATGTTCTTTAATGACAACTTTGATGCAATAAGATATCTAATAAAAATTAAACAGATTCTGTTCGGCACACAAATAAAAAGATCGAAGTAGCCAATCCCACCATTGTAAACAAGTTGATACTTTTATTAAGGATGAAAAATAATTAAGATATAGAGTCAATAATAATGTTTATTAAGTTTGCAGTCATTTCAACCCAAACATGTGGGTCATCATCAGTGATTAAAATTAAAAAAATACAATATTACATCAGAAAAATGATAAATAAAGATGATATACGTACACATGAGATAACAACGATACACACATAAAAGCAATAGAAATATAGTAATGTACTAAGTAAATGTTTTTGTAATATAAATACATGAAAAACATAAGTTGTAAAAATAAATTAATCACATAATTAGTATAAATAAAACAATGTATAGAAATAAAAATGAACCAACATAAATAGTTTCTTAACAATTATTAGTCATTCATTGTGTGTGTATATATATATATATATATCTTCTTTTTTTTGGTTGGCTCTACAGACCTTGTAGATCTTTGGCCGCCTAAATCAGCCTTCTCCACATCTGACTATCTTGGGCTACTGCTTTCCAGTTTGCGGCATGAAGCTCAGCCGTATCTTTGTTTATCCTATCTATCCATCTGGTTTTTGTCCTCCCACATGGTCTCTTGGCTACTACTCTGGCATTCATTGTTGTGTAAAGGCAATGATGGATTGCTACAAGCTACATGCCTCGCCCATCTTAACCTCCTTGTCTTCATGTCATGAGATATTGACTGACCCATTTTCTTTCAGTAGTTCTTTATTGTTCCTTCTCCTCCATGTATCAAGGTTCTGGTCCCATATAGGTCCTGTTATCCTACATAGAACTTTTCTTTCGAATCTCTCGAATCCTGGCTTTTAGTGTGCTGGTTAGAGCCCAGGTTTCACAAATGTACCGCAGAACTGGCTTAATCACGGCGTTGTACACCCTTATTTTTATATTTCTGGATTTCAGTACCCTTGAAAGAGAGAAGAAAGATCTGTTTGCACTTGTTATTCGCTGGTCTATCTCTGTTAGTTGATCATTTATTGTGGTTATTGTGGAGCCGAGGTATTTGAATCAGTCTACTTTCGTGAATGACTTAGAGTCCACGCAGATCTTGTTATTAGGTTGAATGTTTCTGCTAACTATCATGTATTTCGTTTTATCTACATTGACTTGTAGTCCGATTTGCTCAGCTTCTTTTAACAGAGTTCGAGCGAGTCTCTCATATATATATATATATATATATATATATATATATGTTGTTATGTTCTCTTTCCCTCCAAAATCAAATGAGTTTCTTTTTCAATACGCCATTTATTTCTCACACATAGATATAAATTTTCAGGTTGGGTTCTGACAACTAAACTAACACTCATCCATGGTTAAATAACTGTAAGCTACACTAATTTACTAATTACTAACTACACTAATTATACATATAAAATTTATAATTGTTTTCATAACCATTGATTGTCCCGGTCTAAATTTTGTGGCTCTATCCCTCTGTCAATATAAGTGGCATTGTTGGCATTCACCAAAATGTTTACGCCTGTCAGTGAAATAAACTATTCTTATTCATGAATGTTCCAATGTTTTCAGTACCACTGAATTAATTTCCGCTAGTTCTTTCTTCCAACACAAAGTAATCACCACTAGTGGCCTCTATCAACACTCGGACTCCTTTTAGATCTTCTCGACTTGCTGACTGGTCACCTTCTGCCGTTACATGAGGCTTGCTTTCTCCACCATCAGCACTTCCTCTCAGTAGTTCGTGCTGTTACCACTTTCGCGCCAATATTCAAATACCTATGTAATGTTGACATTACAATATATATATTTGGATGCAGAGAGACAGCTGTCTTCCATAGGCTTAATTGCTGCTTTGCTTCAGGTTCTTATCCTCAGCTCAGCACCATGATTTATCACCTAATAAAAGATCTGGATTCACTTCCAACTGACTTTGAAGCTCACAACAGGCCTCATAAGTGATAAAGAGAGGAAGAAATTTTGGTGCAATCATTCTCATGTGAAAACCTGATAAATTTCTCTGAACTGAATTCCAGAACATTCTAAATATAATAAACTTATCATTACTAAGTATTATTAGTCTAGTGTTCTTATCATTATCAATTGGATAAAGCGGGAGGGATGGCGTGCTCACTGCACTGTGTGTTGCCTGGCAACCTGATTAATTTTTTTTATTGAGCTCCTTGCCCAGCACTGTAGCCATACGAGTTTTCAGCAGTAATACGGTGGGAATACGTACATCTACTGCCAATTAGGATTCTTTATTTATTTATTTTTTGTATAATTTTTCTTACCATTTTAATGTTTTTATACTGGTGCACGGGTGTTCTCCTTACTGATGGGCTGTACCTTAGTCTGCAGCTGGTTGCGTGTCCTGCCCTTCTGGGTCGCTGCCTCCAGTCACTTAATCTTCCTTGTGCAGTCTCCAACGGTCCTCTTCCTCCAGGGCTGCTGGTGGAAGTCCTCTTCTGAGAACTCTTGGCAACCCGATAATCAAAGTTTAGAGGAAAAATTAATTACGAGTTTGCATCCTGGTGCTAGGGGAAGCTTTTAACCATGGCATTAACCCTCCATCCTCAACCCCTGGCCTAAAAGGCGAGGAAGGAAAGAACAAAAAAATAAAATAAAAAATGGCAAAGTGATAAGCAGTTCCATATTCACGGAAACAGAATCTGCACTAAGGTGACTGTTAACCCAAATTTCAGTCTAAGAAATATCCTTCGATTTATAATTTTAAAAAGGAAAAAAAAAAAACCTTGTAAAAAATTTAATTGACAAAATATATTTAGACATATAAAATATGTATAAATTGAACATTTTTGAAATATAAAACGTTATAATTAAGGAATATATTTTAAAATTGAATAAGTGATCCATTTAAAAATCGAATAAGGAATGTATTTTAAAATTTAATCTACATTGGATCCTTATATTAAATTTGATTTAATGTGCACATTTTAAATCTTGATTGAGTAAAGACAGTAAAGGTAATAATAAGATTAAGCTCCTATTATAATTAAAACTACAACTTTATCACCACTCATAAATCCAATTTGAGTTTTAAAATAATTTTATTCGAATTGATTACCACAGATTTATACTGGATAAAGTAAAAAATAAAATAAAAGATAAACACTTCTAACAAAGAAAACAATTATATTACCTATCACATTAAGTTACTATTATTATGCCTACTCATAACTCCCTAGAATATTCAGGAAATCTATACAATGAAAATTAATGAGCATCATAAACAATATCTTTTTTAAAAATCACAATAATAATCAATCAGAATGGTAAGTTTGAAACTATAATTTATCCAATTGATTTATCACATATAATATTACTTGAGATTGTTTTTGATTTATTTTCTCAATTTTTTATAAACCTCTATGTTAAATTCTGGATTCTTCCTTTTGATTTCTTCAATTGCTTTCTCTGCTTCTAAATTAACTTCAACTTTATGAAGGTTATTGTTGTTGGTCCATAATGGGCACCTGAAAAAAATCTCATTACAAGACCTGAATATATATAATAATAATAATGGGATAATATATACAATAATTTAAAATAACTAATGAATTGAACCGATTTTTTTACTTTTCTACTTCCATGAAGACAACAATAGCTGTGGGACATATATTGTAGATTGTTGTGAGAGGCTTAAGGGAGGGGGCCGTACTCAGTCAATTCTAACTAATGTGAACTAGTTAAGATGGTTCAAAAATGGTGATTCTGACACAGGATGAAGAACACGATGGAAGTCCATGAACTTATGAAAATGCAGAACTGAAGATAATATTTAATGAAGATTGGTTTCAAACACATCAAGAATCTATTATGAAATAATTCAACAAGAAACTTAAATATGCCTCAAAGCCACAGGACTGGTTCAAAAGTAAGAAAATTAGGTGTCATACAAATTTAAGACAGGAAACATGGAAAGAATTTTTTTAATAAAATCTCAACCGGAGATGAAAAGTGGATTCATTACAATAATCTAAAGCATAAGAAGTCATTGAAGAAGTAAACCCTACCTGCAGAAAACAGAGCATGTATTTGGTGGAATCTACTGGCTTTTGTATGAGCTGCTAAAACATATGAAACCAACATAAGTGATTCCAACCGGCTTTAACTGAGGCTTTAGAACAGAGCATTGAAGGATAAATAAACAGGATATAGAAATTCAAGTTAGAGTTTTATATAATAATTCAATTTTTAATTTAGTGTTAAAAATGATCATTTCCCCTGATATTTATTTAAAAACCAAATTCAGTCATCATACTAATCCATTTACTTACCTAAATACATAAGACAAAACTTCCTTTTTAGATTCACAAGAAAAAACTGAACAAGTGATTAGGGTATTAATAATAGGAATATTCCAAACAAGCATAGTAAGACTTATTTGCCATGTAGCTCATACTAATAATAATAAAAATTATAATAAATCAAAACCAAAAAATGATTTCTGAAAAAAAGTATTTTTTAAAATTTATTCTATTCTTATAAACAAAATCAAAATTGTTTTTATGAAATAGATGGAAACTATATATCTTACTTTCCACTGTTGCGTTGATTTCGATCATCACTGAAATGATTGTATCCAGTAATAGGTTTGCGACAGATATAGCACATCTTGGCTCCGCAATGGCATGTCATTTTGTTACATCCATCATCCCTAATAAACTTGGAACCACATTGATAGCAATTTCTAAAAATGAATTAGCAAAGATTAAAATAACATTCAGAAAATGTATAAAATTCAGGCCGTGGGTACCCAACAAGGTATTAAAGAAGAAATATCATCAAATATAAATAATAATTTAATTCTATCCTAATTTTTATTTTAGAAAAAAAAATCGTGTTTATAATTTTAATTAGGACATTTCATGGATGATTTGTCTCCATCTTTAGCACATAATAATATGTTCCAGTATTAGGTCAATCTAACTAAGAATAGGTTTGTTCAATCAAAAGGAGGGAAAAAAAGGATCATACATGTGAGACCAACCATCAAAAACATGCGGGTGTTGCATTATGACAATGCTGCTAGTAACACCGCGATTTCTATTAATGAGTTTTTGGTCAGTAAAAACATTGCAGTAGCTCCTCGGCCTTAACCCGACTTGAGTCCATGTAACTTTTTTCTGTTCTCAACATTGAAAAATCACCTCATGAAATGACATTGGAGACTACTCAAACAGTGTGTTTGAGCCGTAACCGACCAACTGAAGGCTATTTCAGTATATCAGTTCCAGCACTGCTATGAGGAATGAAAGGATTGTCTCCAGTGCTGTGTGGCTTCCCAAGGTAGTTACTTTGAAGGAGGCAATTTGAATTTGTAATTTTATTTTAATAGAAAAATTTTAAAAATCAATCTCATTACTTCATTTACACACCTTGTACAAAACCTATAGAATAGATAATTAAAAGTCTTGATTAATTAAAATATTTAAATTAAGTACAAAACCTGAATGTGAGACCAGTTCAGTTAGTAATTGATTAAAATCGTTTGAGATGGTTTGCATGTCTTTCAGATGGCCGAGAACAGAGTGGCCAGGATTGCTTTGGTAACATTAATGGAAGACGGCCTCGGAGAAGGTCCAGGAATACTTGAGAGGAAGGTATCAAAGAGGCCTTTGACAGAAGAGAGATTGACTCAAGTAGGAGGCGGCACTTGGCCCAGGATCAAGAGTTGTGGATTCGGCTCTACAAGAAGGCTCCATACCAATCAGCAATAGAAGAGGAAATGATTCAGAAGAATTTTAAGTACAAATTTTGCAATGGGCGGGGTGGCCGAATGGGCTAACGTGTGCACAGCTCCGCCGTTGCCTGGCAACTTGATATATGACACAATGGATTTAAAATAGTCGCGAGTTCGCGTCCCGGTTCCAGGGGTCTTTTAAATCCCTGCCCATACCCCCTGGCCTGGGAAAACCCCATAGAGCGTTAAAGGCGAGGAAGAAGAGTACCCAAAAAAAGTCCTTTGAGCAGTTAGCTATCAGAAAAGGAAGTAAGTATAAACACGGATACCGGTAATATTAAGTATTCTGAAACTTTTCTTGGGAAACATTAAGATATCTATTTTTAGTTTGATTATTTCAATGACCAAGAATACCTTATTTTCTGTAGTGCCAGTAGTATTAAACGTCCCAAGGAAGCAAGACGAGAGACTTGGGTTAAGGCTGTTTTTATGGAGTTGATGAAAACTTTAATAGGTCTATACCCATAAATATGTGCATTGGATAGCATGCTTAGAAATAATGAAATGTATAAGCGATATGTTGGGTATAGTTTGAAAGTTATCTAATATTCATTACAACCAATTTTGATTGTATTTCATTTTGCATATAAAAAAAAAATTGTTTACTCTCCATTTAAATACCCCATATAAGCTGTCCAATACATTTGTCTTAATGCTGTTCAATAGCCTTTGTGACCCTCCTAATACTATACAATCCTTACTAAATATAAAGTCCCAATTTGAACGAATTATATTATATAAAAACATAACTATACTAGACCATTATATCATCTGGCACCTGAGTAATTGATCAATGGGGCACTCATACTAATGAGTATTGCAGTATTGCATACTAATCAGTATGGATTTAGACCAAAAAAAAGTACAATGGATGCTCTGTACAATGCAAAAACTTACACTAAAAGTGCCCTGGAAACAAAATCTAATTGCATTATGGTCAAACTAAACATTCTTGGAGCTTTCGACAATGCATGGACACCAAAAAACCTGAGAAAATACAATTGCCCAAAAAATATCTTTTTATTGATTTCCAGTTTTTTCGAAGACAGGATGATTGAAATTAAGACAAATAACTACATATTTTAAAAACCCTAACAACTGGTATACCACAAGTCTTTCTCCAACTCTCTGGAAACTCCTTCTCAATACAATTTTTAATTTAAAATTGCCTGATGGAGCACACATCTAAAGTTATGCCGACGATATCCTTCTACTAGTAAAAGACAAGCTATTACCAAAATTACAAGTGCTGACCAACCAATCTCTTATCGTCTTAGAAAAATGAGCTACAGCTAACCAACTCGAATTTAATACAGACAAGACAAAATACATGCTATTTACACGAAAGCAGAAACTTCCTAAGTTGAACATAAGACTCTACTCCAAGACACTAGAACAGACGGAAACAATGAATTATCTAGGATTGATATTCGATCAGAGACTGAATTGGAAAACCCACACAGATATGGTAGTTAATAGATCTCTGAAGACGATAAATGCCCTTACTATTGCAGCAAGATTAACTTGGGGACTTATCTACAAAGGTGATATAGTACCAAAAATCTTGTACCCTATACCAGTGTGGGAATCAGATGCCAAGAAGCAAAACAACCGCACCAAACTGCAATGGGTACAGCGGCTTGTGGCTATCAGAATAAGCAAAGCATTTAACACCGTATCATATGATGCAGCTTGTGTCTTAGCAGGTATACTTCCAATACGTTACAAAATCACAGAACTGACTACAATATACAAAATTAAAAGACACACAATGGGATACAAATACATAGTACGCGACAATATCGAATAAGAGCAACCTTTAGAAAAACGGTTACACCCATCAATACAAGCCAAACTAGTACAGTACTTGGAAGAAATAGTAGAACTACAAACAAACATTGTGGACATTTACATGGACGGAAGTAAACAAGAACACAAAACAAGCTTCGCATTTATTACAGAAAGAGACAACGACCATTATGAAGAACTACACAGACTCAGACAGAATTGCTCCAATAATCAAGCAGAAAAACTGGCAGTTCTAAAGGCTACGGACTACATTTTACGACAAAAAGACAAAACTGAATCTACTTACAATATCTAGCCATCTATCTTACAATATGTATACTGACAATAAAATAGCCATTTACTCTATAAAAAACAATAAAATACAAGACCCACTAACAGCTTAACTTAGAAACAATTTTATCGAACTGATGAAATTAGACATAAAAACACAACTGATTTGGGTAAAGAGACACAGCGGCGTCCACGGAAACGAAAAAACTGACGCAATGGCAAAAGCAGCTGTTTATGATATTCAACTGCCTTATAAATATAATTTAGCCCCCTTCACTTACGTTAAAAAAATTTTATGGACTGATTTAATCAAAGAGTGAAACAGGCATTGGCAACAATCTACCAAAGGACGGCCATTACATAAATGCATTCCAAACATCACCCAACAAAACTGCAACACAACAAAAAGCACCCATTATAAACTAACCCAATTCCTTACTGAACACGGCCTGACTAACCAATATCTAAACAGATTCCACTTAAAAGCGACAGACGCATGCAATTGTGACGGACTGACTCCACAAACTTTTACGCACATTTTAAACGACTGCCAGTTATACAAACACAAAAGAGCCACCTTCCTGAAATCCTCTTTGACGCAAGGAGACACATGGCCTCTTCCCGAACCCATACTATACAAAAAATACAAGGAGTTGAAGGAATTCATTAATAGCATAAAATTACATGACATTCCAGCATAGAACTCTTATTTAATATACGTTTAAAGGTTAACAATTAAAAAAAAAAGAAGAAATTTTAGACTTATGTATTTTATTCCTTATTTTGTAGATACTCAATTGTAGATTTGTAATATTTGTTCATTCTCCGCATAATTTTTGTATTTGTTTTTGACTAACCATTTATTTTTTATTCATTTAATCATTTATTATATTTTATCTTTTTTTTAGTATATTTTGGTACTGTTTATTCATCTGATACTGTTATTTACTTTATTTAATCATTTATTGTTATTTATTTTATTTAAACATCTATAATATTCTCTTTGTAATACATATTAAGTACCATTCTTTTTAAATATCTTTAGCCAACACATATTGTAATAAGTTATATTTATAGTTATATACTAAATAACAATGTAATGCATATATGCTTTTGCATGGTGTATGTACACTTCTAAGAAATATACGCCTCTTTTGTAGGGTTACTATAGCAGAGAAAAAAGAAAATATATATATATATATATATAATCAGCTTGAATATTATACCTGATCAGGGCTTCTGTCATTTTTTCTTCCACATATGTACGACTTTTGGTCATATCATCATTAACTTCCTTACAACTGTAAGGAATATGGCTTTCTTTTTGGCACAACCTAAAATATATATAGATTTTCATGATAATTATGAATTTTCTAACTTAAAATAGCGACAGCCACATTATAAAATCTCAAAACTGTATTTTACATTGAAATTGCTCTTATAAGCACGTACAGTGAGATTGTCAGTGGTTTCTTAATCAGTAATAACAGATGCAATACATAAAAGAAAAAAATTACCTGCAAGAAGATCTTTTACAGCTGAGGCATTCAAAAATCCGACTAGCTTGATCAGGAATAACACTGTACTCACAAAATGGACAACTTTCAAGGTCAAGGATACCTGCTTGGGCTATCTCTCTCTCTTGGAGTTTTTTGAGCAGTTTTTCATAACTCCCTTTTGGCATTACATCCTGTAAAAGATGTAGCATAGATCAATATAAAATGTTGAATATTTTAGCATTTCCATTTTTTTTTCATTAGCTCATTTTTGACAGAATTTAATGAGGAAATAGTAACTTTTATTAGGGTCAATTTCCCATTACAGAATACTTAACTACTTCCATCGATTACCAACACAAATACTACATGCATAGTTCCTGAATGAATATTATATGACTATGACATAGCTGATTCTAGGACTGTGGAAGTCTCCTTAACTTCTTAAGGATCTTAAGTTCTTCGAACACTTACTTCCTATTTCCTCATCAGGCTCTACCTTCGAGTCCTCTACCAGGCTCTACCCTCGAGTCCTCTACCAAACTGACTGATTTTCCAGCTCCTTCAAAAGGGACCTCCTCTTCTATTAAAAAAAAATGTTCATAGAAATCTTCACCCCACTACCGTCTGAGCTTTTTAATTGGTCAAATCTTCTTTTGAAGATATTACTTAACAAAATTTCTGAGTGTTTTCCGATCCTTTTGATCTAAAAGTAATTGCAAATTTGTGTTTATCGCAAAACGATGATTATCAGCCTTTAAGGCATGGTGGCAACCACCTGCAGATCAAATACTGGAGGAACTCCCTCCGAGGTATGGAATTTACCTCCAATTTCTTCATCTATTGTATTGTCAATATTTATTTTTCTCTATATTGGATTAACTCCATATACTTACTATTTATGAAATATATTTAAATTTCCAAATGGAATTCATTTATGAATTTACTTAAATACTCACATTTTGCCTTGATACTTAGCAAGGCCTGACTGGAATCAGTTTTTAGACATTCGGCCTGAAAAATTACTTATTTCTTGCATGTGTTTTATATGTTAGCTTTGGAAAGTTGTTGTATTGTAAATGCCAACACATTGTTTATTGTAATTAATATAAACTTTTATTTTATTTTTTGAAAGCTAGAATTTAAAACCAATACATTGAATAATCAATCAAAAATGTACCAACACTGTGTAGATGTTATATCTTATTTCTCGTCTCCTTCCTGGAGAATTGGTGGTATGCAGAATAGATGTTTCTTATACTCCGCTATTCTTGTTTGTTCCTTATATCACTACGAAATTGAAGAGGAGATTAAGGTTAGGATGAAGGCGGGAAATGCTTGTTATTTTTCTTTGTTAAAATTACTTAGTTCTCGCCTCCTGTCCCGAAACTTAAAAATTATAATTTACAAAACCATTATCCTGCCTACAGTTCTTTATGGATCCTAAACATGGCCGCTTACATTAAGGGATGAGCAATGTCCTAAAGTTTTTAAAAATAAAGTATTGCACAGAATATTTGGACCGAAAAAGGACGAGTCAACCAGAGAATTTAGGCGGTTACACAACGCTGAATTTTATAATCTGTATCCGGTTAATATAATTGAGGTGATTAAGTTGAGGCAAATAAAATGGGCATGTAAAATCGCTGGGCTTAGTAATGAAACAATTCCTAAAAAGTTAATATGCGCTGTACCAACTAGCAAGCGTCCGAGGGCTAGACCAAAGTGAAGGTGGGTAGATTGCGTTAAGGCTGATTTGGGTTTAGACGGAGCCTGGTGAATAGAAGAATCTGGACATCGATTGGTGGTATCCGCATCGAAATTTAGGGTTCGCTAAGCTTTATTATTATTATTATTATCAGTTAAATATAAATTGTATGAGTGTAAAGGGGAGTTTTGGGAATGATGAAGGGCCCTCTATCTCTCCTAAATGTCCCCTATAGCAGAAGAGAAGGTTTTAGGGACAATAAGAGAATAGTGGAGTATAAGGAACGTCTATGCATACCACCAAATAAACATTGTAACACTTCTTATTCCAGGGAATCTAATAACAGCTTTTCTATTATCAAAATTTAAATTATTGAAAATTACCTTTAATGTTTCAACATGGAAAAATGCTCCACAGTCTTCTAAACAAGGAAAATCGAGCTTGCCTTCACCCATTAGTACTTCAGTGCTCCTGAATTAAAAAAAAAATAATAATAATATTCGGTCTTATAAAACATAAATGCTTTTAAAAATAACTTTTACATTACAACAAACTAAATTCAATTAGAAAACAAATGCATATTTTTAAATATCAGAAATAATTTTTTTTAACTTTTTATATTTTTTTGAATTATAATTTTTATTTAAAGAAAAAGATTAAAATGTACTTAAGCTAATCAAGACAAACAAAAAAAATGTCACTGAACAAATACCAAAAACTACAATGTTATTTAACTAAAAAAAATTTAATGAAAGTTTCTTTCATAGAGCCATATCGAGATGCTTGTAACTTGAACTCTGATCTTTCCTGTCATTCTAGGGGTATACTTTTAGAAGCCAGTCTGTTACCATAATTTATTGTTCTGCCTCTAGTCAGATCTCTATTCATCAACTCACAAAAGCAAGTCCTAACACATTTCTCTATAATAGAGATCTTAATAAAAAAAACAGTACATTATTACTTTAGATGACAAAAAATTGCAAATCATTATTTTAAGTTGTTTTTTTACAAATAAAATGTGTATACATCCAGTTTTATTAATTATAATACATCTCAGGTTATGAAAAAAAAATTAAAGCTTAGCAATAATTTATTGTACCCATTTCTGATGAAAATGTGGGTACTTTAAGATGACAGGATATTACAACACTTCATTTTTTTACACTTCAGATGAATCTCAACTTATTTCTTAATAAACTCTTAACTTAATTAAAGATGATTAAACAAGAAAGTTTTTCTAAAAGTGGATTATCAGTAGTATAGTTGGTAGGTAATAAGAAAATATTTAATGATATTTTTAAAAACAGAACTTAAGCATAGTTTATCCCCTTAAAAATCCTCTTCAAATGAATTTAACAAACGCAAACTAAATGGATAATGTTATGGCTTTACAGAGGGAAAATTCATCAAATTATTCACTACAAAATGTTGCATGATTTTTCGATAGATACCTAATTATTTAAATATAATATCGGATCTAGTGTTATTAAACAACTACAGTAAATGTATTTAAGGTTATAAACATATGTTTTACACATCCATGAAATAATTTTATATTTCACTCCTTTCACACAAGTACAATGAAATAGTTTTTTAAGCAATGCCATTGCCTTAATTCAGTGGATTCTATATGCTTTTTTTTTTCAAACTTAAAAATAATTTTAAAAGTTTATATTTACTTAGGAAATTTCCTTGGTGGAAATTGTGGTTTCCATTGAATAATATTAGTTTTGAGAAATTATTATTTATAATTTTCCGTCACTCTCCATTACCTTCTATGACTTTATCTATTAGATATTGTTTTTCCGAAAATTGTCAAGTTTCCAACGATATATTATACATATATCATCTGACTATCATTTCCGGAAATTCATTTTCGACCTAAAAAAACATTTTTCCTTTTGTCTCCTTTAGTCAATTATCAAATTCTTTCATAGTTTATTTTAATTACAACTAACAATGAGAGACACTTAATCATTCTAAACAAACTAAATTAAAGGTACTTAAGAGGGAAAATTTGGCATTCAAGTTAAGTGATATCAATGAGAATAAGATCTAAATGATACACTGAGTTTAATCAAAATTGTTGGAGCTGTTTTTTAGAAAATCATAAAAATGTGTAAAATCAATTATATAAAGTGGCACTTTCGATTAGCTGATTTTCAAGAAAAAGTTGCTGTAACATCCCACGCATATATATATCTTAAATATGAAATACAAGTTTTGTATGACGTTTCGTTTATGAGTTAGGCTGATCACACACACAGACCATTTTGTAGAACTTGGCTATTTGAATTCAGGGGACCTTAAAACGTGCATTTCCATTGAAAACCCAGGTTCGAAAATTTATTCACGATCGCAATACTTTCCCTTATTATATATTACATATATAGATAATTGAAAGTTTAAGTAATTAAAAATTATTTCACATAAATTTTTAAATATTTCCCTCTATTTATGGGACTAATTTTGTTTATGATTGCACCCAAGGTTATTTGAAAGATTATCAAATTCTCTACAAAACAAAAAAAGAAAATCATCAAAATCGGATGCAGCTTATTGTAATTTGAAAACATATTGGTTTAAAACAGAGGTCTCACATTGAGACCTCGACTAAGTTCCGTGGACCAAATTGAGGACTCCAACCAAGTCCTGCAGGCCAAGGCTTGAGACGAAAAAAAAAATCTTTTTCAATAAATGACACTTCAGCTATGAAATGAGCTTTTTAAGAGAAAAAAACCAATGCAATAAATGTTGTAATAATTTATTGTGTTAATAATTTCATATTTTTTAAATTTTATCATGTAACTAAAGACAGCTTCACGGACCGGATTGAAAATGCTTGTAGAGGCAAATCTGGCCCGCGGGCAGTAGTTTGGAGACCCCTGGTTTAAAACATGAATGAAGATTAAAATCTATTTTCATTACCTTGGTCACAGGCGGATCTTTCGGGCTGAAGCCCCCCCAAAATGGTAAAATATAATCATGTTTTATCGAAAAAAATATTAAAAAGTATCTCTTAAAGTATTATATTTGGTGTAATTACATTTAAAAGGGCTTCAGGGATCACTTAAACACCATTTCATATAGGTAGTTAGTTTCTTTCTTTTTTTCCAAACTAATTATCGTTATTTTTATGAAAAAAACAACTTTCGGGCTTAAGCCCCCCCAAAAATAAATCCTGGATCCGCTAGTGACCTTGGTCGATTACAATTACCGAGAAAACACGAATCGATTCTTCTATCTTATGATATGTTGCATTATTTTATTTCCTTATTATTTTGTCAAATGTTTGCTGATTAGTGTAGTATGCAAACTATTCGCACGAGCTAAATTAATTATATTAATTTAATTAGGTGTGAATTAATTAATTAATTAAAATAAAAATGTGAATAATAAAAATAAAATAAATAAAAATAAAAAATAAAAGTGTGAATTAATTAAAAAAACACGAGCTATTCACAACTAGTTTTAAACAAATTAATAATAAGAATAAAAATGATTTAGGAGAATAAATATGAATATTAACTTTGTCACACAATCTCTGCAGAAAAGATGGCCTTCTGAGCAAGTAACAATATCCTCGGTCAACAGGTCATCAGAGAAACAGCAGCCACAAGTGAGCAGAGCACCAGCCTTTCTTGCCTTCCAAAAAAAATATTATATTAAAATCACTAATTAAGTTTAAGAATATAAAAAATCATCCATTTCTTTTGTTTATTTTTGAAATATAAAAATAAAAAATACCTCTTAATAAATAAAGGAATTAATATTATTTTACCTCTTCTACAGCTGCCTCCCGCGCCAACACCTTATCCTTCAGATACTCCAAAATTATATTTTCATTTATTATAAAATTTACCTAAAAGAAAAATTATAAGGGAATTTTAAAGTCTTGTATATTAAAGAAAATTTTATGGAAATGTAGTAAAAAATAATAGCTTATATAACTACCCTCCATTGAATCCCTTGAAAGATCATATTGGATCAACAATTGACCTTCTGCTATCATAGAGCCTGAGGGAATCTATCATCTCTTTGGTGCGATATAGGATTCCATATATTGTATTTTCTATGAATAGCTTCATAGTAGAGGATACCAACAGAAACCTTTATATGAAATTCCCTGACTTATGCAGCCCATGTTTATAAAAATTCTTGGCCATGGGAATACTAAATTTTTATAAACTGATGTACAATACAATAATGTCTCTAATATATATTACTGAAACCCTTACAAGAAAATTATAATTTTTTACGAAATAAATTTGTAAGAAACCCAACAAAATTTAAACCTCTCATCCAAATAAAAATATCAAAGCAGTGTCTTTGACAAGAAATACAATGAAACCATCACTTGTATAACTGATTTGTAAACATTTTTTGCATAATAATATAAAAAAAACATACAGTTATCTTTATTGGCACAGGACCATTTTCTTAATAAATAGTTTAAAGAATTGAATTAAAAATAAAAATGATTTTTTTTTATTATTATAACTCCATTTCTTCACCCACAGCTTTCATAAGCAATGACAAATAGCGAGTCTGCTGTCAATAAGAGTATAGATAGTGGATTGAGGGAGAGGAGTGCCCAGCAGCATTCCTTCTTGTCTTGAATTTAGCATCTTTTTAAGCGAGGAAATCCCCAATCTAGCTCCTTTTGAGCCTCTTAGTTGTTTTCGGGGATGTTAAATGTAGCCATACTTTTTATAAGTGTGTTAGGATGTCCATGTAAGTTATTGTGAAATTGCTTGTAGTGTGTCCGTATGTGGTTGTTAACTGTTGGCATTTGAAGGTCTTTATGTAAAGTAATATTTGTGACGTACCATAAAGCTTTAGTTATGGTCCTGAAGATTTTTAACCGAAAAGTTTGTTTTTTTCGTACGTGGGTCGTTTTGGCTGTCCCATAAAATTGTGAGATGTAGGCCCATAAGGGCTTAAGTAGGTAATTGTAAGTGTTCAATTTCTGTTTTAGGTTTAATTTTGAGCGTCTTGAGAGAAGTTAGTAAAACAGTTGTAGTCAGAGGTTTTACATTTTTCTTTTTTTGTTGATATGTGAGCCCAAGTTCTTCTGTCGAATGCCAGTTCAAGATATTTTATTTTATCTGTTTGAGGAATTTCAGCATTGTCAAGATAAATAGGAGGGCGTTTTATATCGAAGAGAAAAGTGATGGGTTGTGATTTGTCTTGGTCGAGCCACATTTTTCAAATTTTGCACCAATTGTTTAGTTTTGATAAATGATGTTGTAAAGTCTGTGTGTGAGGCGTGCATAGAATTGTTATGTCTTGTGAGAATTGCTGTATCGTCTGCGTAAGTTACTATAATAGTTCCGGTGCTGTTAGGAATGTCGTATGTGTGAATGATGTATATAAGCGGAGCGAGTACTGACTCCTGAGGAACTCCTGCTGATCTTGTTAAAGAAAGTTCTGAGCCTTGGCAGACAGAGAAAAATCTGTCAGAAAAAGAGTATTGAATGATAAGATAGTAGGTACGTGGGAGTTTCATTTTAAGTTTGAAGAGAAGTCCCTTATACCACACTCAATCTAATGCCTGAGCGACATCCAGAAATACTCCAGTTGCATACAGTTTTTGCAATGTAGTCACCCTGTGTAATTGATGGATGGTTGAATGTTGTTGTCCAAATCCAAATTGATGGTCATGTATTATTTTTCTGTCCGTCAGTATGTTAAATAACTCTTTTGTAGAGTAATTTTTCAAATATTTTAGATATATTGGGAGTAGACTAATTGGCCTATATGATGGAGGTGTGTATTTGCCTTTGTTTGGTTTAGGGATCAATATAATGTATGAGTATTTCCATTATATAGTAAATTTGGTCATTCTGAGTATTGCATTGTAAATAGACGTTAAGTAAACTAGAGCTTTTCTAGGCATTTTCTGGAGAACTTGAGCAATTATCAGGTGATGGCCAGGGGCTTCCTTTATAGGTAATTGTCTAATTTGTTCTGCAACAAGTTTTAGAGTCAAGCAAGGCGGAAGTAATTCCAATTGTAGTGGAATGTCTAAAGTGTTTAGTACTTATTATATTAGTACTTGTATTGTTATATATATTAGTACTTGTTTTTCGTGATCAATGCTGGTGAATTTTGTTTATTATAAAACAAATCGATGAATACACCATAATTTATTTATTTAACATATCATAGCACGTTTCAGTAAATGCATCTTTCCAACAACGAAAGAGGAAGGTAAGGTAAGAGAAACATAGCCTTATTTTTCGCCATATCCAAGGACAGAGGCTTACTAGTCTGTAAGGATTCATCCTGTTTTCCATCTATTACTGCCTACCTCACCAATTTATGCATATAGCGAGTGAATGTTACTGTTATGAATGTTACCAAATATATTTTAACTACAGTGGGTAGGTCGAGATTCATTTTGTGACTCTCCTATAAAATAAATTTCAACATACCGAATTCGAACGTCAGGTACCGCTAGACTCGACAATGTCAAAGCTTTAACACTTTCAGCCACAATGATCTCTAAAGGAATCTATGTGACTCAATCTTCCCATACATCGTTTCCATTCAAAGAACCTTCAATATTTTATACCATATATTATTTATAAAAACACTAAGGCTTCTCTTTACAAAAAAGACCACATTTTGCATCCATAAGATATGGCAGAAGGTATAATAATTATTTAGTAAATTCTTACTTCCAAGTTTTAAGACAGAAGACTTAGCCAAAAAGCCAAAATAAGAAGCATATCCTGTCATTAAACTTGGTTTTTCTGTTCTATAAGATATTTAAAGATGACTCTAGATACCTAAGGTTCCTTACTTATTCAAACAAATCCTTAGAAAGTTAATGATAAGCGTAGATATTTTATCATCTTAAACAGTCTTAAAAACATTATGAAAAATAATATATCACTACAAAATAGGAAAAAAGTGATGGGTTTATAAAGAAAAGGATTTTCTTTAATAAATATTTTTGGTTTTATTTAATAAATATTTTTAAATAACCTTTGTTTTCAATACGATATTAATGATTTTATCAAACATTACATTATTGTGGTTTTATTATCTATGGTTAAAAGCAAAAACAGGAAGTTGATAAAAAACAGGCATGATAGATAGCACATGAATAAACAATACCTTTATTCAGCAAATCAATATTTGAACCAAAATATTTGACAAATCCAGTACCAAAAATTTTGAATTAGAAAAATCCAGCACCAAAAATTTTGGAATTAGAAAAACTTCTCTTCAATTTGTAATAGTTCTATCGATGCAATCAGTTGATTTCAGAAGTGCCAAATAACATCTTCCAAATCATAAAAATAGATAAGAATGTTCTAACAAAAAAATTCTATAACGGCTATCTTTGAATACTTTATTCGCATTATCATCATAGCCGGCATAATAACCCATCCCTGGGTTATTCGACCTCTTCCAATAGTCTTAGTCCAGTTTCAAATTGATAGGTATCGCGAGTCCAGCCATCTTGCCATAGGTCTTCCCACTCGTCTTGTCATCTGAAATTCCTCTAAGCCAAGAATAATCTTTCAATTTTAATGAACTTAACCACATCTATCTAATTATAATACTCATGAAGTTCCCAATTCTTTCTTCTGCACCAGACAGTTGTTCTGTCTTTAAAAGCTCCAAAGATTTTCTGGAGATTCCTCCAGTCAATATCAGTTTTCCTTTCTCTGCTTTATAAAAATGGGTGTATAAAGTTTTTATATCTTGGTGTCTTATAAAGATGAATTTTAATTTTATTGCCCAGAGCATTAATTCAAAGGTGTCTTGATAAGCTGTAAAGCTTGTGAAGCATCAATTAGCATAAATCATTCTTCAAACTAAATTCTGGGCTATGAATATGAATACATCCAAATATTAAAGTGCCTTATTATTTAGAAAGAAAATATTCCAATGAAAAGGTAAAGACAAATATATTTTAACTAGTAATCAAAACCATCCTGTCTTCATTATCATAAATACAAGAAAAAAATATCTGGTGTGTCCACTCACACGACTTTCCTACCTATTTCAGAAAAGTTTTTATATCTTTAAATATGTTCATGAAGAAACAAAAAAGAATATAACTAGATTTATTTTTCTGAAAATTGAACAACCAACAAAGATTTGAGTATGATTTAATTGATAAACTAATGCAATGTAAACCGGCTTAAGGTAGATCAGTGTAAAAATTTCAATACTCACTAATATTGCTGATCAAAACCTTTTTGCCATAGCTAAGTACTATCAAACAATGATTTCTGTTAAAAGTAGAGAAAATAGTAAAGACTGTGTGATGTGGGCAACAGATTTTCTGACTTTCACTGAGTCATCTTTTTTCTCTCATTTTTTTGGGAATTTAGTCTATATACGAAAATTGAAAGGACAATGATTAGAACATTATAGGAAAGTTTCATCAAAATTGTTAAAACCGTTTTCGCCCTATAGTCTATATAAAAATATGTTTTTCATTTATTGCACTTGGGCACCGAATTTCTGTCATCAGTGGTCAAAACCCTACAAGTTAAAAAAAGAAGCAACAAAATTGGTTCTGTAGTTCCCAAGAAAATCTTGGCACAGACAGACAGACCAATGGTTAAAAATGTGTTTTTCGGACTCAGGGGGCTCTGAAACGTACAGATCCGTCGAAAACCGCATATCGCAAATTTGACCCGATTGCAATACTTTCCTTACCTAGTATAGGTAGGAAAGTAATAATTCACATTTTAATAGTGTTGCCCTTATAACTGACAATAATATAAGCTAACTCATGGGCGATGATACACTCCAGGAAAAACAAGAATTAAGGGGTGAAGGAACTACAACTGTATCCGTGCTTAACCTTGTGGTAGTGTTGGCGTTTACAATAGTAGTCATGGGCTATTTCAATAGCCTCAATAGTAGGCACAACTGTTTTGGATTTGACTACAGGTGTCCTTAACATCCAATTCTCTCAAAAGCTGTCAAAATTTTAGGAAATTGAAGAATAACTACCAGAAACTGTAAGCAATCATTCCCAATTCCAGTTTAAAATCTACTATTTCAAGAAAATAATAAATAACGATATCATTGATCCTAAATTTATTCAAGGAGAAATCGGTTGGATGGAGGGGCGCAGCCAAGAAAGAAAAGATACAAAAATTGAATACATTCCTTAAAAAGTGCCAATGAATAGTACAGAAACAAATTTTAGCAGCATACATGAAATTTGAGACATGATTATCATATTAATGAGTAATAAATGAATGATTACAATTTAATACATTAATTAATTGTATTTTGTACCAATAGTATTCAATTGTTTTATATTAAACTTTTTACTTACCAAAGATTGGTGCTTAAAAATACTTTAAACAACAAAAATAATTTATGATAGTACCTCATCAAAGAATTCACGAGGTGGTTTTCCAATTCCTGAAACAATTTCACTTTGGCGCCTTGGAGTTTTTCTTGATTGGGCTAACTTTTGTAACTCTTTATAAGTACGGTATAAATTAAACTTATATCTTCTAAGAATTAACCTGATTGTAGTGGCTGAACAGAACCTGAACCTATAACCAAATAGAACGTTTACTACTATGCATTTTCATTAACTATGTCTTTTAATGTCATCTAAAGTACATAACAGTAACAGAAGTTGTGAGGAAAAAAATATATTCTTTACCACTACAATCCGTCTTTTCTTGAGTTCAGTACTTTGAAAGGAAGTACTGATCATAGGAAAACAGTTGTGCAAGGAGGTAATTTGTCCAGAATCACATTCACCTGTCAGGTTTTCTCCAAATAAAGGATACTCACTTCACTTCATAAAAATGGAGTGTGCCCGAGGTGTCTCCTTACACCAGTGTTTATCTACAGCTTACATAACAGAATAAATAATCATTTGACACAGCCGGATTTGAACCGGGGCCTGAGAGAAGTTTGATCACTGGTGGGTAGTGTGACCCAGATGAAAGATAATTTGATAAAATGATCACGAGTTCGTGTCCTGGTGTTTTTTAACACTGATATTAATCCTCCACAATAACCCACTCCATTCATCAAATGTGAAATTGCATTAACTAACATTGTATAAAAATATACCCATGATAAAAGAGGACGTGATGCTCGAGCACAATGAAGCATGGATCCCAGAGTGCCTGGTTTTGAATGTTTTGGATTTGATGGTCAGTATTTACCTCGAGGCAGCCCAGGGAAATGAATAGACATTCCTAGGCTGGTAACTGGTGGCAACCTCCAGGTAACTGTCAGCGATTGTAAAAAAAAAAAAAGAGCATAAAGACCACATACTGGACTTGTTCCTTCCATCTGTAGCAGCAACTATAAAATAAATTAATAGCACTTTTTCTTCCCCCTACCTGCCTATTTCTGATAGAGGAGGAAGGGAGATTTTAAACAAATTTCTTTAACTAGAGTGGGAAGATCAAGATTCATTCCAGAGGCCCTACAAAATAAATTTTGAGCCAGAGTCAAACTGGCACCGTTACACTTGAGGTTACTAAGATTATGATGCATTAATGCTCTAGGCCATCGCGACCTCATGAGTATAACTTCATGTAACTAATAAGCTATTATGAAAAATAATACACAGACCTTAAAATAACTGGAACTCAATACTAATTATATATTAGTTTCATGCTTCACAATAGTATTATAATTAATATAACATTAAGGAAAGAAGAAAAATGAGTGCAATGAAAACTTCTTCTAAAATGTTAATAAATAACTTCATTTAAACACATATGAATGTGAACGATTACTACAAGAAAGTATACAAAGAAAACAATAATAATACCTATCTTGAAGAAAAGATAATGAATGTGTAATATATTTGGAGCCACTATCAGCTTGCAGAAAATATTTTTCAGGGTATGGAAATTTGTCAACAAAAGATTCTACAGTAAAATTATAATCATCATTGATTTCTTCATTAGGTTTTGAAGTTGATGCTTGTTGCTTAGGATATTTGTTTTGAAGCATTGTTTCTTCAAGAAAAGTATTGAAACCCTCTTGATCAAAGGCATACTCAATACATTTTGATTCAAGAAAGGAAATTTCAACATCAGGAAACATTTCAATAATATGTGTAAAATATTTGTCAGCTCTCTCTTTTTCTAATTGATCTAAATCAATTTCTATTTCCATTGTTCAGATGTCAAGCCAATAACAATAATTCCAAACTATAAAAGTTTTAAGTTTAATAATACCGCACTCAGCCTGATATTAACGAATAACTGAAATATTGAAATGTCCTGATCAATATCCAGAACTAAACATTTTAAAAACAAAACTCATAACATAAACAACACCATCAGTGAAATATAAAATTCAAACTGACGGCAGGGATGATTCAGAGTTGGTGAAGCCGTTCCACGGAACCTGATACCGTTTGGAACGACTCCAACATAGTCAGCATAACGGCTCCAGTTGAAGCTGTTTAGACCTGCCATGGCTTATTCGCTCCGTTCTTCATAGGAGTACAACCATACTCCAATTCTTAGTTCCCTAGACACTAGTCCAATATACTACCTATAACCAAGATTAAACCAAAATGTAATTTACAGTAAAATTGCTTTGATATTATAGTTGATTTTACTTTTAAAAAATATAAAACAAAATGCAATGGTATATTATGATTGATTTTATTCTGCGGGTTATAGGACCATTTTTGATTTATTCATTAATGAAATATGCGGAGGACTCTGTTCCTTCATAAAAAAATTTCTGAGATATTGTCAAATAAAAATTCTTTCATATATTTTTCCACTGAACTTTCGGAAGGGTATGATTATGGTTCTTCACGTCACCATTAAATATCCTTTAATTTGAATCATCTTTCGTAAAAATCAGTAGTTATCAAAATTGTTGTGATTTTTAACGAAAATCCAAGGCTTAAGAATGGTTACATTGAAAAATCCCTCCTTGCTGAAGGTCACCTTAAGAATTGTTTATTCGTCGATTCTTATGAAAATTCGTATTTGAGGGCTCTTCGAAGTACTAAATTCAAATTCTAAACCTGTTTCTCTATAACAAAATGTCCGAGATATTTGCAAATACAAATTGTTCTCATTCTTTCATAACTTTTTACACTGAATTATCGGGAGGATGTGACCATGGTTGTTCAATTCTCCATCAAATACCTTTTCATTTGATACCTCATTCATAATAATCTATAGTTATAAAATTCTTTGTGATTTTCGACGAAAATCCAAGACTATATAGACTAGGTTAAATTTTGAAGCAAAAACATTTTTTTTTTTCGATTGCTATGAAAATTCGTGTTTGAGGACTCTTCGAGGTTCTCAATACAAATATGAACCCTGTTTCTTCATAACAAAATGTCTGAGATATTTAGCAAAGGTGACCATAACAAAGATCACCTTAAAAATGGTTTACTATTTGATTGCTATGAAATTTCGTATTTGAGGGTTCTTCGGGAATCTAAATACAAATCTGAACACTGTTTCTTCATAACAAAATGTCAGATATTTGGCAAATAAAAATTCTTTCATAACTTTCTCCACTCAATTTTCGGGAGGATGGTACTATGGTTCTTCACGTCTAAATCAAATACTCTTTCATTTGATACCTCAGTAGTTAAAACCGTGGTTATCAAAATTTTATGTAATCTTTGACAAAAATGACCGGATGGCAAAAATGACAGCCTTGGTTAAATTTTGATGTAAAAAATATTTTTTTTATTGCTATGAAAATTCGTATTAGAGATTTCTTCGAGGAGCTAAATACAAATAAGAACACTATTTCTCCATAAAAAAAAAGTTTCTGAGATATTTGCAAATATCCTTCTCTTTCTTTCAAAACCTTTTCCACAGAATTTTCAGGAGGATGTGGTTATGTTTATGATTATGTCGCGTTTCCATTAAATACCTTTTCAATTTGATACCTCATTCATAAAAATTCTTAGTTATGAAATTCTTTGTGATATTCGACGAAAATCCAAGGCTTAAATATTGGTTAAATTTTTAAGGAAAAAAGTTTTTTTTTTTTTGCGATTGTTATGAAAATTCATATTTGAGGGTTCTTCAGTAGGTTCTTGCGCCATCGACCTTGGGGGAGGGGCATCCCTGGGTACATTTGCCAAATAACAAAACACAAATGCTCTTCAGCTGTTTGTAAGTCATAAATGTAGTTTATGTTGCTTTGACTGTGAGTTTCATATAGTTTCTGCTGTAATTAATGCAGAGTTTCTGGTTCGAGAGTGCTTTTTTACTTTCACTTACCTATACATGTAATATTTAGTAAGTGTAAGTATTGCGATAGTGAAAATTTTTGAATCTGAGTTTACAACGGAAATACACATTTTGAGGTCCCCCGAGTCCAAATAACCTAGTTCCGAAAAATTGTCTCTGTGTCTGTGTGTATGTATACAGCCTAGCTCAAAAACGAAAACTCGTACGACGCTGAAGATAGATGTATGCTTTGATGTTACAGCAACTTTTTCCTTAAACTCGGCTAATTGGAAGTGCCAGTTTATATCAACGGTGAAACACATTTTTACAATTTTTTCAAAAATGGTTCAAACGATTTTGCATAAACTCGGTGTATCATTGTATAATTAAGTGGTCTTTAATATCATTTAGGTCTTATGCCCGTTGATGTCACTTTACAGGACTTAAATGCCCAATGTTCATATGCGTTTTCCTCTAAAGTACCTTTAATATGGTTTATTTTACATAATCAACTATCTCTTTATTAAAAGTTACGAAAAAATGCTAAATATAACCTATGAAAGAATTTTGATAATTGAATAAAGGAGAAAAATACTTATACAGGTCGAAAATGAATCTCCGCAAATGCAAGTCAGAAGGTATACTTATAATATATCGTTGGAAAGCGGAGCATTTTAGAAAAAAACAATATAACAATATCTAATATAGAAAGTTGTAGAAGGTAACGGAGTATATTATTAACCTTTGGCCTGTCTATGACAGACAATGTAAAATCTCTTAATTCCGTTTTAATAAACTTTGCAATAGAAAATGACAGTTTAATAACTAATAGTTGTACAATCCATAATCAACGGATCGAACAATCCATAATTAACGAATCGTACAATCCATAATCAACCGGTGTAGGACTTTTGTTATTTTAATAGTATTTATGATTTGTTAGCTGCAATCTTTTAGCTTTAGCTCAGTTAAAAATGCAATTCAAAAACTTTATAATAGCCCAACATGGCCAGAGAATAATTTCTATTAAAAGTAGAGCGGTAAGTGAAAGTTGTGTTGCGCGCACCAGATTTTTTTAGTGTAAAAATGCCAAGAAAATGTGTAATTATAGTGAATAATTTTTGTTATATGTGTGGTGAAATTACAATTTCCTCACAGAAACATAATCTGACGCCTCTTGTAAAGACTGCCTATCAGCATTATTTCGGTATGAAAGTAGGGGACAAGGATAAGTCTTTGGTTCCGCACATATCTTGCAATGCATGTTCAGTTACACTGCGAGAATGGATGAGAAAGAAGGATCGATCTATGGCTTTCTCTGTGCCTATGGTTTGACGGGAGCATACAAACCATACAGACGACTGCTATTTCTGCTGGACTACGCCTATAAAAGGCAGGATTGTCTATGAAGAATAGAAGGTACTCCACCCGAAAATTGTGTTTGAAGTAGAAAATGAAGGCAGTGTGGAACAAGAAGAAGAACCAAACACACCTTCCACATCCCGTGGCCCTGATTTTGACAGAAAAGATGATAAACCGCACAGACCGAGTCAAGCGGAATGGAGTGATCTCATTAGAAACCTTGACCTGTCAAAGGAGAAGGCAAACATAATTCGGTTTTTAAGAAGAAAAATAAGCTTGTTGTTTGCTGTGACATTAATGGCTTAATGAAATCTTTGAATTTGAACCATGATCCAACTGAATGGAGGCTATTCATAGACTCCTCCAAGCTTAATTTGAAAACTGTGTTACTTCACAATGGCAACTTCTTTCTTCTATTCCTGTTGGTCATGCAGTTCACATGAAGGAGACATATGGAAACATGACAGCCCTCTTGGACTCACTCAAATATCATGAGCGCAAAAGGAAAATCTGCGGTGAGCTAAAGGTCATTCCCATACTCTTAGGATTGCAACGGGGGTACACAAAACATTGCTGCTTCTTGACAGTGCTCATGCAAAAATACCATAACCTTGGCTGCAACATGTCCCTTAAAATCCATTTTCTCCACTCCCACCTAGACTTTTTACTCCTAATTGTGGAGCTGTTGTGATGAACATGGAGAAAGACTCCATCAGGACATTTCTGTTATGGAACAAAGATATGAGGGCCATTGTAATGAAGAATGCTTGCGGATTTCTGTTGGTCTTTGTGTAGGGATGCTCAGGAACTCCCTTTCAAGAGACAAGCTATAAGACGATGATCATGAAGCCACCGCATAATCTCTTCGGGCACGACTATCTGCGATGTATTCTTTCAGAAATTTATAACTCTCAGAATGTAACTACCATTTTGAAAAATCAAATGTTCTTAATATATATAATAAAAATTTATCTTTGTCTCTCACACCATTAGTATGAAATACTACCACCTTGTGTATATCACAGAAACTAGAGCTAAGAAAAATTTGTAATTGTCATATTCGTTTTTCTCAACTCAAAATTAGTACGAATTGACTCACGAAGTGTTTTTTGTGGCCCAGTGTAATTTGTGAAAAATAATATTATCTAACGTAAATCACGTGTTTTCAGGAAAATTAAATGGAATTTATTAACTAAATGTAAACATTTAAATTTTTTTTCAAGTTTGAAAAAGTTTAAAAAACTATTCATTGTGCTTGTGTGAAAGAAGAATTAAAATATAAAAATATTTCTTGGAAGTGTTTATGACCTTAAATACACTTACTGTAGTTTAATAACTCTAGATCTGATATTATATTTAAATAATGAGGTACATATCGTCCGTTTATTTGGAAAAATCACCAAGTAATCTTTTAGAAAATTAAAGTAGTGAATAAATGGATGAATTTTCCCTTTGTGATATCCCAACAGTATCCACTTATAACTAGTGTGCCAACTTTTGAACTATTTTAGTAAACTTTGCAGTGGAAAATAACAGTTTAATAAACATAACAAGTCATAATAAACCGTTGGTATAATAAATAGGATTTTTTTTTTATTTTAATGGTTTTAATTATTTGTCAGATGTAAGCTTTAAGCTTTAGCTCGGTTAAAAATGCACTTCAAAAATTTTATAATAGCCCAACATTGACAATTATTTCTATTAAAAGTAGAGCGGTAAGTGAAAGTTGTGTGTTGGGCGCACCAGATTTTTTTTCTTTCGTACATCGAAGCGAAATGATAGTTGAACAATCAATTTTCTGGCAATTGATTTTTTAAATTTCTCATGAAATTACATTTACTGGTTATAACTCATTTTATTAATATTTAGATTTGTCTGAATTCGCATTAATTGTCCTAAGCAATTTTCATTAGTGATTTAATTTCAAAAGTATAATTTCATTAGTAGTGTAAATAAATTGAGCAATAAAAATTTACTTTCTTTTTTTTATTGTTACTAAGCAATACTGTTTCACTTATCTTATATTTTAGAAGTTTCGTGTATTTCATGGTAGTCTGAAAGAAGTATGATTCTCCAATAATTCTCTCCATATTCTATTACACTGGGATATTAGTCAAAGGCTACATGGTTAATATCACAAAGTTTCCTAATCATATGTTTAAATTATATTAAGAGACGAAATGTTTAAGTGCCGTCACTTTATTTATGCAATTTAGTTGGATAAATCAGTCCAAGTAGTTGTATGTGACGAAAATTAACCAAAATATTCCAGTCTGTACTTGAACTGAAATAATGAAAACAAAATTTTGTTTTCAAATATGTTTCACAGCAATACTCGGGATAATTGGAAATACAGCGTTTTGTGCACCTTTACATTTGAACATCTTAAACAAAGAGACTCCTTTAGAAGAATCACGAAACTTGGCTACGACAAGTTATTCACATAATTTAAAAGTAAGTTACTTTGTGCAAGCTAATTCTAATCAATATTTATTTATTGTAGGGATCCAATTCCTTTGAGATTTATCATTATATTCCCCTAAAGACACATAAGGATTCTATAATATATCTCTGGAATTTAAATTTATATTCATTCTTTCAAAAATTTGAATTGCTTTCATAAATAAAATGCAATGTTGCTGTAAATTTATATCATTCGTGTGATTAATACTTATAGCCTGTAACTTAAGCAGGAAATGAAAATTTAATCAAAATACTTCGTCATTACCAAAAAATAGGAAAACAATTTATTCATGCAGAAACAGGATTGCCACCTTCGTTGACAAGAAATGTGGTACAAAGTGTGACTGTGGGAAGGGGAGGGGGTATAATTCGAAAATTGGTGTGCAAACAATTGTTTATTAAAAAAGTATAAAATGTATTTATTTAAAAAAAAATATATATATATATATTAAGGAACTGAAAGAAGGTCGTTGGTAACATAATTGGATAGAGTAGGTAATTTCCCAAACTCAGCCCTAATGCAAAGATGGATTTCCGATGCTCATCAATGATCTTAGCTACTAGTCTAAACTGAATTTAGGAACTCGTCTACTGTTACATCGGTGAGCTTAGCTCCAAGGAATCCTCACAGTGGTGGATCCAGGAATTTTCTCGGGGGGGGGAGGGGCGCACCTTCCTCCACCTCTGCCCGTTCCCCCACCACTACCCATGTTTTCCCCTCCTTAGCTGAGTTTTGCCGCTCCAAATTCATCTTTAAGTGGTTTTAACAAAAGAAAACTCTATTTTTATTTAAAGTAAATTTTATTAGTTTACAGTGAAGTAATCGTTAATTACTTAAATTAAATAGTTTTTTAGTTATCACTTCCTATTCACCAAAAAACGTGACTTACTTAAAAAGTCACAAAACTTTTTAAGTAAGTTTCCTACTTTCCTCCTGAAAACCTAATCTTTGTTTGTATAAACTTTTTGTGTTTTTTGGGTTCTGCTATCACTCCTTTAAATATTTATCTCTACTTACGAGACATTCTGTATATGGGTTAAGACATGTAAAAAAAAAAAAAAAAAAACACGGGTCACCGAGAGAACACTATTTACAGCCATAAAATCCGTATTTAGCTGATTTCTTTTTCATGTAACAACTAAACAAGCGTCAAAGCGAAGAACATATTCTTTAAAAAAATTAAAGAACGTCAAATTGTTCGTCGAACGAGTCAAACTTAAACTTTGTTTTGTTTGATTAAGTAATATGGTCGATAACTACGGCCAATGAACGCTAATTTTTACCATCATTGTCAAAATCTGAGACAGACTACTTTAAATGGCCCTGAAGCTTGAAAATGAGTTATCTAAAAAAGAAAACTCAGAATAATTTTCGATTTAGATCATAATCAGATTCCGATCGAATCGGAGATCAAATAATTAGTATCTTCCTTCACGTTTCCAACAGCCGCTATTTTAAGAAAATAACATCACTTTCTAGTGAGAAATATCCAAATTATTATCGTGACCAGTTTTATGAATCCCATGAACTCTTCAAGGAGGCAACAGTTGCTGGAGGTGGCAATGCGTCCAGATCTATTGGAACTGAATAAAAACTTGGTCCGGGAGAAACAATTTTCTTGGGCTCGAATGAAAGCGTGTTCGAAAGAATAAATAAAGTTTGTTTTATTAATTTATTTTCCTTCATCATGTATTCCACCTGTGAGACTCAGTTCGGAGTGAAACAAACTACGACTGAAGCACAAGCCTTCACATTTCATGGTGGCCCAAAAAGTACATCACTTCAACCTACGAGCCAACTTTTGCTCTTACATTCTATTCTTGATTTCACAAAATCTAGCGATGAGCCACAGCCTGGTGAGGTGACAAACCGTAAGATTAATAAAACTGTCATGATAATAATTTTTTTTAATAGTACATTAGAAAGTTTGTCTATGAGGATGAATTTTCTCTATATTTCTCTTTCTTTAAATAGCTGTTTTTTAGAACTTTTTTCGGAATTTTTTCCACCATCCGAGGAAGGGCACCTTCTGGCAAAATTCGCTAGTGCTGGTCACGATAATAATTTTTTTCTATTACATTAGAAAATTCGCCTAAGAGGGTGAATTTTCTCTATATTTTTCTTTTCTTTAAATAGGTGTTTTTGGAACTTTTTTTTCCACCGTCCAAGGGAGGGCACGCCCTCTGGCAGAATTCGGTAGGGCTGGTCACGATTTTTTTTTTTTTCGTTACATTAGGAATTCGTCTATGAGGATGAATTCTTTCTATATTTATTTTTTCTTTAAATAGCTGCTTTTAGAAACTTTTTCGGAATTTTTTCCCTCCATTCATGAGGAGGGCGCCCCTCCTGGCAGAATTCGCTAGAGCTGGTCACTATAATACCTTTTTTTTATATTACATTAGGAAATTAGCCTATGAGAATGAACTTCTCTATATTTCTCTTTTCTTTAAATAGGTGTTTTTGGAACTTTTTCGGATTTTTTTCCACCATTCAAGGGAGAACGCGCCCATGGCAGAATTCGCTAGAGATGGACACGATAATTTCTTGTTCTATTACATTAGGAATTCATCTATGAGGATGCATTTTTCCTATATTTCTCTTTTCTTTAAATAGCTTTTTGAAAGTTTTTTGTAATTTTTTTTCAGCTTTTAGGGAGGGGAGGGGTGCTCCTTCCTGCTGGATCGGCTAGTGAATTCACATTGTGGATTCCCGATGCTTATCAGTAATTTTAGTGCTGAGTTTAGTTACTTGCCTGCCATAATACGTTATAGAAATTGCACTAAATGTATCTGTTGAAAGTTGCTACTGCTAAAAAAAAGCAGGCAGTATTTGTTGGCTGAGTGTTACACATTTTTTTTCTTCTTTGTCCTCCCCTTCCTCGGATTTTAGGTTATACAGGGTTCTCCCGGACCCGGGGTTAAGGGCGGAGGATTAATGGCAAAGTTAAAAGCCTCTCCGAGCAGCCGGACACGAGCTCGAAATTATTTAATCAAATTATCTTTCATCCAGATTGCGAGGTTGCTGTGCACAAGCATTTGCTCGCTCGGCCACCTCGACTCTTATTAGTGTCATACCTGTTGTTTTTCCTTATGCGCTCAAGAAAACGCTATATCGACCAACGAGAAGTACCTAATCATTATGGACCCACCCGGAGTGGGTATATTTTTGAGAACTTAAAAAAAAAATGTTGAAGGCCCCTTTTGAAAAAAGGGCATGAAGTTTATTTCTTTGAAGCTCCTTCCTCCTCCCTCTCTCCCCAAGAAAAAGAGAAACGTTGTCGTCTTAACTATAATTGTTATTTATTTATTTTTAAGGAGTTTCCTTAGTAAGTTGGGCTCCAATATATTGTTGAGCATGTACTCTATCAATGACAAAAAAAAAACCGAAGTTAAAAAAAACAAAACAGAAAAGTTCCGGTTGTAATAAGAATGTAATTCGGTATTTTAATTTTTGTAATAAAGTTATCATTGAATTAAAATGAGAAGCTCCAGCTTCCTTCACTTTTCCTTTATGTATACCAATCCCAAAATAACACTTGTTTATAATACTAATCCAAATCAACTCGAGTGAATATTTAGGGGCTAAGGCACCATCAGTCGCAAGAAATCATAAAATGTAAACCATTTAATAGGAAATGACTTCAGCCAAGAATGAAGTTTATCATCTCTTTGAGCCACAACTGATCACCTTTCTATTCAGAAAATTATTAACCAGGACCCATGATTGGAAAGAACACATGAGGCATGTGGCAGATAACTTTGTGTCAAGTTATTTCAATCCAGACAACTCTTCAGTACCATCTAAACTTTGTAAAGCAGGTTGGTGGCTACTTAAATAGATACATATATACTATTCTCATAATTGCACAAAACTCAGATTATATTTCTCAGCTCTTCAAAAATGTTTTGAGAATAGTAGTCTTAAACAATTATTTTGCATGAATTCTGACACTGCATGAAAATAATAAATAATTACTTTAATCTTGTGTAATTAATAATTTTCCTTAATATTGTTAAATAGTACTGCTTCTTTAATCTCTCTCAAAAAAATGATGATACAGATAATGATCATTGGCAGTAATTTTATTTTAAGATCTATTATTAGTAATTATATCAATAAAACTATGGAAAGAATTAAAATCCTAATTTTTAATCGAATAACTTTATAAACAGGAAAGGAAGCAGCTATTCAAGCTCCGCATTTCACCCCAGTATCATATAAATTAGGGAAAAAGAACCATAAGCGAAATGTTAACAAACAAACCTCTCATGAAGAAGAAATTAAAAAACCATTCAATTTTTCTCCTATGGTCCAGTTTATACCAGCAAGTTTGGATTTATCAAACAAGTAATATTTCATTTTTTTAACAATCATTTTTAAGAAAGGTAGTTTCAAATTTATCCCCTTATATTATTTATATGAGTTATCATAAGTAAGTATTAAATATTTAATGCACTATACTGATTCTGACTTTATCTATACTGACAGCTCCAAGAGCTACCCAGCTGTGAGAGCAGTGGTTGTGATCAATGAATGTCAACATTTATTTTACCTGACATCAAGAAGTAGCAATTATACATCTGAAATAGTTGCAATTTAAAAAAGCCTAAATGTTATCTATTCCAAAAAAAAAAGTTTTTTGCACAGATCCTCTATCAGCATTACTCAACTTCACAAACATATCAACACTAGCAGGCCCATGCGAAAATTTCACACAGCATATATATGGTTCAGTGATCAAATGACAAATTATTAATAAAATAAAATAATTCAACATATCATAAGATACAGAAATCAATTGTTACTTTCTCACTAAATATGATTGACAAAGGAAATAAACAGTACTACAATTAACGTTTTAAGGTTGTGTGAAAGCGAACCCTTTGCCTTGCATTATCTCGAAAATAGTACGCTTTTGGGCTTAAGAACGCAGGACCTGATAGTTCCAAAGGAAGGTGTACACATAAAAATCTTCAAAGCCCAATTTTTCCCGGATGGATCTACAAACTTACCACCACAGGTGGATCTACGGAGGGGGCTTTCAGGGCTGAAGTCCCCCCCAAAATGGTAATATATAACCATGTTTAAAGAAAAAAATGATCTCTAAAAGTATTATTTTTTCATCTAATTACATTTAATAGGACTTAAAGAATCATTTAAACACCATTTCATATAGGTAGTTAGTTTCTTTCTTTCTTCCGAAGTAATTATCCTAATATATACATACAAGAAAAAAATCTTTCAGGCTGAAGCCTCCAAAATTAAATCCTGGATTAGTTAGTGCTTACCACCATTCCAGTATTGAAGCCTAGCAAAATGTTTGTATTGACTTTATTTATTTAAGAATGAAAAACAAATGTGGAGAGTATGATTCGCTAACTCTCTGTTCTGTTAACTTCTGAATTCAACGGTACCCCAATTAATGGTATTTGAGCTTGACAGGAGCTTATATTTGGTACAAAACTGAGCCTTACTGTAATAATATTTGTGTAGATATAACATTATCAACCAAAACTATACGCGTTAAAATCTGCCTCTGGATATAACATGTCAGTATTTTTTGTTTGAATTCAGTTGGCCAAAAAATCTATTGCTGGTGGAATTCCTTATCGGAGGGTACCTGTTCAGAATTTTATTTCAAACATTAAAAAGAAAATTAAGTTGAAATGGAAACAGATGTGATCAAGTGTTACCAACAATAAATTAAGGAAAATTATAATTATTTCCTCTTCATCATCATCGTCGAATAGAAATAAACGCAGAGAGGAAGTGACCCTTATGATCCTGCATATAGATCATACAAGCTGCTTAAAATATCCTGTGACTTGCCAAACCAGCTATATACCATTTTGTAAGACAATACAAATATTTTTGACACTTTCATTTTCTGAAACGTACAAAACTGGACAACAGGATTAACCCTAAATGAAATGAGGCAATACTGACCCAGTGGTAGGTGGGTGATTTTAAGTACATTAATGAGCCCTAAAATTAAATATCAGTCTTGTTGTACTGCTGTAGATCTTAGACATTCTCCACCACATGTATATTCAAAAGAACCACTATCCTGGTAACGTCTTGATGCATGACTTACTACACTTTGTGAGATTCGTAGCCTTGCTACTACATTTCTCTGGGAATCACCTGCTTCCGAAGCAGCAACAGCTGTTGCAAGCTCTACTGCTGTAAGATGTCTTGAAGACATTCTTTAGTACCTTTAGTTCTTTAGTAAGGATTTTTAAAAAGGTATAATAAAAAAATGGTTAGTGAACAAAAATAAGTATACAAAAAATAAAGAGAAGTAAACAAAAGCTGTAAACGAACTAAAGGTAAGGATAATCCTCACTTTTGTTTATGTTTGAGTTTTTCAAATGAATTAGCCCAATGTGAGTGTAAACAATCAACAGGTGTCAAATTGGAAAAATATTAATTCCTCACAATTTTATAAACAATGAATGCAATGAATGATCCACGTCATTTGAAAATGAATATATATGTTTTTTCTAATAGGTTCTAATAATTTTTGTTTGGTTTTTATCTTGTTTTATCTCAGCCCTAATATTTAAGTCAAAACTTCGCCTCAGAATATTTTTTTTTTGTAATCAAATATAACAGGTGGTTTGAAATCAATAAATAAAGCATTATACAATAGTATTTAGTAGGTAGAGGTGAAAAATATTCAAAGGTTTTTGTTCAAATAACCAAGAAAACTGTAGAACAGACATTAAGAAGAAATGGAAAGAGTTCAACTAGAAGACAATAGAGATTAGAAATCCCAAAAAACTCTGAGCAAGAAAGATAAGGATCAAGAGAAAGAATATATAACTAGGAGGAAAAATAAATAATTTTTTAAAGCGATGAACAGTTTCTTGAAAAAAGGTTTGAACCATAGAAGTCAATGTAAAATAGACAACAAGGCACTCTTTTGTAATAACATAATTTCCACAAGGAATACTGAGTCCGATACTTCGAAGATATTTTTGAGTCAAAAGAAGTAAATCTTCCAATTTCTGCCAGTCAAAAGAGGTTTGCTCTCAGGAAGTTAAACAAATAATTTAACATCTTATTTGACTTATTTGTATTTTATTTTATTCATTTATCTCTAAAAAAAATCATGTTCTTATTTATTTTCAGAATTATGTTTTATCAGCCTCAGCTAATAATCAATGGATCAGTCTATATTGAACAGAAGAAGGATCCCAAGCCAACACAGATGCAGGAAATGTTAAATTTCAATCTAAACAGAAGTAATACTTCCAATGCTAATAATACCTAAATTCCTAAGAAATGTGTTTGTTAATAAAAAATAAATATATTTCAATCAATCCTTTATTTTTTTAACTCGAAAAGTAAATGAAGTCAATAACTCAGATGTAAGCTTTAAAAATAAATTGACATTCAGACATAAGATTCATTTTTTCAAAGAAGATTGTATTTGTTCAGAGAGAATAAAAAAAGAAAGGTATAGTCAGAGATATTTAAGAATAAAGACTTATAAAAAATAAGTTTATTTTTCTTCATACAAAAGATACTTTAAAATATCAAAAATTATTTACAATTACAAACAGTTTGTACTGCGATCAACTAAAATAATATCACGTATTTTATTATTGAATACTTGAAATTCAAAATGATCCATTGTCAATAGAATTTTGTTTATCTCATGCTAACTGATCGATGAAGCAAGCTTAGCAACTTTCTAAAAGAAAGCAAATATCACAGACAAATAGAATTAGGATTTTTAATCTGTTGTATTTGTGTTGTTTAGTTCGATTCACAAGTAATTTTGCATGAAATAAGTCATTTTAATTTAGTTTGGATTAGAATCATTATCAATTTCAAATCTCCAATTAAAAGTCCACATGAGCAATGGACTTACATGACCCATATATATGTTTCACAGTTCAACACTGTTCGATTCCCTCACTTTTTCATTTTTTAACTGGACAAAATGGATAAACTCTGGAAGAATGATTCAATTTTAATCTTCTATACTACCTGAAAAAAAAAGTTTATCATAAAAGGATTTTTAAAATATTTACAAAAACATTACCACTATATTTTATAATGACCAAAATACTAATGAACTAACAACTGAAAATTTAAAACTATTTATTATTACTAATACTAAGATATTTACTTTTCAAACAGTGTAAACGAATAAGTTCGAAGATAGAGGGAAGTAGTACAAGACAGTGGAGATTGGTTGGCTGTAGTAGAGGAGGCCCTTTCAGGAGGGTTCTTGCAGGACCATAGTGCCATAATAATAATAACAATAATAAACGAGTGGGCAGAGTGGCCCAATGGGCTAACAAGTGTGCACAGCACCGCCATTGCCCGGCAACCTGACATATGAGACAACGATGAAAAATAGTTCTGGGTTCGCATCCCAGTGCCGGGGGAGTCTTTTAAATTCCCGCCCACACCCTCTGGCCCGGGAGAACCCTGTATAGCCTTAAAGGCGAGGAAGGGGAAGACCCGAAAAAAAAAAAAAATAATAATAGTAGGGCATTGCAAAAGTCTTTGTGTATTCATTGCTGGCATTAAAGTCTCCATTTGAATCCTTATACAACTCTGATGCAAACAAAGCATATATTCTTGTTTATTTTGACTCGTCCTTTATTTTATTATGAGTAGCTACTGTGTCAGTCTCTTTTTTGATTTTTTTAAATTTTACAAAAGATAGGACTAAGTGTGCGCTCAGATTAGGTCACCACCCTTCAGAAGTGAACGATGCTGAATTACTTTTTCTACCTGAACCACTCTCTTCCCACCCTTACTGTGACAAATCTTATATTTTGCCATAGGCCACATTTCTTCTGTCCGGTTTCCGACCTGGCTACTCCAATCAGTCTGCCCTCATCAAAATTTTTCAAGACCTTCATACAGCCATGAACCAGCAGAAACTCACCATCCTTTGACTCAGTAGACCAAAAAACAAAGCTTAAAAATATTCCCTTTTCTACTAGTGGCCTTATTTGGTTCCAATCTTTCCTTACCGGTCATTCTCAGTATGTTGTAGTCTCCAATAAACCCCATCAGAATCTTTACCCTTGTCCAGAGGTGTCCCATCCTCTATCCTACACTGTCAAAACCATCTATATGCCAATGACGTCCAGATTTACATCTCCATCAATCCAACTGACTCCTCTGATGCCATCCAAAAATTACAGGAAGATATAAACGGAATTTGTGCCTGGGCAAACCACAATTACTCTAAACGCCAAGAATACGAAAGCCATCCTGATGGGATCTCCCTCACTCCTCAAATCCTTACAGATACTCCCCAATCTTTTCCTGAACAACTCACCTATCTCATTCCATACTTCCGTAAAAAATCTTGGTGTTACCTTTGATCAAACCCTCTCTTGGAAACCACACATCTCCCAAAATTTCCATTGTACTATCTCTACCCTGAAACACTTTAAATGTCTCCGATATCATCTTCCATATAAATCCCGTCAACTCATGGTTTCCTCTCTTGTGTTACTCCACTTCGACTATGGCTGTCTGGTGTACGGCGGACTCTCGGGAGAATTCGAGGCCAAACTTAAAATTGCGTAGTACGTTTTGTTTTCGGAATCTCAAGAGATATGCATACAACCCTCCAGTATTACACCAAGTTGAAGTGGCTCTATCCATCCAACTGTCATCTGTACTTCCTTGCTACCTTTCTATACCAAGCCATCAGAACTAAGCAACCTTCCTATATTTTTCACAGACTACAATTTAAATATTCCATTCAATCCCATCCCACTAGATTCCGTACTTCCAACATCTATCCACTTCCTCACCAAACTGCTGCGTTTGATAAATCCTTTATAATTCAAGCCGTCTCCTTCTGGAATACCATCCCTCCCAATATCCGAGATGCACAATCAGTTTCCTCATTTAAATCTCTCCTTTTTAAGCACCTACTTTTTTTTTTCTTTTTTGGTTTTTCTTCTTCCAATATTTTAATTTTAATGAGATTTGTAAATATTTAATTTAATATATGGCCACACAAACATTTTTTCTGTATCTATAATTTGTCCTAAAGGGACAACAGTCCCAGAATAATAAAAAAATATTTTATTTCATTTCTTCTAATCATTGAATAACAGAACTTGGCTTAATAAAAAAATGTTGCCATGATAGACACGGTTCAGGGCATATGAACCCATTTCTATGGGAAAAAAGCTTGATAGAACAAATTCCCAAAAATATCCCTAATTTAAAGCAAAAGCTATTTGATATACAAAAAAGACATAACAGTACTTTTTTAAATAGTAAATAGTCTACTCATTTAATAGAACAAACATAATATTATTTTAAAGAGAAGTTGGTCGAGGAGTGAGGTCAGGGAAAGATATAAAACATTACTTTTTTGGCATTGCTACCTTGCTCAGTTTTGATATAATTATTATAATGCACAGTGTTATTCTTAAGGGACTTTGTCCCAGAATAAAGTTGATTCTTCTATTCTATTCTATAGCTAGACGACTTACTTTCATTATAGCATGGTAGTGTATAGCGAAGGAGCGAATACTATTCCTCTTTTTATGCGCTGACCAGCAGCTTGAAGTTTAGTAGGCACACCTGGATCACCCATTACTCTCGCAGCAGCTTCAACTTCTTTTAACGTTTCTAGCAATTGTTGGATCCACCTAACCAGTAGTCCCTCTTGGAATTCAAATTCTTGCAATTCTTCCATTTCCATTATAGTTTTAAATGGCTGATAACAAAAAATAAAAATGCAATAAAATAAAAAAATTACATTAAGAAAAATATTACAATAAATTTGTAAATAGTATTATTTACCTCTTGTTTAACCCAAGCATACATTATAGGAACTAAACCGAAACTGAGTTTACTTGTTTCTGAGCCTTCATAATCTTCAATTTGAAATTGCTTTTCAAGTAAAATTACATCTTTTATTATTTTTTGGCACTTCTTGATACCCTTTAAAAAAATGGAAAATGGAGATTAAAATAGATGAAAACAAGCAAAAAGTAAATATGATTAAAAATAATATTCTATTATTTATTATACTTAAAAAGTATACACATTCTATCAAAAGATCCTTACTTGTTTTAACTGGCGTTTTTTTATAATTCTAATTTAATTGTAAGGCGTTTTTCAATATTTCGATGATAATGGACTAACAATAGTTTAAATTAACTTTAAAATGCCAAAAAAATAACTTAAAATTACTTACTTCTTGAAGTGAGGGTGTCAAAGTTTTAAAGGAAGTAGGATAGTGGTCACTATTGTTAGATCGGCATACGAGGAAGGAAAGTAGTGCTGCCACTTCTTCAGGTTCCATATTGACTAGAATATTTTCAACAAGAAGTTCACAAACAACAAGTTCATACTTTCCAACACGTGCTGCCATATATCCCTTAATCTGAACTGGAAAACAGATAATTAAAAATTAAATAAAAAAGTGAGGAACAAATAACTGCTAGATAAAAATGTAAGTTTAATTTTGTATCACCAGTAAAATCCAAGCATGTATAGTTGCTAAAGCCAATTAATATGAGAGAAAGAAGAACTTTAAATGAGAAACAGAAAACTAGACAGTTTTTTTTAACAGAAATATTTTTTAATGCTCTATTTTAATAGTCGATCTTTAATAATCATAACAAGAAACGTGAATGTAAACCAAAACTGATGCTTCTGCTCCAATAAAATAAAAATAAAAGAAACAAAAGAAAAGTATCCTTCATTTTTGAGCTCAATAATTACTTCATAATAGTAAATTATATTTAAATACAAGTCACTTTATACTGCAAATTTGTATTTATTTAATAAAAATTATTTTTATTAGGTGTTAAATTTGTTTTTAATATAAACTTAGAGTAAGTTGATGGCTAATTATGAGTTAAGTAATTTTTAATAAACTAGTTGGTCTGTGCCAATAATTAGCATAGTATATTGGTCAGTGAACAAATAAAGAAATAATAGGTAATGCATTGCATTGTATTTTAAGAAGGAGAAATTAATTTGCTTTTTCTCGAATTTCATAAATTCATTTATAATACTAAAACATGTGTACAAATTATTATGGGCCGTATCTTAGCTAATAATTATGAGATTTAGATGTTTTTGTTTTGTAGGGAACATAGTAACTTTTTAAATAATCATCTTATAAATACAGTACAATCATCCTATGAATATAATTTACCATAAATTGCATATGTTTTGAGTTATAAGCAAATAAATTTCTTTTTCTTCTTAACTTTTATCCCTGTAATTTTGGAAGAACATGACTATTTTTCCCACCTTCAGGAGTAGATAATCTTCAAAATGATGGCTTAATCATTAGATTTGGTGAAGAATTAATGAAAATATATAGTACCGATAAATAAATAAAAAAACTAAGATTAAGACCACACAATAGTAGTGTCTAATATCTCTCTCTGATACTTTATTGTTGTTATCCTTTAAAATATGTAATCTGTCCTTCTAACTTTTGCTCTCTCTGTCCGTTAGTCAAATAACCTGATCTTTGTGTATTTATTTATCCTTATTTAAATAAATATGGGGCGTATAAGTTTAGATAGGATAAGGCGGATAAGTTATATAAGGTAAGACCGCCAAGAATGATAGGGGGACAATCCCTATACATTCAGGCCTCAGCAACCCGAGAAGGCAAACCGTAGACGTTGCATGGTAGATGACCTCACGCTCCCAGAGACAACCTGGAAGGTGGGTTAGTGAGAGGCAACCCTAGTAACAATTGTTTTAATTAGGCCCTGAGATCTCTTAGTCCAAACCCCTTTTATTTTTATAGTTCATAAATACTTATATTAAAAATATCACAAACATTAGTTGTTTACAAAAGAAATAATTACAACAAGAAATAATAAATAGGTTCAAAATGAAATACATAGTTCACTGGACAACTAACAGGTTGCGCTACAAAAATTACTAATCATTAATAGAACAAATAATGACTTGCATTAATGAACGACAGTTCATTAGAACAAAGCCTAGAGGGCGCCACACGCATCCTCTAATACACCCTATCACAAGTTATTTACAATTCTACCTCCCTTGGAGAAACAGCTTCCACTCTGTCTGCTCTAATACATCGTACTTTTTTATAGTTAGTTATATGATAATATCATTTTTTACAATTTTTTAAATCACAACTAAAATTAATAAGATTTAACAAAATACATAGCAATAAATTGAATATTCAAATATGTTACATATAAATGCATCTTCTTTTCACTAACTTAACTGTCAATTAAGTCTATAAGGTATGTATTTATTACAATATGTACATATCTTACGAATAGAAGAATAAATCATGAACATGAAATCTGTTAAAAATAAAATATGTTACAAGTTAAAACATCAACAAATCGGATTTAATAATATGAATATATAATTTTTTTTGTTTCATATTCACAAAGTAATAGTATTCACAATGTATATAATAATAATTATGTATAAATTACTCTGGTCATCTGACTGATCATCATTTGTATCATACTCTAAAAATGAAACAATAGTTTTATGATAACTAAAATATGCGATGCTGAACATTTCCCTCGCTTAAAGGATGTCAGGTCTGATTTTTAGTTTCTGAGATATTTTAATCCAAATGCAAAAATTAATCGACTTGAACCTACTTTACCTAAATGAGCGTTACCATAGTCAAGCATGATGGTTCAGTCTCATTCATTACCCACAAAAAATGTGCTAAGTGTGCCTAAAGAAGTTTTCATTTTAAAAATCTAGGGCTTTAAAATGCAGAGCCCATGATGCCCGGGTCAAAATATTTAAAAGACAATCTATCCCATCATAATCAGTTGACTTTTAAAACCTCCTCATTTTGTCAGTGGCTTTTATTGTCACTGTACTAAAGTGAGGTTTTAAGTTTTGAAAGTACAATTCATCAATCCTCCATGAAATTCCCCTAAGTTTGATACCTCATTCATCAAAATCCATCGCTCCTGATAGCCAAAAGAGGGATATATACTAGCGTATTATATATAATGTAGATTTCTGTCATTTGTTTAATCACATCCTTGATAACTGTAGTTATAGCTTAATATTTAAACAGGAAATAAAATAAGACAATATATAAACATATTAATAAAGGATAATTACAAAATAAATACAAAATTATTATAGAAAATAATAAAAATATAAATTTTGTTGATTGAATGAATTATATGCCACAGATCTTCTATATAAATAATCTCAATTAAATAACTATTTTTTTCTTACCAGTATCTGAATCGTCAATATACCCTTTCTCCTTTAACAATGCTTTTTTGTTTTTAAAATCAGGATAAAGAATCATATTTTCATCAGATAAAGACTGTCTAAGAATTTTTACTTTTTCTTCAGCCTGCTTCCATCGAAAAACTTTTTTGAACTAAAAATATTTGAAAATATAAGTAAGTAAACATAGTTATTTTATTTTTATGTTATTGATTAAATACTGATTTTATATTCAAATTATTAATTAAATACATTGGATTGTAATATAACTGGCAGCTCCACTCACTCCTCTATCACTACAGCCACTATATCTCGCCAGCCATTAGTAAAAAATGAAATCCAAAACAAAAGGAAAAGAGAAGCCGATTTATAGCTATTTTAGTGAACAACTGAGAGATGCGCAAAATATTTTTAGAAAATCACCACAGCTATTCAAAGATTCCTGCCCTATAAATCACCATGAGGAAGTAATCCTTCAACTCATATTTATGGACAGTGAATCAGTAAATCCCTTCATTAAAATATCTATAAAATGAAAAAAAATTGGTGGACTTAGGAGAACAAGCTTATTAGGTAAATCCATTAACCTTTGAAAGAACCGGAACAGGGTTAATATTGAATTGAAGTATTAGATTTATAATAGCTTTAATAGCAACAATGAAAGATTTACATATTTCATAACACAAAACAATAATATAAATTTCTAAACGTTTGACAATTAAAAAAACAAAACTAAGATGCGTGCTTTAGACAACACGATAGAAGTGAAAACATCAACAAGGCAAGATTGCGTTGGGGAAACTGGCCTGTTCCAAGAGGGTGGAACTAGTGTGGCTCCCAGGTCACAAGGGAATTAAAGGCAACGAAAAAGCTGACCTAGAAAGGAAAGGAGCGGAATCTCCTATTGTAGGCCCGGAACCTGCAATAGGAATATCCAAAAAGCATCAGCGGAAAGAAGTCCTTGACTGGACTTGGAAGATAACAGATAAAGAATGGAGGGAATGCACAGGGCTTAGACAGGCGAAGCAATTTATTAAAAGCCCCTTTCCCTCCAAAACAAAGTTGCTGCTGGGCCTAACTAGGAAAGAAATCCGACTAAACATCGGAGTACTAACAGGCCACTGCAGACTTAAAAGACACTTAAAGATCTGTGGGATAGTGGATGATGAACTTTGTAATCTCTGCAGAAGTGCACCTGAAACTGCCCTTCACTTCATAAGAGAATGTGACCGATTTGCGTCACTCAGATACAGACTTCTGGGAGCAGGCAGAATCCAAGTATGCAAAGCTGCCTCCATAAAATGGCCCAACCTTTTGAACTTCATTAGAAGAACAAAAAGGTTTGAGACAGAATAGAGGTACAATAGACAACCACTGGTAGTATCAAATTTTGGTGTTGGCAAAAAGGACCAATAGGCCCACTTGCCGGACTAAGTCCCTTCACCTGTACCAGTACCTGTACTGTGAGATAGCTATACTTTTTTTTTGTGAATATAACATCGGTTTTAGATAGTAAAATTTTAATATTAATTTTTCAAAATATTTTTAACATCCCTACACTAGGCAATTCCCAAAAATATACAGCAGAATTGTCATTAGTAATTAATGTTCAAGTTGGTCAAGAAGTTAATTACTGTCCCATATTAAAGTAAATCACAGAAATTAGAAAAAAAAAAAATAAACCCATAGATTACTTGCTTAAGTTAAATCTTACAGACTGACCATAGTTATTATTACTAATTATTTTTTTTTAGGAAAAAGAAGAATCCATAAAATAACAGAAAAGAAATAATGGTGTTACAAAAAATTAGATAGATGAAATGATCATACTGTAGCACAGGAGGATTATGACAACCAAGCACAACAGATCCTAAAAAATTTAAATACAAAGCAGTTCGCATGCAACCAAATACAGCAAAGACAAGAAGGAGGGCTTGATTTAGGGGTAATATTGTAACCTCTTTGCCATGTTATTAAATCAATAGAACTACTGCACACTTAAGAAGCATTAAATGTACCATTGGTTTATTGCAAAAAGTCATTAAGAAATATTTCATAAAATTAAATTAATAATTACCTAGGTCAATTTCTCATCGGTGAAATCAAAACATTGTATTAGTATATTCGATATATATAAAAAGGTTTGTCTATTCAGAGGCATTTATTCTATTTTATTATCAATAAGTAAGGTTGAAATTTACAAAAATGTACTTAAAAGTTTAGCTTCATAAAAAACTTAGTGATATCTTGCAATAAAATAAACAAAATTTACATAAAACTCAGAAAGAAAAATAATTAGACAAATACTTATTTTGGAAACAATCATCTAAATAGAAAAACATGAGAAAAATCTATTAAAAAGTATAAAATTATTAGAGCTAATATAAATTAATAGTGTGAATATATTACACTGTTGAGCACAAGAGGATTATATCCGATCGGATACTTTTTGAACTGATCAAGTAACGTCCACATTTCTGAAACGCTAAGACAAAGGTCGAAACTTTCAAATCTTTGGTTTGTTTCATTGATTTCTGACGTTTTGCCAATAGATGCCCATAACTGACTTGCTATTTTGTCTCCAGCTTCAGATATTTTGTTTCTGGAACAAAGCAAAATTAAATTCCTTTTTGAAATACATATACTCCTGTTTTTTTTTTTTTATCCTATATTATATATTTTTCTTAAGAATAATGATATGAATTACTTTATTCAGTTTCACCCTTATAGGTTACTGGTACACATGTACTAAATGCAAACATGTAAGTTACAATTGTGCAACTTTTTTACTGGGATCTACTACTTGGAAACAAGCTTAGAAACATACATTGACGACTCTTCCACCAACAGAAGAAGCCCTTATAAAAATGTAAGTTAAACATATGTACCAATGTACCATACATAGTGTTTATCCTAATTACTATAGCATTATATTTTCATGTCATTGCAAAAATAAAATTTTCAACTATTAATTTATTTCACTCAATTAAAAGAAGAAAAAAAGTAGCAATATTATTCAAAGTCAGTTTAGCTAATCAGATTTGTTGGAAGGATAATATTGGTATTATTTATTACTTACAAATTTGATTTATCAACAATATGGATCATGATCTTGCAAAGTGTTACATGTTGATGTTTTTTGTGAAAATGTTTAGTGATCAGAACTGATCAAGATTCGAATATCTAACATTAATGTTTACTTTAGTTTTCACTTATTGTTACTAAAAGTCTCAAGGAGCACAACTAATGGAATTGATGACAACAAATTTTTGCAATTGAAAAAAAATGCAAACATATGATGTTACACATAATCTAAGTAAACTTGTAACAATAAATTCTTACCTGAAACCTTGTCGAGAACTATATTGATTTAAATATTCTTGTATCTGATTTTTCTGTAATTTTAAAGTATCTTTGCAGACTGCGACTATTTCTTGAGGTTTTATAACTAATTCTACATAATCATTAGGGCCACAAAGAATGTCCTTTTCTGAAGGTAAGTTATCCATGAGAGATACTAACCGATACCATTCTCCTAACTGTTCCTGATCCATTTCCATTCCAACCTGAAATGAATATGGAAAACAATCCCTTAAAAATCAACCCTAGATTAATAATAATCTTAATTACAACTCAAAATTAGCCATACTGAGGTTATATCCCTTGTGTATTGAATATCCTGATCCAGTATCATGACTTTGTACACAAAACGGATGAAAGGTTCCTTGTGAGGTATAACTTCTAATAGTAGAGCTGTTCGATTTATATACTGACCAGTACATATTTTTAACAATCTTCCAGGTTGTAACTCTTTCAAAATTTTTCCATTGACAATCATCTGCAACTAAAGAAAAGAAGAAAAAAACTTTCAAATTTTTATTTTTGTTTAATGAAAAAGGAAAAATTGTTGTACTGTAACTAACCCTTAGATCCTTCCATTTGGTGATAAATGCATGGGCATAAGTATAAAATTTGGTCATGTAGTCCACATCAATATCAGTGACATCATTACCCACTTTTTTTTTAAGGGTTCTTTCAAACTGTTCAGCTTCAATTAAATCTTTCCTATTTAAAAAATAAAAGTAAATAAATGTGATTACAATAACATATTAATAAGAAATATTATCAATTATAGAGAAATTTTTATTACTCCACAAATTTTTTTTTGAGCTGGCCCTGGTTTTCACAGTAGCTACTAGCCATCATGCTTTGAACTGTCAGCATTCCGCTCATGGTCAACGTATTCAAAATCATACGATAAGACAATCGAAACTTTGAAATCAACTTGGAAGGATTACCTAAACATAGATAAATAGTTGAAAAGGCACTAGAAAAATAATCATAAAATATTAATTTATTTTTAATGAAAATTTATTTTAAAAAATTAATGAGATTCAAGTATGCATCAATGGTATTGCTGCTAAATGCAATCATGGTAAATCTTATAAATACAAAATTATACTTATACTTATTGCATTTGAAACGGTTTTCTGGATAGATTTTATTTATCACATTAGTAAATTACATTTCAATACTAAAAAAGTTTCATATATCTATTTAAATAATTTTTGATAATTAAAAAAATGTTTAAAAGAGAATTTAATTTATTCTCATAAGGGGAAGCTACAGTCAGTGGGTCAACAATTTAAACCAATTTTTTTTTTAGTGATAATATATCGAAAAATATATCCCAGGCGTTTGTTTCAATGGGTCCTAGGAGCCTAGAAAAAAAATTATTTTATATAATTTCAAACAAAATTTATGTTATTTATTTTCCTTTGCTTTTTCTTAATTTTTAGGTTACAATATATCGATAGATTTGTTTTTTTGTGCAGAATAAGAAAGAAATCTGGTGCGCCCAACACACAACATTCACTTACCACTCTACTTTGAATAGAAATTATTTTCAGGCAATGTTGTGCTATTTTAAAAATTTTTAACTGCATTTTTAACTGAGCTAAAGCTTACAGCTAACAAATCATTAATACCATAAAAGTAACAAAACTCCTATTCATTATATTAATGGTTGATTATGGATTGTGCGACCATTAGTTATTAAACTGTTTCCATTCCATTGCAAAGTTTACTAAAATGAAATTACGAGATTTGCATTGGCCGTCATAGATAATTGAAAAGTTGTCAAACTAACTGTAAGTGGATACTGTTGGGATATCACAAAGAGAAAGTTCATCAAATTATTCACTAATTTAATTTTCTAAAATGTTACATGATAATTTTTCCAAATAAATGGATGATAAATGCCTAATTATTTAAATATAATATCAGATCTAGAGTTATTAAATTACAGTAAATGTATATAAAGTTATAAACATACCCATGAAACATTTTTATATTTCATTCCTTCTTTCACACAAGTACAATGAAATAGTATTTTAAACAATCTCATTACCTTGATGCGGTAGATTTTAAATACACTTTTTCAAACTTAATAAAAATTTAAAGTTTACATTTAGTAAGAAAATTTCATTTAATTTACTTGGAAACATGCGATTTACGTTAAATAATGTCAGTTTTCAGAAATTATTATTTATATTTTTTTTCGTCTCTCTCCGTTACCTTCTACAACTTTATTTATTAGATATTATTTTTTTTCCAAAAAATTTTCAAATCAATTCAATTCAAAAATTTTCACGATCGCAATACTTTTTTTCCTTACTATATATTTGATATATAGGTAAGTGAAAGTAAATATATTGACTATTGTATTAAATTAGTTATAATGCATTATATATTACAACCTTAAGTACTTGATGATTTTTTCTATGGACATCCACTAAACCATTTTTAATTCTCCAGGATTTTATACAATTTCAACTTTAATATAACCATTGGAAAACTGAATTACTGCTCTTCTGTACAATTTTTAATTTATATAAGAATTTGTATTTAAGAGTTTTAAAAGGCCCTAAAAACGAATATAATTTGCTTTTTCATAATGAAAATTTACTTGCCCTACTTTACTGGAAGTGTTTTTTGGTTTTTGTAACTTATGATACATTATAACTCATTGTATACAACAGTAAATATTTTTTCTTATTCTGCACAAAAAAATAAATTGATTGGTATATAGTAGTAACCTAAAATTCTGGGCAAAACGAAGACTAAAATAAATAACGTAAATTCTGTTTGAAATTATATCATTTTTTTTTCAGCCTCTAGAGACCATTGGGATAAACATCGGAATATATTGTAATAGAAGCTTTTATTAGAAGTTGGTAAAAATGGTATAGTAAATTAATGTTGAACAGTTAAAAGGCAAGCTAATCTAGTTCTACTAATGTTTAAATTTGAAAATTATTTTCACTTGTTCAGAGAAAAGAAAATGGCTGCTCTGTAGTTTCCCCAGAAAGAAAAAACACTAATACGAGAGGGGAGGGGACAAAGGATTTTTGTTTTGGCTAGCAGTTGGCCAAACGACTCAATATTTTTGTAGGCCATTTTCTTCGTCGATTTTGTTGTGAAATTATCTTACGGTCCAAGTAGAAAGCAAATTTATGAGTTCTTAGTACCTAATTAAATAGAAAAAGTTTGTCGGCCTTCAGATTGAAAACGTCCCAATTCCGAAAATTTTTGTAAATAAAATATTTGTAGGTTATGATTAGATGAAGCTATTTATGAAGTTTCAGGCGGATGTAATAATTTGATAAAAAGGGGTCTCTCCAATGGATTATCAGATTACCAATTCATACTTGACTTTATTTTAAAATCAAATAAAGTTTAGTGTAGTTAATGTTAGTTTGTCTGAGTGTTTTGATCTGATTGTCAGTAACCCATACCTGAGATAAAATAATTATAATTTTCAATTTAATATATTAATACTCTTATAATTTTGTTTATTATTTAACAACCTTTTATTTCTTTTGGAAGTATTGCTAGAGTATACAGTGATCTTCCAAGGTTATATTATTATTTGTAAAATATAAGAAATATTACAATTTGTCCAATATTTTTTGATGTAGTATCAGAAAAAAAAAATTGGTTGAAATCAGTGACCCAATGACTGTAGCCTTACCTAGTTAGTAAATTATACTGACCAAACATTAGGGTCTCCAAGTCATGGCGAGCAATTAGTTCGGCTGGTTTAGCTAAAATTATGACATTTCCAGCTGAATCCTTCCCGCGGCGACCAGCTCTTCCAGCCATCTGAATATATTCTGCAGGGTGAAGAAGTCTTGTCTCAGTGCCATCAAATTTCCTTATTGAATGAAATAGAACAGTTCTAGCAGGCATATTGACACCCATGGCAAACGTTTCGGTGGCAAACAGTAACTATTCACAGAGAAAAAATATTACATTATGATTCACTTTATATAATGCAATAAATTTTAATAAAACTTACAACAGAAGCTTTGCATAGTAATAAATCATAATAAAAATAGTCAATGAAGAGTATCTATCAATGAAGGTTAGAGCTTTATGACATGTTAAATTTATTTATAAAATAATTAGATCAATTTATTTTTTCTTAGAACCTTTTTTTAATCATTACTAATTATTTTAATTCTTTAGGCATTTTGAAACTAAAGGATGTACTATCAAACTTCTAACTTCCCCACTTGCCTTGATTAGAGCAATAAGAATAAAGTCAGTTACCATTCCTCTGTAAATAATGAATGAGATTGAACCGTAATGCTTGAATGTGTAACTCTTATTTGGGTAGTTGGCTCAAGTCGACTAAGTGAAGTGTTTTTGCAAATGGATTAACATATCTCAGAAATTAAAAATCGAACCTATATACTGTAAGTGATGGAAATTTTTTTAGCATTTTATCCCCTTTACAATGAGTTATTATTCAAAATTGTATCTTAACATGAAGCCATTTTAGAGAGGGAAAAAGGTAGTGTCGAAAACTAAATGATAACGAGTTTTACTGAACATAGAAATTCAAATTTAAATACCATGAAGAATTCAGAAACCAATTATGATATAAATGAGTCAAAGCAACATTTACTAAAGTAATAATACACAATTAGAATTGTATATATTACAAATGTTATTACTTTGTGATGGTCGTTAAGGAAATGAAGCCTCCTGATGAAGTTACCGTACAATTTGGGTCCTACACATTTGAAGATAATTTATATATCTGGGCTCCCAAGTAAACAAAATAATAATATTTTGCCTGAAATAAAAAGAAGAATAGTATCTGCTAATAGATACCAAAATTAACCCAAATGATACCATACTAACTTTGAAAAGTATATAAAAATAGGCAGCAAAAGTTAGAAATGTATGATAAATGAATTATGATTCAAAATGTTAGTTACATTAAGCTGTGTATCACATATTATCATATGAATTGTGAAATAAGAATTACAACGTGCTAACAAGATTATTAGCCTTTCATTCAAATTTTGAAAAATTATTACTAGTGAATTTAGCATGAAGGAAATATCATTTAAATAATTAATTATTAATTTTGTTAGTAACATGATGATGTGCCATTTCATTCTCTTTTGATTTAACAATTATAATTAGCAATGAAGATGGAAACAAGGCTATGCATAAAAAATAATATGAAGCCGAAACAAAATTATTATATCATTGAGACTCTACCTTCATTATAATGATTTTATTTCATTCTTCCATTTGAGTGCAATTTCTGTTAAAATAGCACTGTGATTTTGGTCTGGTTTTCTATACCGAAAACCATTTGGTTCTTTTCATTTGTATCCATTCAAGCCTATGAATAAAACTTGCCAAAAAACAAAAACAATTAAAACAAATAGGTGACTTAATTGATAATATTTTTCTATTACCTTAACTTTACCTTCTTGAAATAAGACTTCTACTATCTCTTTCATTATAGGTAATATGCCAGAATGGTGAACACCAATACCTTGTAACAATTGACTTTGCATAACTTTGATCTACAGCAAAAATGAAAAAAAAAAATTAATGTATAAAATTATATTTAATGATAGAAAAAATTATTATGTTTTATAAAATCAAAGAAATTTATAATAGTAAAAAAAAAAAAAGGCAACTGGACAATTAGTAGAGGCTAAATAAAAGGTCTAATAACACCGCATCGGTTACGTGTAAAATAAAAGATTTACAAAGCGAGATAGGTATAAAAACTAAATAATAAATATGAAAAGGTAAAAAAATATATTAACAGGCATCTAACCTGAGGTAGGTCTTGATCTACTTCATCTAGTTTTTCAACTTGGCTTTTGATAAATCTATGGATAAATGATTTTTCTGATTTTGTTGTAAGATCAATGGTTCTCAATCTATCAGCAAAAACATCACATTTTTTTCTAGAAAACACAAAAACGACAGCAGGTAGCCAATCTCTATTCTGAAGGAAAGAGACAACGGAAATCCACAGAGTTTGATCCTGAAAAATCACAACATTTTTATTGTCATATATTTATTACATACTAAAATAATTGTTGACTAAATTAAATACTTCAATATTACCAAAATGAATTTAAATAGAAAAAAATCTATTTTTTTTTTGTTATTAATTTACGAGCTGATTTTTCATAAACTTCAAAGAAAAATTGAATATTAGCACTTTTATATTTTCTTAAAACTGTTTTAATGTTATGATATCAAATTCATTTGATTTAATAATATCATAACCAGAGCATATTGTAACATTAATTTTACTTTAAGTCTATTATGACAATAATAAATGAATCGGTTACTACAATGGCCAAATATAATATATAATATGGTCGCTAATCTTATTTATAAGGCCATACTGCTAAGTTAAATCTGAGAAACATTAAAATAATTTTTCAAAAACTTAAATTGCCTTCAAATTATTAGAACACAAAACAAAACAAGAAAACTTGCCCTTTTTTCCTGAGAATCAGAAGGATTACAAAAGGGTTTAGGCTTTGAAATGGATCCTCTTTTCCACTCCTTTTCTTCTTCAGCTCTTTTTAACTGCTGCTTTTTCCTATTTTTACGCTCCTTTTCTTGATTTGCTTTCATGGCCATCTCAGCTTTTCCATACCTATTTAAGAATTATTTAATGCTGTAACAAGCTTTTTAAACATCTAGTGCTAATAAACAATAACTGTCATAATTAACTCATTTGTTTAACAAGGCATCTCATGGCAACAAACAAATGGACTATCTTAGTTATTGAATGAAATTAAAAACAATTAGAAAAATTAGATCTTCAGAAAAAAATTTTAGGAAGATAGTTTAGATATTTTTTTCTATTAAAAAAAAAGATAACTGCACAGTTATTTCTCCAGTATTAGGTACCTTCTTTATCATAAAATAATCTGCTTCAAGCTTCGTATTTCATATGAAGATTAAGTAAGTCAAATTACTTGACTCTAAGTCTATAGTCTTAACAACTTAGTGGCGATTCTAGAGTTTAGTCTTCCTCACATCCCCATATTCATCACCTGACTTGATGTGGGAGGATTAAGATGGTTGTAATTATTTAATGACTTAACGCCAGTCAGTATTGAGCCTAGTGATTTGATTTTTTCAAAAATAAAAAACAATAACATCAAACTCTACTATGTACCCCATTTCATCTTAAGATTGTAAATAACGGTTTAATGTTAATAAAAACCATTTTATGGCTCTAAATGATAGTTTAAATTGTGGTTAACCCATTTTTCTATGGAAAGCAGATATAATACCTTTAAGTTTTTGATAATGGCTGTTTGAAGTAGCTTAAGGCTCTATGTAACAGTGAGAAAATTATTCATCAAAACCACCTCAGCCATTTTCTGTGATGAAACAAAACATGTGTTATGAGAAGGAATTAGTCGAGGGTGCGGTCAAAAAAATAAAAAAAATTAAAATATATAAATAATTTTAATTTTTGCCGACGTTTCGACCCACTTTGCAGGTCGTCTTCAGGGCTACAAAAGATACAAACATGTTGAAAAAATAAAAATAAAATAAAAAATAAATATAAGTATATATAAATTACGAAGAAGTTGTCAGATACAGAAATAAAAGATAAAGAAAATAAATACATGATAAGAAAATAGATAAAAGAAAATAAATACATGAATGTTAACGAATAAATGAATGTTAACGAATAAATTGATTGAAAATTGAATAACTATTGTTACAGTAAAGTTAAAATATGGATAAGATAACATAATAATAAGATATCAGTGGATAACAAGCAAGTGGAGGTTACCTTTAATTGTAAATAAACAGATAACGGGACCAAAGGTTAAGAAGTGAAGAAATTGAAAGATTAATAGGGTAACATTAGTGTAATATTGTTGGGATAGATTATTAAGTATAAATAACTCTATAAGAAAACAATAATTTTAAAAGAATACTTTAAAATGTAAGAATAAATGTAAAAACAAGGTTATGATGATAAAGAAACAAAAAACAGGTTGTACTATATATAGATGACAATTGACATTTAGTTTTTTGAAAGTGGTAATGGAATGGTAGGCTATATGAAGATAATAATAAGGTGTATAGTTGAAGGATAGGTGTGTTAAGAAAGGAATCTCAATAAAAGTCAAAACATACCGTTGGATGTGGCACTGCGGGAGGCGGTTGAAACACTGGCAGTGTCAAAAACTCTAGTTAGCAGTGTCAAAAAAAAGTTCTAGTAAAAATAACCATATATATAATAAATATATATATAATAAATTTATATATATATATATATATATATAATAAATTTTAATAAATATATTTTAATAAATATATATATATATATATATAATAAATCTAAATTTATATATATATATATAATAAATAACAATATATATAATAAATCTCTATATATATATATATATATATATATATATATATATATATATATATATATAAAAGGAGAAGTAAAAGAAAGTATAAATGGAAGTGAGAAGATTAAATAGAGGTTTATGATCGAGACTTTTTTAAAATGTTGATGATTTGGGAGTAGGCGAGTGATAGATTTTGCTTGTCGGTTTTTAAGTTTAGTGGTTTGTAGTCTAATTGAATGAAAACACTTTCCGTAAGTAGTCTTTTGTCGTGGTTAGGTACTGTGGCAAGAATGGAGGTATTGTCAAAGTCAAATGTGTGGTTTGAGGTTAAGGCGTGTTCAGAGAGTTTAGAAGCAGTAGAGTTCTTAGAAGTAATTGAGTATTTGTGTTGTTTGATGCGGTCTTTAAGTTGGTTTTTGGTTTCTCCAATATAGGCGGAGTTACAATTGGTGGTAGAGCAAGGAATGCGGTATACGATATTAGAGCGGTGTTGCGGAGCGATGGGGTCTTTTAGGTTGGAGTAAATATTGGCAAGTTTGTTATAGTTTTTAAAAGCAACTCGCAGGTTGGGAATAGAGGAACGTAAAGATTTTTGAATTCTATCCGAAAGTAAAGGGATGTATGGTAGAGATCTATATAAAGGAATGGGGGGCTGATTTTGAGAACTAGAGAAAGGGATGGAGGATGAGGGGCGGGTTTTGTAGTCAGTAATAAGTTTTTTAATGGTGTTGGAGGGGAAGTTATTAGACAATAGTATCCGTTGTATGCGTCTAGTGTTTGTTTCATGTAGGTAAGGGTCAGATAGAGAAAAACATCGGTGAATGAGGTTTTTGGCAACGTTAAGTTTTTGGTGAAAGGGGTGTTGAGAATAGTAGTTGAGTAATCTGCCAGAGTATGTTGGTTTTGTGTACCAGTCTGTGGATAAAGTATTGTTGGGATGTCTTTTAATGAGAAGATCGAGGAAAGGGAGGGAATAGTTATCTTCGTATTCAACTGTAAAAGAGAGGCGGGGATGATATGAGTTAACGGCGGAAAGGATGTCAGGAATAGTATCAGGATTGACGATGAGAAGAAGGTCATCGACGTATTTTTTTATAAGAAATATGTCATTAGGAAACTGTGGGGCTATGGTGTTTAGGAGATCATTAAGAACAATGTTAGATAAGTCGGGTGCGAGAGGATTACCCATAGCTAATCCTGCAATTTGATTATAAAATTGTCCATGGAACTGGAGATAACCAGATTTGCAACAAAGTTGTAGGGATTCAATAAATGATGAACGGTTAAGGGAGGTATGAGACTCTAAGGATGACCAGTTATTTTCTACTATAAGAAGGGCTTTATCTATAGGGATGTTGGTGAAGAGGCTTTTAACGTCGAAAGAGACTAGAATGTAATTATCGGGAATGGTTAGGGATAATAACAAATTACGTAGATGAAAGGAGTTGTGGATATCATATGGATTGTCATGACTAAGGATTTGTAAGGATGGGAGTAGAAATTTGCTGAGTTTTAAAGAGGGAGAGTTGATATTAGAAGTGATAGGACGGAGGGGAGTGCCGGGTTTGTGAATTTTTGGAAGACCATAGAAACGGGGAGCCACGGAGTTATAAGAGATGAGGTTTCTGTAAGTAGGATATGTGATTTGTTTAGAGTGTAAGAGGTTTCTGATATGTTGGTTAAATTGGATTTTAAGAGAAGGAGTGGGGTCACGAGTTGTAGGAGCGTATGTAGATATGTCTGATAGGAGTTCAGTCATTTTTCTATTATAGTCTGTGAGGTCCATGATAACTGTTTTATTTCCTTTGTCCGCTTTAGTGATGATGATGTCGTCATGATTTTTAAGGAAGGAGCGTGTGGAATTTTTCCACTTAGGTCCGAATTTTTCCACCCCTAATTCCTCTACCAAACTCATCCCTGAACTTATTACTGACTTGGAATATATTTATAACGATCCGATCTTTCACCATTCTAATGATAATAAAGAATTATCTCGTGTTTCCATAACTAACATTATCTCTAACCATCTCCAACACCCCCCATCCACTACTTCTAACTTTTCCCCTCAATTCTTCAAAGATCTTTCTTCCACACGCTCCTTCCTTAAAAATCATGACGACATCATCATCACTAAAGCGGACAAAGGAAATAAAACAGTTATCATGGACCTCACAGACTATAATAGAAAAATGACTGAACTCCTATCAGACATATCTACATACGCTCCTACAACTCGTGACCCCACTCCTTCTCTTAAAATCCAATTTAACCAACATATCAGAAACCTCTTACACTCTAAACAAATCACATATCCTACTTACAGAAACCTCATCTCTTATAACTCCGTGGCATGACAATCCATATGATATCCACAACTCCTTTCATCTACGTAATTTGTTATTATCCCTAACCATTCCCGATAATTACATTCTAGTCTCTTTCGACGTTAAAAGCCTCTTCACCAACATCCCTATAGATAAAGCCCTTCTTATAGTAGAAAATAACTGGTCATCCTTAGAGTCTCATACCTCCCTTAACCGTTCATCATTTATTGAATCCCTACAACTTTGTTGCAAATCTGGTTATCTCCAGTTCCATGGACAATTTTATAATCAAATTGCAGGATTAGCTATGGGTAATCCTCTCGCACCCGACTTATCTAACATTGTTCTTAATGATCTCCTAAACACCATAGCCCCACAGTTTCCTAATGACATATTTCTTATAAAAAAATACGTCGATGACCTTCTTCTCATCGTCAATCCTGATACTATTCCTGACATCCTTTCCGCCTTTAACTCATATCATCCCCGCCTCTCTTTTACAGTTGAATACGAAGATAACTATTCCCTCCCTTTCCTCGATCTTCTCATTAAAAGACATCCCAACAATACTTTATCCACAGACTGGTACACAAAACCAACATACTCTGGCAGATTACTCAACTACTATTCTCAACACCCCTTTCACCAAAAACTTAACGTTGCCAAAAACCTCATTCACCGATGTTTTTCTCTATCTGACCCTTACCTACATGAAACAAACACTAGACGCATACAACGGATACTATTGTCTAATAACTTCCCCTCCAACACCATTAAAAAACTTATTACTGACTACAAAACCCGCCCCTCATCCTCCATCCCTTTCTCTAGTTCTCAAAATCAGCCCCCCATTCCTTTATATAGATCTCTACCATACATCCCTTTACTTTCGGATAGAATTCAAAAATCTTTACGTTCCTCTATTCCCAACCTGCGAGTTGCTTTTAAAAACTATAACAAACTTGCCAATATTTACTCCAACCTAAAAGACCCCATCGCTCCGCAACACCGCTCTAATATCGTATACCGCATTCCTTGCTCTACCACCAATTGTAACTCCGCCTATATTGGAGAAACCAAAAACCAACTTAAAGACCGCATCAAACAACACAAATACTCAATTACTTCTAAGAACTCTACTGCTTCTAAACTCTCTGAACACGCCTTAACCTCAAACCACACATTTGACTTTGACAATACCTCCATTCTTGCCACAGTACCTAACCACGACAAAAGACTACTTACGGAAAGTGTTTTCATTCAATTAGACTACAAACCACTAAACTTAAAAACCGACAAGCAAAATCTATCACTCGCCTACTCCCAAATCATCAACATTTTAAAAAAGTCTCGATCATAAACCTCTATTTAATCTTCTCACTTCCATTTATACTTTCTTTTACTTCTCCTTTTATATATATATATATATATATATATATATATATATATATATATATATATATATGATTTATTATATATATTGTTATTTATTATATATTATATTATATATATATATATATTTATTATATATATATATATATTTATTAAAATATATTTATTAAAATTTATTATATATATATATATATATATAAATTTATTATATATATATTTATTATATATATGGTTATTTTTACTAGAACTTTTTTTTTGACACTGCTAACTAGAGTTTTTGACACTGCCAGTGTTTCAACCGCCTCCCGCAGTGCCACATCCAACGGTATGTTTTGACTTTTATTGAGATTCCTTTCTTAACACACCTATCCTTCAACTATACACCTTATTATTATCTTCATATAGCCTACCATTCCATTACCACTTTCAAAAAACTAAATGTCAATTGTCATCTATATATAGTACAACCTGTTTTTTGTTTCTTTATCATCATAACCTTGTTTTTACATTTATTCTTACATTTTAAAGTATTCTTTTAAAATTATTGTTTTCTTATAGAGTTATTTATACTTAATAATCTATCCCAACAATATTACACTAATGTTACCCTATTAATCTTTCAATTTCTTCACTTCTTAACCTTTGGTCCCGTTATCTGTTTATTTACAATTAAAGGTAACCTCCACTTGCTTGTTATCCACTGATATCTTATTATTATGTTATCTTATCCATATTTTAACTTTACTGTAACAATAGTTATTCAATTTTCAATCAATTTATTCGTTAACATTCATTTATTCGTTAACATTCATGTATTTATTTTCTTTTATCTATTTTCTTATCATGTATTTATTTTCTTTATCTTTTATTTCTGTATCTGACAACTTCTTCGTAATTTATATATACTTATATTTATTTTTTATTTTATTTTTATTTTTTCAACATGTTTGTATCTTTTGTAGCCCTGAAGACGACCTGCAAAGTGGGTCGAAACGTCGGCAAAAATTAAAATTATTTATATATTTTAATTTTTTTTATTTTTTTGACCGCACCCTCGACTAATTCCTTCTCATATCATATCAACGGTCAACCAACTCTACATCATTATGAAAACATGTGTTACTTCACTAATAACATATGACCCAATCTCAATGATATCAATAATGGGATGCCTTTTAAATGTTTTAGTAGCAAAATTGAGCTGAAACTAGCTCTTGATAATTGAAACTAATGATAAATAATTCACGATTCTATGAAACACTGAGACCATGATGACCAAGAATATCAAGGCATCATAATCACCACCTCGAGTCTGAATGCAAACTGGGCGGGTTGCAACTTATTTCTTGGTGGACCCACAGAATGAATAGATGTTCTGCCACTCTCGTTAAAATAGGTCGGTCATGTCTGTATAATATCCCTCTCCTCCTATCCTATGCCAGAAATTCTAGATAGGGGGGGTAAAAGAAAAAAATAAAGTCTCATACTACAAATAATGTTAATGAATGCATACACAATATTTTTTTTTTTAATATAAAAAATATCTAATCAACATAGGATTAATTATTAAATGAATAGTTGAATATTATTTAATGAAAACATTAATAATTTAAACTTACTCATTCACCAAAAATGGTCCATCACCATCTTTGACAAGGTAAGTATCCCCTGGACTCGGACCACCCGTTCCTGTATATACGTAATGCTGTAGAGGAACTGGCCTGTGATGTGTCGCACAAACCATTACCTAATCAAAATAATTTAAAACAGTTTTAATAAAAACAAATTAAAACAGGATAGTTTTCAATGATAGACCAATACCTTTCGTTGTTTTGTTCGTCCAACCCAATTTGCGAACTCAAGGGTGTTTGGTACGGTTGCAGACAACATAACTATTTGAACCTGGGGTGGTAAAAGAATCAGTACTTCTTCCCAAACATGTCCTCTCTATAAACAGGATAATAATACTTATCATTACAGGCCAGTAATTGTAATGCTTAAATTATGGATTTTGATGTTATAAGAACTTTTAATGAGAAGAATAAAGAAGATATTGTCTTTTAGTATAGTTTTTATTATATTTACAACCAGTTTCAGTCTCTAGACCTTCTTAGGATTAAAAAAGGACACAATAGTCAACATCAACAAGCAATTGATGAAAGCAACAACAAAATAAATAAACTATAACACAAAGAATAAATAAATAAAACCAATATAAACACAATTTATTTTGTATGTTCTAAAACAAATTTTCTCGTGAAAGTTAGATGTACTTTATTTATTGTTTGTTTTTAAATGATTTTCAATATTGATTATTGCTATTTCTAGCTGTGCCCACATTAAATATTGAGCACACTTTCCTATTTCTAACAAATGACCAACAGCATCTTATTAAATAAATAATATCTAAAGAAAAACCAAAGATCATTAAAATAACTATTTTTTTTTCAAGTTACATCAGTATGATGCTATGTTCTAACACGCTATGTTTTAATAAACAATCTGTACAAATATATATGGACACATGAAATCTCAAATCAGGCATTGTTTTGAAAAAAAAAAAAAATGTCTGGTAATGTTAAGTTTCAAGGATCATCCTGAAATGACCAGTAAATTCTCTGCCATATCTAAAAAATCAAGGAAGCCACAGATGGCTGGCAGTATTGATCGATTATTGAAAATAATAAACCAAAATATCAGGCATATAGAAAACTATATATAAGAAATTTTGGTATCTCTGTGATATCCACAAATGATGCTGAAATATTTTTTTCTGAAACATCATGATATTGCAAATATAAACCAAGTTGTTCTATCATCATACCCAATATATTTAGTACATAAACCAAGTTACTTCATATCTCCGGACATGAAATGGAGTTAAAAAAAAATCTGGTGTGTCCACTCACATGACTTTCCTACCTATTTCAGAAAAGTTTTTATATTTTTACATATGTTCATGAAGAAACAAAAAAGAATTGAACTAGATAAATTTTCCTGAAAATTGATCTAACATAAGATTTGAGTACGATTTATTTGATAAACTAAAGCAATGTAAACCGGCTTAAGGTAGTTAATTTCTGTTAAATGTAGAGGAAATAGTGAAGATTGTGTGATGCGGGCAACAGATTTTCTTACATTCACTTAGTCATCTTTATTCTCTCATTCACCCCTTTCTGACACCAGGATATGAAAACGTAATCTTACATTGGAAATTGAATAGCCGTAACTTCGTTAATAGTTGTCCAAAATGAACGATTTTTATATGGCTTTGTAAGGAATTTCATTACCTTTCAAACGACAGACTAATTGTGTTTTTCGGACTCAGGGTGCTCTGAAAAGTATAGATCCGTCGAAAACCGCATGTCGGAAATTTGACCCGATTGCAATACTTTTGTTACCTAGTATAGGTAGGAAAGTAATAAGTTAAAACATAGAATAAGCTGTATCATCGCTAATACTGTTTCGATTCTGATGTTTTTTTTTAATTGTTTTCTTGGAAATTTAATTACCTTTCAAAAGTTTTATTATAAATTTTACCGTATAACATATACTTAGGGAGTTAGGCCCCATAACATTATTATTTTCTTTATAACTTTTTTTCTTGAATTTTTTCGGGAATTTATTCTATATACAAAAATTGAAAGGACAATGATTAGAACATTATAGGAAAGTTTCATCAAAATTGTTAGAGCCGTTTTTGCATTACAGTTTATAGAAAAACATGTTTTTCATTTATTGCGCGCAAGCTATTGCGCATGGAGCACCGAATTTCTGTCACAGGCATCGGTAGTCAAAACCCTACAAAATAAAAAAAGAAGCAACAAAATCGGTTCAGTAGTTCCCGAGAAAATCTTGACACAGACAGACAGACAGACCAATGGCTAAAAATGTGTTTTTCGGACTCAGGATGCTCTGAAACGTATAGATCCGTCGAAAACCGCATGTCGGAAATTTGACCCGATTGCAATACTTTCCTAACCTAGTATAGGTAGGAAAGTAAAAAGGGGGGAACATAATAGAAAATCGGGAATTGTTGGTGAAAAGTAGGACTTCATTAATAAAATCTAAACAGAGAAGATAAGATAAAACGGGGTTATCTAAGCAACAAATCAAAATAACTATAACAATGCATTCCAAAATCTTCATTATACAGTGAATTCTAGTTTTGGCATATTGAAGGTAGCTAGACTTACTAGATCAGTTCTACACATAATTTTATTATCCATTAAAAAAATTGTGTATTATAATCTGTTTATATATTTAATTTTGATTAATAATGGAGTAATTTAAAATCTATATAAAGGTGTATGTAAGTTTTTAAATAAACAAAGTATAAATGCACAATAATGTTGGGGAGTGAATATCATCACTGCTATAAAACTAAAAATTTTATCCAAGAGAAGAATGGTTGGAGTGATCAGTAAACAAAAAAAATAAATAAGGATATTTATTTTTATTTTTGCCGAAGTGAAGGATACCGCAAGACCTCTTGCAGGTACCCAAGGTCTTGCGGTATCCTTTATTTGACCAGACCTGATGAAAGCTTGAACTTTGGGCTGAAACTTGGGCAAAAATAAAATAAATATACTTATATACTTTTATTATTATTTTTTTACTGATCATCCCAACCATCCTTCTTTTCAATTATTCACTACAATCAACCATCAATCCACAATTAAAAATTTTATTATAGAAGATACCTTACCTCTGGATCGTTAATGTAATGAACTTCATCAAAAACAACAAATTCCAAATCGCGTATTTTCTCTGATGTATTGTACAACATTGATCTCAAGATTTCTGTAGTCATAATCAAACATTCAGCATTTTCATTTAATTGAATATCTCCAGTTATGAGGCCAACAGAACCAAATATGCGCTTAAAATCAGCATACTTTTGATTTGACAGAGCTTTGACCGGAGATGTATAAACAGCCCTTCAAATGATAAATAACAAACATTAATAACAATTCACAAGAATAATTTTACAGAAATTTAAGCATATCATTTTAATTATTACTAACTGTTAATGAAAAAAAAGGTTGGTAACATTTTGAATACACCAATTCTTAAAACTGAACTAGGAAACAGCGTAATGTGGATTAAACCTGGAGGAGGTTGTCCACAGGGAGGTGTGCTCTCTCCATTACTGTGGTGCTTGGTGGTGGACTCCTTGCTCTTAAAACTAAACACTGCAGGCTTTTATACACAAGGATATGCGGATGATACCACTATTCTAATTGGTGGAAAATATAAGAATGTTCTATCTGATCAAGGGAGTGAGGTAGCTCAGTGGTAGGGCACTGTGCTTCCAATGCTAAAGGTCCCAGGTTTGAACCCTGGCTCATGGCAGAAAATTTATTTATCTGTTTCATTGACTGTGGGGAGACCTTCCTGGGGCACACACAGCCTCTATAAAGTGGGTACCCTTAATTAAATAATTAATTAAGGGAAAAACCTGGCGGTTGAGTGTGGTCTCGATCAAATCACCTCCTGGCACAACCGCAGACCTAGAAACAGTGCTTTCCCTAAATAGTGCTGAACCCAAGACCCTTTATGGGTTGTAGTGGTATAGGTTTTTCTATATGATCTGTTGAGTAATACGACAGAAGTCATGGAAGGACGGTGCTGGTCCAGTGGACTTAGTGTCAACTCGGCCAAGATAACTGTTTGCATCTTCACAAGGAAAAAAAAAGGTAGAAGAAAGACATCCTAAAATAAATAATATCCAGCTAACAGAAAGTAAGGAGATAAAACACCTAGGTGTTATGCTGGACAGTAAAATGATGTGGAATAAGCATGTGGAGTACACAATTAAAAAAGCTCTAAAATGCCCCTGGACATGTAAGAATGCTGTAGGGAAAGCAGGGGGACTTAAACCTCGGATGGTCTACTGGCTGAATGTTGCACCAGTCAGACCTGTGCTTTTATATTCAACTGTTGTATTGTGGCATAGGGCATGAGTGGGCCACAACAGGATACAATTGGAAAAATTATAGAGATTAGCCTGTTAAATGATAACGAGCAAAATGAAAACAACTCCAACTGCAGCCATGGAGATAATGTTAGGTCTTTTACCACTGCAATTGGAGATTGAAAAGCAGGCCGTGAAAACTTTTTACAGGCTAAAAAAGTTAAACTTATGTTCAAAGATAAACACCCTTGAGGGACATTGGGAAATAATTAAAAAAATTGAGGCAGACAGGCTGCTCACAATGCATTCTGACACTCAAACCCGAGAATTTCTCACAAAGATGTTTAATGTAAAAATAGACAGCTCAGGAAAACACAAACCCATTAATGGGATTAATTGTTATACTGATGGGTCACTCATGACATGCAGATCTGGAGCTGGCTTTTGGAGAAGGGATAAACCAGACCTTATCTAGACCTAATAAGGTAAACATTGAATGGGTTCCAGGTCACTCTGGAATACATGGCAATGAGATGGGCGATGAACTAGCTAGACTAGGCTCACAAATGACACCTATAGCTCCAGAGCCCATCTGTGGAATTAGTCAGTGTTTAATAACAAACAGAATCGGGGAGATGTATGGTGCTGAAACTAAAAAGAACTGGTGCTTGAAAAAACAGACCCACTCTAGACTGTTTCTCGCAGGAATCTGTCAAAAAAGAAATAACTTGCTAATTAATCTGAGCAGGAGCTCACTTAAGAAAATTACAGCAGCATATACAGGGCTCTGTAAACTGAATTATCATATGTTCAAACTCCGGCTCACGGAGTCGTCTTTTTGTAGATACTGTGGCTGGGAGGATGAGACAGCTGGATTAAGACATGGATTAAGATTCCGATTATTCGGCATTGATAGGGAGAAGGATTCCAAGGCAAACGAGTTTATCAATCCAACAAGCTTATTACAGTTCATTGAGACTGCAGGAATTACATTCTAAACAGGATTGACTTTAAATAAGGCGTACAATAGGCCTACATGGCCACAGTGCACTCATGCCGCTTTAAGAACATGAGCTGCCTATGAACCATCACTAAATGGGATGAATGTAAATGCAGTTTTAAAAATAAGATTGCTTAAAAAATCTAAGTTATTAAATGAAAATAATTTTTGCAGACTTCTATGAAGAAAAAAAAAAGAAGTATTCCACTCTTTATTTCAAACAGAAGGGAAATGAAAAAACTGTTGAAGAAACTAAAAATGTTGAATATTCTTTTAGTATAGATGGCATATTTTTGTATACAATATTCTATTGTATATTAATATTCTAGGAAGAGTTTAGCCATCTTATGATGATAAGGTGAAGTAATTAAACAAGAACCAGCAGTGTTACCTACCTGTACAATAAATAAAACAACACAGCCTTCATAAAGTCTGCAAAAAATGGAAGTGTATCATAATTTTTGTAATTATAAAATAGATTACTTGCTCCTATTTCGTTTAGACATCGCTATTGCATATTCAGCAACAACAGTCTTTCCAGCAGAGGTGTGAGCTGAGACAAACACATTGTAGCCATTTTCAAGGGCCTGTATAGCCTACAAAATAATAAAACAAGATAGTTTATAATTTGATTAATTAGTTACATACTTAACACTTATAAGAAAAAGATTTTTTTTTTTACACATGAATGTTATATCCCCTCACAGGTGTTAACACTTCACAGTTATTGATTATGAATATTCTTAATATTTACATTAGCTGCAATTAATGTCAAATATTTAGAGATCTATTTATTTCCTAAAGGCAATAAGTAGTATTCTTAAAGTTTAACCATTACTGATTTTAATAATTTTATTGAGGAATGTAACAAAAAAAAATAAGGCAGAGACTTTTTCTGAATATTATAGAGTAATCATAAATTTGGGTGAGAATAGAAACAACCATGGATGGACCCTGGGGTCGGGAGTGTATTTTTTTATTTATTTTACTATCTTGTATAAGAGTTGAGAATGAGTTACTAATGCTAACATGTGGAATGCAATTGATTGTTCCTCCAACAATAATATATCACCTTTGGAATATTGAAAGAGTGTGTGTAGAGTGGAAAAAGTATACATTATATTTTTATAAGTTAGTTTCCAGAGTTATTTTTTCTGGAATGATGGGTACGAGAATCTGACCTGGTGTTACTAAGTATAGATTGACAGGAAACTAATTTTCCATAACTCTGATGTTTATGTTTCTAACAGTTCATTTGTTTACTCCAATTTCTATTAAAAAAAAAAAACTCATTGTTAAGTTCTTTTTTTTCAGTTTAAAAGTGATAATTCTTTTTTTTTTTTTAATTTATTAGAAACCATATTGTTGGTGCTATGAATGGTTTTTCTGATGTACACACATTTTATAAGTAGCAACACTTAAATACAATTATTCCTTGTAGATATCCATCCGTTCAGCTTACCAAGGAGCAGAGTGAGGAAGTAAAAGCCCAGGTGATCAAATTTGATGATTGACTGGAGACTGGTGGTTTCATCTCAGAGTTTAGGGGTTTTAGCCACCATCCGGTATCATTGTTTGTGATGATCAAGACACCAAAGACTGGTATTATAGTGTAGTGGAAGGCTTCACTATCAGTGAGGATATTCAACCGTGCTGATAGTGTCGAAGAACTCAAAAAAGCTGTTATTGTAGGGGCATACTTCCCTGGCAAGAAAATTCCGGAAGAGCTACTATTAGATTTCGGATTCAAAATGGTAGGATCCCAGACATCGACACAGTTGGCAGTTGTAGGAAACTAAGGCGGAAACGAATGGATTCTACGGAATTCTTTGAATCCCTGAAAAAAGTATCAAACACCTTGAGGGCAGAAACATGATGGTGACGTATGACACAGCCAATGTTGCACTCAAGGTATTTGAGAAGAAAAAGCAGCCAAACCTAATGCGCAGACCGCAAAGGTTTTTATAGACTCCTACTATAAAAGTTCCCCAGGCAGATGAGGTAGAGGGAACTTCTGCTTCCACTTGTGAAAATGTAGTAGCGTCTGAGTCAGCTGAGGGCTTATCTCCGGTGGATGTGGGGGGGTCTCTGGACCCGAGAAATATGAAATCGGAACGGATGTACCCCCTCTGACCCTGGCGGAAGGTGGTCCTCCTGTAGCTGGCTTCTCTTAATGATGGTTAAGCTGCTGCAGGTGAATCTCCATTACTATGTGGCATCTTGTCGCGTGCTTCAGCAGTATGTTAGAGGTAAGGATATTGATATACTGATTCAAGAACCATACCTGTTCGAGAGCAGGATTAGGGGAATGAATATGGCTGGGTTAGCATTATTGAGACAATCTTCAAAGATTTGCATGCCTTATGACGAAGGGAGCTATGAGCACTACTCCTACTACTGTAATGGAGGTTCTTTTGAACCTGACACCATTGCATTTAGAAGTGGAAGTACATGCTCTCAGAAATGCCTATAGATTGGATAAACTGGGAACGAGATCAAAATTCTTGACGTTTCAGGATTATGGGATCTTCTTTGATAGGATTGATAGCAATGAGGTGATTGAGATGAACTCTGACCTTCAAGTTGATAATTGATAAAGATATACTACATAATTTGAAGATAGGCAGGAATAACTCACATAGGCCATGTAATTGAGTTAACTGTTGTACCGACGGATTTTTGATGGAGCAAAGATCAGGGGCTAGTATCTGCAGAAAGGATAAACCTAATGAGGGAATATTCATATCACTAGGTAGATATACGTCCGTCTTTTAAGCTGAGATTCTAGCTATCGACTTCTTTACTCAATCACTTATAAGGGAGGGCATTGTAAATAGATTGATAACAATATATACGGATAGTCAAGTGGCAATTGGGGCCCTGAATAGTTATGCAACTCGCTCAAAATTGGTGGATGAATGTAAAGGCAACCTTAATCTTCTTTGTGGTACTAATAAGGTGAGAGTAAAATGGGCACCTGGGCACTCAGGCATTTCAGGAAATGAGAAAGGCGATTACCTTGCTAGGAAAGGCTCTGTACAAGTGCTGGTTGCAGCAGAACCCATTTGTGAGATAAGCCTTATTAAGGCATATTAAGCCTTAATAAGGCATATTAAGGCGATCGTGGGTAATAAATTTATGCTCTATTGGGAACAGACTAAGAAACAAACTCATTATAAGTAGTTCCTAGTAGGGCCCTGTCACAAGAGAAGTAAATTACTTCTTCTAATGGATAGCAGTACCATTAGGTGTGTGACAGGATTGTACACTGGTCATTGTCAATTAAATAAGCACCTTTTTAATTTGGACATAAGTGAGACCTCCACCTGCAGCCTCTATCGTCTGGAGGATGAAACCGCCTATCACATTTTTTGTAGATATGATAATTTGGCTAGACTGTGATACTTTCACTTTGGGTATGATCGTATCACTGACCCTAAGCACTGCAAACTGATCGATCCTATTAGTATTAACAGGTTCGCAAAGGCATCTAGCCTTTTTTAATTGAGTCCAGGATGATGCACATTGAGGCCACGGTGCACTGTTATGTCGCGAAAAAAACAAAAACACTTAAATGTCAACACCCATGTCAGGATATAAGAAACTTTCTATTTTTTGTCTCATTTTTCAATAATTAATATATACTTCGAACAACAAGGAAAAATTAATGAAAGTTACATGTTTCTGGAAGCCATCCAAATCAAATGGATACGACATAGCAGGAGTCCCCACCAACTCAATCTTGGCATTTGAATTGACCTCTTCAGCCCATTCTTCTTTCCTCAACGGCCTCGGTACATCTCTCAAACGAAGAACAGGGATTTTCGGAGGAAGCGGAGCCTCTGTTTCTTCCTGAGTCTACAAAAATAAGTAAATATATACATCACAGTCAAAACACCAACTTATTACTTATCACACCAATTTGAGAAATGATTAAGTAACATAGTTTATTAATTTTGGTTAATTCAAATAAAAAGAATGAGCCTGGTATATATATATATATAAAAACCTTTATAGATAGAATAATGATATAATATTAACCAACTATGACCTCTCATCAATAACCATAATTATTATAAATGGTAAATGTAATAATAACCATAATTATTATAAATGGTAAATGTAATATCACAATTATAAATTAAACAAAATAGATAAATATTGTTGAAAAGTACCAAAGACATAGAAATAAATTCGGAAAATTGAAGAGAAGTTTATTACAATTTTTAAACGGATTCATTTTGTCAAATCAGAAAAAAATATTATATCTATACCACAATATAACCTACCCCTTGATAAAACAAATTGTTGCTTTTTTTAGTACTTAAAACTTGATAACAGCTATATAAGAGAGGCATATTAAAAAAAGTTATAAATAAAATTATAATATTCACAAACTGAATGAAAACTTTTTAGTGGTAAATACATTTACTTAACTTCCTTTTTAAAAATTTAACAATCAAACAGATGTTTTTTTGTTTGTTTTTTAAAAACACTAACCATGAAACCATACTAAAATAAAACACAATGGAGGCCATAAGTCAATTATTTATGATACATGTTTTTGATTTTCTAAAACCAATATTTACTAATTCATAGTAGAATTATGTAAGCTATAAAAAAATAAAATAACAATATTAAAATTAATTAATTAAAGTGTTGCAGTATGAAATGATATGTTTTAGTTTTTATAATGAAACTCGTTTATCCTGAAAGATGCTAACATAATTTATGTAAGAGAATAAAAACATTTCAACAAATTAACAACAGTATAGCACTCTAATTAAGGTCACTTAATTCAATTTTCTAATCACCAATATATGCTGATTATTGTACTTGTATTTGCATAATTGACTATTGTACACAATTTTTATAGTCAATTTTCAACCGATAAACTTTTCATAAATATAGAACATTTCTGAGAAAAAATAGGAATAAATTTATCAGGAAAAGAAATTTTATTCAGGATATATTCAAAAACTAAAACATTTTATGGGAAATAGTATATAAAATTTTCTAGGAAGATTTCAGTAATGAAGAGGAAGATTTTCAATAGAAAGTATAGTCCAGCGCTGCAATATATCTTATGGGTTTTTTCAAGATTTATATTTTCTGATAAAAAAACAAACTTTTGTAAATCTAAATGCAACAGGCAATTTTTCAAATTTTGCCACCATTTTTATCTGATATCACCATGAATCTAATATGAATTTTGTATAAGATGTGAACCAATTTGTAAGAAAATATATTGCTTTCTAAGTAATTTCTAAAATAAGACTAAATAAATTGAACCAATAAAATTGAATCATTTTTAGAAATATACAGTATAATCTTAAAGATCTTAATTATATAGATTCTTTAAATGTTTCCCACCATTGCGAAGCTAGTCTAAATTAAGTCATAAAATATCAGATACTAATAGCAATATGAGAACCTAACAAGTATATTTATGCTCCGGTTTTGCAATCTCGTAGATAGGGTTCAAAATCAGTTGTTAGAAATTATACGGCATAGGAATGTCATTCATTGTTCCTCCAATAATAATACATAACATTTACAAGAATGAAAAAGTGTGTACATCAGAAAAACCATTCATAACACCAACAATATGGTCTCTAATAAATAAATAAAAAAAAAGAATTATCACTTTTAAACTGAAAAAAAAGAACTTATCAATGAGTTTTTTTTTTTTAATAGAAATTGGAGTAAACAAATAAACTGTTGGAAACATAAACATCAGTCATGGAAAATTAGTTTCCTGTCAATCTATACTAGGTCAGATTCTCGGACCCATCATACCAGAAAAAAAAATTCTGGAAACTAACTTATAAAAATACAATGTATATTTTTTCCACTCTACACACACTTTCAATATTGCAAAGGTAATATATTATTGTTGGAGTAATAATAAAAGGCATTCCACACATTAACATTTGTAAGTCATTCTCAACCCTTATAAAAGATAGTAAAACCAAAACAAAAACATAAACATAGGTAATCGTATTACTGCAGGTACCAACATATTTTCCTTCCAAACCTCACTATTTCTTCTAAATCAAACTACAAATTAACAAATTTATTGTGAGATTCTATGACAGCTTGATAGCTTGACAGCAGTTCCGTGGGGTGGTAAAGAAGAATTGGGAGGTTGTTTTTTGGTGAGTAGGAATCTCACACTGCTGTATGACTTTTGTTGGTTGCACTTCGTCTTATGAAAGACTTTTCCCCTACCCAGAAATAAATTAAAAAAACAAAAACACACACTCATATTATATATCATATTTTACCTTTGTCATAGTATGATCTTTTTCAACAAAATCACTTTCATCTATTTTCAAATCTTCAACTCTTTTTTCTAGTTCTTCTTCTCTTTTAGAAATTTCATTTGTTCTTACTTCTATTTCAGGTTCATTAGGTTTCTCCTCAACATCTGATTTTAAACCAGTTGCATTTTTTTCTAGTGATTTATTCTCATCATACTCTGCAACATTAAGTCCGCCATTATCAGATTGCAGAACACTGTCTTCATCAACAATTGATTCAGGTCGGCCATTTTCATCTTCACCCTCCTTTTTCTGTTCTACTAATTTTTTAAACATTAGAATAGGAATGTCATCTTCTGTGAGTGTTTGGTCCGTATTTTCCAAGTATGACTCATAATTCTCGAATGATTCTGGAGGTATTCTTTCTCTAAGATTTGACACTTTATCACCACAATGTTCACTAAAATATTTTTTCCACTTTCTTATTTTATCTCGTGAAGGTTCATATTTCCCATCTATCCATGCTTTCATCTTGCGAGGGACTTTGAATTTTTTATGTTTAACAAAAACTATTTCTTTTAGTCTTTCTGCATTTTTAATGAGGCCTTCTTCTGAAGGAATAGGCTTTGTTTCAAAAGGAGCCCATTGTGTAACAATATTATCAACTTCATCAGGTACATCTGAATTGTCCTCAGACTCAGATGAAGATAAAGTTTCAGATGCATAACAACGTCTCCTTCTTTTTTTTGGGCAAGCAGTTCGTCTGGCTGTGTTTCTAGGAGTAGTAGAAGACATGACAAGCTCATCTTCATCTACCTTTTCATCTTCATCAGCAGTTGGTAAATCACTATTATTTTCACTATCATTCGTTGGCTTTTTCTCCATCACATCTATTAACAATTGATACTATTAATTTACAATATCTTTTTGACTAATATAAATTAATAAAAAATAAGTGATATTCTTACTATGTTTAATTAATGAATATGAGTATTTCTGCTATTCAGGAGATAAAAAAAAACTGAATGCTTTACTTTTAACTTATCCTTGCAAATATTTTATCTCTTGTGTCTTTTTATTTCTTTAACTTTCGGATTTATGTTTATATGACTTTTTTTTTTTTTTAAATACTTTCTATAAATGATAAAACTAACAAATTCAAAAAACGCTTTTTTCGTATTTGTTACTTAAATGTGATACTGAAAGTATAATGTGCTTATAGGCATGTATTATTATTGAATAACTCTGATCTATTAAACTTCATTTAGAACAATTATTACTTTAAAAACATAAATAATTACTAAAATATAAAAAGGAATTAGGAACTCCTGATATTTTCTTCATGATCAATTAAACCATTTAACATAACATGAAATTAACGACTGATATAAAATAATACAGAAAAATTACATTACCTTCCGTTGTGAATGGATCTGGTTTAAAAATTACTTGTACATCATCAGAATCATCTGACTCTGAAGAACTTTCCAACTCAGGTGTTGATAAGTCAAAAGGTTTGGATAAATCACAGAATGCTTCATTAGAAAACTGAGGGTAATGTTGTGCCAAAAGACTACGAAATTCAACTGAAATAAAAATAATATTATAAGTATAACAAAATAAACGTATCATCCTTGATACTAAATTAACTATGATATTTCAAATGACCTATTTTAAACTTCCTGTTAAAATTTCTTAGAAATAAAAAATCCATGTTAATTGAAAAAAACAAAACATTAAAAGTAATATTTTGATATACATTCATATGTCATCTCTTTATTATTTATCAAGAACAATACATAAAATTCTTTAAGTCGTCACTTCTTAAGAAATGACATAAATCATCATGCAAGGTTATAAAGACATGAATTAAAAAATTGGCAAAAACATTATGTCACTGGCACAAACTTCTCGTACGTAATTTTTCCAATCGGTGATGCTAATCCCAGACATTTCAAATTCTTCCTTACTGAATTATGTAGTTGTGTACTCATTAGCCCAACAATAAATCAATAAACAGTTAAACAAAATTTTATTATTTTTAATATATTTAAAATTATATTTTAAGTAATATACATAAACAATAATATTTATGGAACATATATATAGCATTACAAAGTGAAGACTATCAAATGACACTTTCAAACAAAACTATAAAACATTTGTTATAAAAAGTGATAATTTATCAAATAACAGGTAATATTTTATATTAATTATAGATTGTACAAATGTTGGTTCTTTTCTACTTTAAGCACACCAGTCAATTTTTTTTATCACTTTATTAATTTGAAAGTTAAGAACAGTTACTACCGTTGAAAAGTTACTTAAATGCATGTCTAAAATTTTTACTGAAAGTAAACCTTATCTCCTATCCTAGAGAAGACTATGTAACTTTATAAATATTAATGTGATGTAACATAAATATAATATTTTTCAGTTTTGTAGATGGATGAAATTTTTAATACAATACAAAATTGCTTCAAAATAATCTTCAATTGATACCATTTCCTGCAAAGTAATTCGCAGAAGTAGGAATCGATCATACTCTTTCTTGTTTCGTATTTCTTTTTATTATGATATTTCATTCTGGTCCAAAGGGATTCTATTTTTTGCACGTTTGCGCCTGAAACCGGATCAACAACATTTTGTGAATGGTTAATAGTGAGGTGTTTAAATTGGGATTTTCTGTTTTCTGGAATAGGATTTCCATAAATCAGAAAATATTGTTGTTGTACTCAGTTTTATAGATGTTTATACTTGTTAAGGTGGCTGCAATTCTTTCAGGAACAGTGTGTAGAAATACCTCATTGGTTTCTCTCCAGATACCACAGAAGATCCAATACCGAGGGAATACCCTTCTAACTTTATATTTCCTTCTTGAGAAACACGTCTCAACGATCTCAACATGAAGGCGTTTGTACTATCCTAATACTAATCCCAGACATTTCAAATTCTTTCTTACTGAATTTCGTAGTTGTGTACTCATTGGCCCAACAATAAATTAATAAAATAGCCTTCTTTAAAGGTGATCGGCAATTTTTAAACCACGTTCCTAAATAAACCCCATAGGAAACACTACAACTTATTTTTGTGCACCTCCGCTTAGGACCTCTGTCTTTCATAAAACAAATTGACATTTTGTATAATCAAGAACACCTTGTTTTGTGCAACAAATCATACCGCTGTAAAGTATTGATAACTTCCTTGACAGCAAATTACAATGTGATCATTACATATTTATATGTATATATTACAATAATTATATGTTACAGATTAATGAACTTGCAGGAAACAACTGAAAACCGTATTTAATAAGAAAAAATAAATAAATTATTATAATTTTTAATTTAAGTGTAAAATGAATAGGAATGCTATACCTAAATTGAAAAATGCAGAATGTTCACTGATGTAAGGGAAAGTTAAAAATTTTTCTGAATAAGATTCCAGGGTTTCAAGTTTCAAACTGTAATCAGGTACTGGTATTTCACCTAACTGTAAAATAAATAAAAATATATATAAAATAAATAAATAAAAAAACACTATAATTTATATTTTTGATAGTTTATTAAAAATTAAAACAATGTAACAAGAAATAATATGGGGGTTAAAAAAAAAGACCATAATATATTTTCTGTAAAGAGGCTAAAACAACTGGGCCGTTGGAAAGGAAATAGAAGAAAAAAAAAATTTCAAGGTATTAAACAAATATTAATGCCTTGAGGTGATGAAGAGTTAGCTTAATTATGGAAGGTTAAAGTAGCCATAATATAGGTTAAGAAAAACTAAAGAGACAAAATATTCATTGTTATTTTAATAAACTTGAAAATTGGAAGCAGATGAAGGAAATTTATAATTTATCTATCATTAGTTAATTAATAGTAATTAATAACATTTTTTTAGAACTTCATATCCCTAGAACATAATTAAAAACTTAATTTAATAGAAAATTAAAAACTTTTATTTGGTTACATCAACATATTTATTTTGTAACATTTCAGCCTTTTTGCCATTTTAAAACATTTCAGTTTCACCTGTTTTATTCTATCTGTCCAAAAATTGTCTGTTAATAATTTTTTATTTGTCAATATCATCTAGACAAAAAGGAAAACTTTCTTCTCGTCTAGATTATATTAATCTAATAAAATTTATTCAATAAATAGATTCAGGATAGAAATTAATGATTTGCAAAACAAAATTTTGACCGCACCTCCTGACTAACTTCTTCTGAAATTAGAATATACAGACAACTATCTCTATAACATTTAAAAAAAAAAAAAAAAAAAAAAAAAAAAAGGCATCTTTAATATTGGTAAGTCGCTTTTCCCTCCACATGTGGTGGGACAAGATTGGTTCGGAGATCACCTGGCTAATTGAAAATAGTGTATATAGGTATGTTTGTATATAAGATGTTTGTTATTACTTTATTTATTTATATTTCTGTATATACGGTATGAATGTACTCTCTGAACTCTATTATAAGTGTCCTTAACTGTGACAGATTGTAATATTTCCTAGTAAAATGTTGAAAAAAAAAAAATATTGGTAAGATACGGAAGGAGGATTAGGGCAAGAGATATGTGTGTATGAGGTGTATTTTTATTAAGAGAAAGTTTCATATTATCGAAACCAAGTCACCTTAATACCTGTATATCTTATATAATATGAAATGAATGATTATGGTCTGTGGTCATGGCCTTGTTTTCATTTTGACTTACTATCATTAAATTATTCTGAGAATAAAATATAATTTGTCACTTTGAATGGATATAATTAATTACTTACACCTTCCAATGTTCCTCCTCGTTTAAAATATTCAGTTTTAAATTCATTACACATGGCTCCATTTTTTTGTTGTTCAACATATTTGCTATAATTCCTTTTGATGAGATCTTTTTCCATTTTAATTTTCTGAAAAAGATACCTTTCCATTCCGCCATCATTGTCAGTCTGTGTTTGCTAGAAAAAAAAAAACTTTTTTTATTGTTATAGATTTTATTTATATATAACAGTTTTGTAATGAAATTTAATAATTGTAATACTCAAACATGACAGGATAATAAACATATATTTTTTTAAATAGATCAATGGGATTTACAAACGTTATTTTAAAATACAGTTTATACATTGGAATTAACATTATTAGGTAGACCAATCAGGCAAAGAAAGTGTATCAAATCAACAGGTTAGCAACTTATTTATTCTAGTCAGATTGAAAATGTCAGTTAAAATATTTGGTATTCTGTGGTCAGCCCCAAAATATCAGCAAATCAATATTCACTAATGTAAGCTCAAGAGTATGAGAGTGAGGCTTAAAAGAGAATGAAGAATTAAAGAAATTAAGGCTGTATCATTAAAGAATATTAAGAGTTAGAAAATATAAATAATATACTTAAGTAAAATAGATTTAATTAACATGAATAAAATAGTAAAATTAACATGGACCAGACAGTTTATGGATTGGTATCCAAGTCCAAGAGAGCACGTGAGGAAGAAAGGACGCCCGCCGACAGACTGGGACAAGGAGTTGAAGAAGACCTGCGGGGGAGCAGCCTGGAAGAGAGTAGCATTAGAGAGGAAAGAATGGAAAAGGATGGGACAGGTTCATTATCTAGTGTGGTTACAAGAAAGCTAAGTAAAAAAAAAAAAAAAGAAAAAAAGAAATGAAAGAAATCGAACTCAAAACCTCAACTAAGTTGATTTTGTACATATAAGAGATTTTGTATATATCTATTTTTTATCCATTGTTTTTTTCATTGCATGTACAAATAAAGGTTATTATTATTATTATAAATTAGATTTAGAGAACCCTCTAATAAAGTAGTCCACAACATATAGCTTGGTGGGTAAATACCTTTGGGTTGGGACAGCACTGGGGAGTGAGAAATCAGCATTTTGTATATTTTTTACTAGATCATAAAACTACAAATTTTACCAAACAATCAATGAATAGGAAGTATGATTCTAAAGGGATAGATCATGTGAAAAAATTATTTAACTACTTTGATCCTCTTCTTTCCCAGTGATATAAATGCAACTGAAATTTTGAAATGATCAATATACGCTTGCTGAAAGGTGATATAAAATTGTTTTCTTTGCCCTAGAGTTACAAAACAGTCACTTATTTGTTTTTTCTAGTTTATAGAAGTTAATTTTTAATCGAAATGGTACTGGGCTGCAAGGTCTCTGATGGCGGAAGCCAATAAATAGAAGCATAATTAAAAAAAAATTAAAATTCCAATATATTGCTTCTTCACATATTATTCTCATAAACACTAATAACATGATTCATACAAAAAGTAAATTTAAAAAAATTAAAATACCTTTAATTTATCTTTTTCGCATGGCTCACTAAATGTCTCAACTTTAGAATGGGGTGTTTCAGTAACTTGAACGTCTTCTTCGTTATCTGAAGAAGCATTGGTAATATGCATAACTAAGTGTGATGGCCTCTTAATAATAGTCTTCTCCTCTGGTTTGGCAAATTCTTGTTGACTTTCAAATGAACAGTCGGGATCTCCAGGTTTGACCTCTGTTACCTGGAAACATTGTACTTCATAACAAAAATAGTTTATCATTACATTTATGGAAATATAAGATTTAATATCATTAAATAAACAAATAATAATAATAATAAGGCTTAGCGAACCCGAAGGTTCGATGCCGACACCACCAGTCGCTTGTTACACACCTCCCTCCACCGTTCGCCGTCCAAACCCAGTCCCTTCAGATCGGCTTTAATGCAATCTTCCCACCTTCGCTTCGGTCTACCCCTCAGACGCTTACCATTCGGCACAGCAAATATTAACCTTTTAGGAATTCTCTCGTTACTAAGCCCAACAACTTTACAAGCCCATTTGATTCGCTGCGATGAAATTACCTCAATTATATTACCCGGATACATCTCACGCAATTCGGCGTTGTGTAACCGTCTGAACTCTCCGGTTAACTCATCCTTCTTCGGTCCGAATATTCTACGCAATACTTTATTTTCAAAAACCTTAAGCCGCTGCTCATCCCTTAATGTAAGCGGCCAAGTTTCGCATCCATAAAGAACTGTAGGCAAGATAATTGTTTTATAGAGTCTAATTTTTAAGTTTCGGGACAAGAGGCGCGAACTAAGTAGTTTTGTCACAGAAAAATAACAAGCATTCCCCGCCTTCAGTCTAACCTTAATCTCTTCTTCAATTTCGTTTTTTCTAGTTATCGTAGAACCTAGATACCTAAATTTATCTACCTGTTCAAACACATTACCATCTATATCGATATCACCAGTATTATCGCCATTTTTGCAGCTAACCATATATTTTGTTTTATCCACGTTTATTTCGAGTCCTAGTTCTTTACCGGCTTTCATTAACGTTGTCGTATTTAGTTTTATAGTTTCAACGTCTTCGCTTAACAGTACCAGATCATCAGCATAGCCCAGCACGGATGTTGTCCCGCCCAGATCCAACCCTTTCTCGGTTCGCATTACCTCCCTAATGGCATGTTCTAATGCCAAATTGAACAGGACAGGCGAAAGAGAATCCCCCTGTTTTAAGCCCTAACGAACCTCAAATTTTTCGGACAAATTATTACCGATTCTTTATTGAGTGTCTCCGTCAAGCACATCCTGACTAGATTTACTAGTTTTTTTGGAATCCCCTGCTCGATTAGAATATTATACAGTTTCTGGCGGTCAATAGAATCGTAAGCCTTTTTAAAATCTATATACAGCTGGTGAACAATACCGTTATACTCCAATTTTTTCTCTAATATTTGCCGTAAAGAAAATATTTGATCAATAGTCGAACGATTCCGTCTAAATCCGTATTGGTAGTCTCCGATAATTTCCTCGGCGTATTCCATGATTCGACTGGTTAAGATTAAAGTGAATATTTTATAACATACCGGAAGGAGTGAAATTCCTCGATAGTTATTACAATCCGTCCTCGGACCCTTTTTGTGAATCGGAATAAGTATAGATTCTTTCCATTCTTCAGGTAATTTCTCGTTCACCCATATCTTTTTAACCAACCGATGTATTTTAGAAACTCCAGCTTCTCCGCATGCCTTAATTAGTTCAGTAGGAATATTATCGATTCCCGCAGCTTTATATGATTTTAATTTTCCGATAGCTACTTCAACTTCCTCTTTACTTGGTCCTTCTATTAACGGTTCAGCACTCTGGTACTCAGAAGGAGGACACAGATCATAATTTCCCATATTTAAAATATTGTCAAAGTGGTCCTTAAACTTATTCAATATGTCAACCGGATCGGTCAGAATATTGTTATTATCATCCCTAATTCCAGACGTTACGGACCCTACATATTTACGTGATCTGTTTATACCTTTGTACACGTCTCTTACGTTATTTTCGATTCTATTAGTTTCTATTTCAATTATTTTATTTTTAAGATACTCCCTTTTTTTATGTTTGAGCAATTTTGTCGTTTCGTTCTTTGAGATTCGGAAGTATTCCAGGTTGTCTTCGCTAGGATTATTTAGAGCTTTTAATTTAGCGGCTTTTCTTTTTTCACACATGTTTAAGCAATCTTCATCAAACCACGGTTTGTTATTCTTATTTTCCTTTTTTCCTAGACACGAGTTACCGACCGCTTTAATATTATCTCTGATCTCTATCCATAACTTGTCAATATCCTCGTGGTCCTCGTCAGGAAGCTCTAAAGCTTCAAACCTATTCTTAACATCTAGCTCGAATTGGTTTCTAATTGATGGATTTTTTAATTTTACCAAATTAAAATTCTCAAAATCGAAACGGTTTTCTTTTCTCTTTTTTATATTAAGTTTTTGTCGAAGTTTCGCGATTACTAATTCATGGTCCGACCCACATTCTGCTCCGCGATAAGACCGTACATTAATTATACTGCTTTGCCAGCTGTGTTGTATCAAGACATGATCGATTTGATTTCGTGTTTGCGAATCCGGTGATGTCCAAGTATATTTATGAATATCCTTATGTTTAAACGTCGTACTTTTAATTATCAGGTTTTTCGAGATGGCAAAGTTTATCAGACGGATCCCATTATCATTACTATATTCGTGCAAACTTTCTTTACCAATCGTCGGAATATAAACTTCTTCCCTTCCTACCTTTGCGTTCGCGTCACCTACAATTATTTTCATATGGTAGTTTATCATAAACCCATTCGAGTTTATCGTAAAATTCACTTTTGACTTCATCGTCACTGTCTTCGGTCGGACAATGTATGTTTATTAATGCGATTTTAAACCAACGTCCCTGAAATGTAGCTACCGAAATTCTATCACTAAAGAATTGTACGTCCCTCAAAGCGGATAGTAATCTACGCCTAATTAGAAACCCGGTACCTAAACAATGATTCCCGCTTCCTCCGTACCAAATAGTGTACTTCCCTTCCCTCATCGAGCCCTCCCCTGGCCAGCGAACCTCTTGCAGAGCCACGACATCCAAATTGTACCCATTTACCTCATTCGCGACCGATTTTAGCCCTCCTGCTGTGTTTAAACTCCTTACGTTCCACGTACCAATATTTAAATCCCTATATTTCAACTTGCGCCATGAATCCCCTAAAGCAGTCCCCACCCGGAGACCCGAACGGGGGACTAGTTAGTTTACCTCCGGATAATGAGCTTTTTACCTTAGGGAGATCCATGATTTTTTGTGGTGTTTGGTGAACTAAAGATATGTGAGTAGGGCGTTCAATCCTACGTCACACCCTCCAGCAAGTCTGGTGGGCCCCTACCTCCAGCAAGTCTGGAGGTCCCCTCCCTCCAGCAAGTCTGGAGGGCCCCTCTCATTGTTGGTCAGCGAGTCCATCGGACTTAGCCGGGAGGAACTTCCAAGGAATTTCCACCGACCATCCCCACATCCGCCGGGACACTCCCCATACGCGGTAATGAGCCCGCGCGAGGGGCTAAATAAACAAAGCTGATAAAAAATAAATAAATATTTGAACTGCGTACTAAAAGGAATAATAATAGTGTTAGTAAATCTGATGTTTCAAATCAGATTCCAACTCCTGACTTCACAGCTCCATTCACCATCCAACGACAAAAACTCAAATCCACAAGTATCAACCTTAACACAATCCTCCAACCTATGTATCGGAAGAGAGTCTTCTCCTCGGTTATTTATTAATGATGTATTATTGAAACAAATTATAAATTACTTAATACAATGTTTAATTTAAAATGTTTTCTACAGAAATGTATTGAAATTAAAAAAACAAATAATAAGATCAAAACTCTTGGACACAATAAAAATTGTATTGTAGTCAGACACCTGTCAGTTATAATATTTATAGATGTGATCATTCATTATAAATGAATCATACAATTACTTAATAACTTATCATTAAAACTAAATCACTCGAGCTGAGTGCCATAATGATATAGCAAAATAAATCCTGATACTCTAAAAAAAAGGTAGCAGCCAGTGAGCCAAAATAGCGAATTATCAAAAAGGACCAACAGACTCATTTAACGGACTAGTTCCACCATCAATGTAGTAAGAACTATCTTAGGTTGTCTTTTGGTTTTAGCAAAATCGGAAGAGGAAGAGAGGATTCAGCCAATTCGCTGGCAGACCTCCAATAGCTTATGCAAAGTTTCCATACATAGGTTGTAGTTCTGATAATCCTTATCTGTATCGATAGACGCCTATTCATTCAATCAAAAATATCGATATCACAGATATCAAATTATATCTATATGTAAAGGAAATTTCTATGTGATCACTGAATAGATTATCAATTACACATTAAAACTGATTTAAAATGAAGAAATGTGAAACATGGATATATAGTCTTATGACGTAGATTATGACTATATCTATATTACATTTTTTTTTTTTCGGTTGGCTCTACAGACATTGTAAATCTTTGGCCGCCTGAACCGAACCAGCCTTCTCCACCTCTGTTAATTTTGGGCTACTGCTTTCAAGTTTGCAGCATGAAGCATGAAGATATTATATATATCTTAGTAATAATTTACTTAGAAGCAATAAAGGGAAAAAACAAACAAAATTTATCAAATAAATGTCAAACTTTGTAGATTCATGAAACTCAGGCCATATAGTCTTGGTTGTAATCAAGATCTACAGAGTCAAATTTCAGGAGAAAAATTCTCAACAGAGGAGGGTCAGAATGGTAACAGTAAATTTGGTAAAATAATTTGGACAAAGTCAAGTAAGGTATCGTTAATTATAGCTGTTTTTTATTTAAATTGAATGAGACTACTCCAATGACAATATTCAATATTTTCAATTTCAGGTAAATAAAATACAAATATTTTTATATTTTTCTGAGAAATATTATTTAAGAACTAAATAATAAAGCCGGCATAGCTATCTATTCCGATAGACGGTCGGCTCCTCAAGCTTCAGAATCCGTACAGACGACCCCACCCACATGGGAACAATTGCAGACAAGCCTTGGAGAGCCTTGCCAGTAGAAAGAGGGTACAGCTGGCTGGGGGTTCCTGGTCACACGGGGATCCCTGGTAACAAGAAAGCAGAAGAGCTAAAAATGCCACAAGGTTTCCCTGATTAGGCCAAAATGAATTTCCTCAGTTAGTCAGCGAGGAAAATTTCCTGCGGGTTAAGGATTTCATATATGGATGGAAGACGGCGGTGGGGCCCGCTCACTTCCATATTGGTCCCCGCAGAAGAAGAGGACAAGCGCCAGGAAGACCTCCAGATTCTGTAAGCTAGGCCGAAAGAAGAAGAAGAAGAACTGCACATTATGTTAACAAGTAGTAGTGTGTTATTAAGCATTCATGCCTAATAACACACTATCGCAAACACCCGTATTGCCATAGTGGCATGGGAGGGTGGAATACATAAATAAATAAATGATTAGGCCAAAATCTGCATTAGGCATTTCCAAGAGATATCAATGCAAAGAAGTCCTCGACTGCTCATGGAAAGAAGCTGTATATGATATATCGAGCAATACTGAAAGGAATATATTCATATTGGCAGATATCAATAATACTGCAACATACCTGACCATGCCTAATAAATCAGAATGATTTTTTTTTTAAATTTCTATATTATAACCATAATGGATGTAAAGTACCCATTGAACGTCAGCAATATTTTAACAATTAAGATTGGCAACAATTAGAAAAATCTAACTTAAATTTGTCATTAAATGTTTGAAATTTATTTTGTTTTATTTTTAAAGAATTTACAAAAAAATAAAAACAGGATTGAAATTAACAACTTTTCATTCAATTTCAAAATACTTAAAAGAGCATGTATGAATACCATGGACTCAAAAAATAATTAAAATGTTACATTAATTTCATTAAATACATTAAGAATGCATTAAAAATTGATAAGCAAACATTCTACAATTTTAAGAAAATATGATAACATATATAATCCATTACCAGATTTCCAGGAGCACAAATTTCATTCTTATGAGCTTCAAGAATGAAACTACAATTCTTTAATTGGGCATCTAAAAATTCTTGAAGACTGTCTTCTTTAATTTCTCTCTGTTTAGGGAAGCCTAAGTCATCCAACATTTCATTAACCTTTTTTACATGTTTTTCAAATTCTGACTTAACTGCAGTGGCTTCCTCACTCCTACAAGTTTCTAAATTGAAAGGAAAATAATATTAAACTAAAAAAAAAGAATTAGTTTGATATTTGAAGATTTTATGTCAACAACAAGCTAAATGACAAACATAAAAGAAGAATTAGACCCAAATAAATAAGCCAAATAACATTACCGATCTAAAAATCTGACTAAATGTCATTGAGGGTAACAATGAAAAATAATGATAGTGGTATGTGACTCATTTTTTGTTGTTTATGGATTTTTTCATATCTAACTTAATTATTTTTGTTTGAAATTAATCCATTATTGATGTGATCTTCATTTGTACAAGACCATTTGTACTGCTGCAAACAAGCAGAGATTTTAACATGTATTTTTGATAGTATTTTACATTCATTCATAACAATTATGAATAATTGAATAATATTTATAGGACAATGAATAAATCATCATATAAATTCTAAAACCACCCAACTTAATTTTTACAACTTCACAATAAATAAATAAAAATTAATTTTTTTATTAATGATCCCTCCTTCTTATAATTTGTATCAAATTTCAACATCAAATTATCTTGGAAATATATATTGGACATATTCACGATTACCTTTTGATTTCGTGTTAAGAAAAAAAAAATCCATAATATCTACCTAACCCATTTTTGTCGAAATTGAATGTTCGAATTCATATGATGAATCAATAACTTATTTGTGGATTAATGGATAAGTAGTGATTAATGGATATCAAGAGTGACTTATTGTTATATAGAATTGACTTATCTGTAAATCTTCAATATATCAAACAATTATAATACCACTTAAGTAAATACCATGATAAAATTTAAACTTTTGATGACGTTTTTAATGAAATTTTATAATATTATTTAAATAAAATTAATATACCCATGTATTCTTGTATTCTTATGAAATTTTCATTGAGTTCAGTTTCAGAGATATTTCCCTGAAGGCCACCGAGCATTTTATTACTTTTTATTTTTACTTTTTCCTTTTCCCAGTCTATTTCATACATTTTATCTGTTGGATCTGCAATAAAATAATCATATGAATATTAGATGTAGAAGTTAAACTAAAAATATATAAATACAATAGCAGGTACATGAATTACAAATTGGTAAATATATACATACTATTTTATGTGTAGTTGTGTTATAAATAAAATAAATTATAATTACCATCTTCAGCATCTTCCTCTTCAGTATCACTCTCCAATCCCAAATGAAGCCTTTCAAATTCCCTCAGTACCTCTTCTTCGTTTCTTGGAATTGCTTCATAAGTTATGATATTTCCTTCATCATCGCGCTTAGCCTATTATAAAAGTTATTAATATAAACTCCATTGAGAAAATAAACAATAATCATAATAGAAAATACTAGTTCGGATCAGCATAAAAAAAATAAAAAAACAAGAATAAATATGATATCCAACAGACGCCTTAAAAATAAATTTAATATTACCCAATTTATCATTTATTGATAAATAAATATTCCAATTATTCTTGTTTAAAGGGATGATTCACAATGAAAATAAGATATGATTTTATTTTTGAATATTTTAAATATGAACCAAATTTATATGAATTTAAATTAAACAGTAGGCAAGGATCATTTTATATATATGGATGCATAACATAATTTTTTTAAATAAATGATAATGTTCTTAAATAAAATAACTTAACTATTTCACAGCTATGATATAATCTCAATAAAAAAAATATATATTTCAAGTGAGAAGAAATTTAAAAACATATATTTACCACAATATCCTCAACACCAGGTGGCATCGCAACTTTCAGGAATTCTGAGACATCTACAGGCCCATCTATGACTGGTGATTGATGTGGTTTTTCTGATGACTGGTTTTTTAATTCAATAAATTTTTTAGAGCTTTTAATTTGTCTAAGTTCTTTTTCCATTTCTTCTATGTCCTAAAAATATCATCAGAAAATAAAATCACTGTAATAAAATATACAACGGTAAAAAAAAAAAAAATAATAAAAAATAGGAAGATAGGTCTGATTTTAAGCTATGTGTTAGAGATTACCCGATTTTTCCATTTTGTAAACAAAATTTCCTACTCCTTCACAAATAAAGACGTCAAAAAAGGATTAAATACAATAAAAATCTATCATTAAATATTTTTATTCAAAAGGTAACTTCTATTTCCAATGAAAATTACACCTATTATTTCAATAAAATCTTTATTTTAACCAATTTCACCAGTAGATGCTTGGAGAAAGTCTTATTTCTTTCTTTGTGATTGTGAAATTTTAAAAATAGCACTTAAGAAAATAAACTGACAAAGTTCAGAGAGTCAAGAATAAGAAAGAATAAACAGGTTTGAAGATATACCAAGGTATGAGAGCAGATTGTAAAAAAGAAGAAAAGAAATGTTGAATATCTACCATTTTTAATTTAATGTATTTCATTATCATTTAATAACTTTTTATTTTATTTATTTTTTTTATTTTTAGCAATCAATGTTCATAAAATTCTCAGACATTAAGATGAGATCGATGAAAATTCCTGACTATTTCAGTATGACGGGATTTCCTCATTTTTTCAGGTTTTCTCTGTTTCTACACACCTAGTCTAAAATATGCTTTATTTATAAATTAAACAATCAATTGTATATTTTGACTATTTTAAATTATGTGTGTATTATATTAGTTCTTCATTAAAAATAAACAAAATTTACATACATATATTGCTGTGATAATTTTCAAGGGCAAAAAATTTTAATTATAAAAATTTCATTACATGATACGACCATAAATAGAGTAAAATTAATATAATAGCCATTGTGTTGTATTAAAATAATAAATAAATAAATTAAGGCTAGAAAAACATACAGAATCATTTTGAACTTCATCAACTTCTTCTCGTGCTGTCTTTATCGAAAACTCCCAATCAGCAAGTTCTTCATCTGTGGCTGATAGCATTGTTAAAATGTTTCTGGGCAAAACAGGAAAAGAAATACTTTCAGCCATGTCGTCTAATTCTGGAGGTTGCACAGATTCAGAAGGTTCAAAGTCAAATTTATCACAATTCATGAAGTCTTCTAATTCTTTCATAAACTGAGGATTGCTCCTTGGATCACTCCACTCAATAGGAACTAATTTAGGAACATATTCATTTTCTGTAAAAAAAATTAACAGATTCATTTATTTGAATTTCCTCAGACATTAATAAGATTAAGAATTAAATCTTCTTTTCTAATAAACGTTAACACAATGAATAATTACGAGGTTTACAATTAATCACTAATCTACACTCAGATTTTACAAGCCTGATTTTATTATTAATCAAAACCTAAAAAAGACTTCAAAGTTTAGACAGACTCACAAACAAACAAATTCATAGTAAGGGAATAATGAACAAATTTGTGCTTTTTAAACAACTCACGTCCTTAATTAATTTACAATAATGTCAGCAAGGAAAAGTTATTTCACAACTTGATTAATTTAATTTAAAGAAACTAATTTAACATTTGAAACTCATATACACAACAAACAAACGGTTCAAGTAACTTTTGAAAAGGAACAAGTTAAAAATAAAAACAATTTTTTGCTGCCAAAATATTGTTATGACTCTAAAATTCAATTAATTATTCCAAAGTAACGGATTTTACAAACAATTAAATGGAGAAGAATAAACAAAATTTAACTAACATGGTCATGACAAATAAATAACAAATCACATTTTTTAATGAAAAATATTAACTAGAAAGATGAATCCATTGGAGAATTTAGAAGCAAACAAATATGAAACTGTAAGTCATTTTTATACCAAATATAAAAACATATTTTTGTTTAACATTTAAGTCAGTAATGGGTACTTTTTGTCTAAGCGGCCGTTTTGAAACCTCACTTCTTATCTATCTTATCTAACGTCATGTCATCATGTCACATAACCTCCCTCTTCTTAACCCGCCAAACTTTTGAGTTATTGCATTGTTTAGTTTTCAGTTATTCCCTTATTACGTTCACTTATTAAATTGTTTACTTTTGGCCCGTTTGTGTTTATTTTTAGTTTTTGGTCCGTTTGTATTTATTTTACTTTTTTTTTTTTAGTTTGTGACCCCTTGGTGTTTATTTTTCATTTTTTTTTTCGTTTATTTTCGTCATATTATGGATCTTCTTAGAATATGGGATTTACCGTCTTCAGAAGAACAGGCAATTCAGTATTTTCAAAATGTTGGGGTACTTGCTGGCTTATCATTGGTGGAGTTTGCCGAGAAACAGATGAATGTTTTATCGTCAAAATAATTGACAGAAAGACAACAACATTATTACAAGCCATTAAAGAAATTATAGAAGAGGGAACGACCATTTATTCGGACTGTTGGAAAGGATACAACACCCGACAACTGAACGAAGCAAACTATGACCATTTCCAAGTGAATCACCGGTATAATTTTGTCGATCCATCAACTGGGGTTCATACTCAACACATAGAACGATTGTGGGGCTCAGCTAAGTGGAGAAATAAAGTACATAGAGGAACTGCCAGACAACACCTCGATTCATATTTGTGCAAATTTTTGTGGCAGCGGGTTCACAGAGACGAGGACCCGTTCCTCGCTATTTTAAGTAGCATAAAACAATCTTGCCTTCCAAAATAAATAAGACAAAAGGAAGTGAATAATTAACTAAAAATAATTTGTATATACGTTGTTTATAGTGTTGATATTTTTTCTTTTCTAAGTAAATATGTTCTTTTAAATTTGTTTTTTTATTATTTCATTAATATATTTGTCGTCAAATAAAAGTATTTTTGTTGTTATTACATTTATTTTTGTATCTGTTTACACTTTCAATGATATGAATTTAATACAATAATACGAAGATGTGAAGTAGGAGAAGGCTTATCACTGCGTTATGGGAGCTATCAGTGTTCAGGTTATAAACATTGGCAGATAGCAGTCAGTAGCGGCCGCTTAGACAAAAAGTACCCAGTAATGTGATACAGATATCACTTTTCTAAGATAAACATCAGTAGGTAAAACTCAGAAATTGTTTTATGAACCTCAGATTAAGAACCATAGACAGGATGTTCAAATGATTTTTGACTACTTTCCATTTGTTTTCCTTACTCTCCAACATTAATTTACTCGCCACTTACAATAATTTATACATAAGGCATAAAAATATAAGATATATATATAAATATGAAGGTACATATATACCTTCGGCTACATTACTTTCACTGCCTGAAGGCATTCTAAAGATAAAATCAGGGTTTTCTATTAATTTTACTTCTAAAAAATAATAAATAAACTGTTAATTTTGTTTCATGCAGGAAGAAAGAGTTATTTTTGTAAGAATTGGTTAATAAAATTCATCTTTTTTTTATTTTTTTTTAAAGCCAACAAATGTTTCAAGACTACGCTTTATTTTCAGGACCTCAAGCGCCATTAGAATACAATTTATCTATTGCTACTAATCAGTCATTTTTGTGTTTCAAAAATTTAAAGTTCATAATTTAAATTCATATGTATATATTTTTTTCGAACCAATTATCAGACAAGGAGCACTAACAAGTAATTTTATTTTATCAGAGAATTATCATAGCCTTATTGCCATATAAGTTATAGGTTTCAACAAACACTGATAAAGAGTTGAAGAGAAAAACACGACCAACAATAGAACAGGAATAAAATGACTTATACAATGCGAATTCTGAATATGGCATAAGTTCTCTCATTCCATTTCTTTTTAGATGTTCCTTAAAATTTATTCTCACTTTTGAGTAAATCTTGAAAGCTGAAACTATATACCTAATCCTGTCATAAATATTGTTACAAAGAAATATATAGATTTCAACAGAAAATTAATTTTTTCAAAAACTTTATTAGAAAATAAAATTTATATCTCTAGAGAGTAAAACAAAAGAGAAATTACTCAAAATGTCCCCCTTTTGCCTTGACATAGGCATTTAATCTCCATGGCCAGTCATCAACAGCAATACGCAGTACTTTTTAAAGAAAGTGCTCAACTGCTTGGATCAGAGATTGTTTGAGGCTTTCCAAGTTAGGGTGTGCTCTGAAGCATGCCATCCTTTCCAATTCGGACCAAAGCAGATAATCTAGTGGGTTGAGATTAGGCCTTCCTGAGGAGCAATCCGAGGCAGAGATGAACTCAGGAATGTTCTTTTGCAGGCACTGCTGAGTTCACCTGGCCTTGTGAGCTGGAGCGGAATCCTACTGGAAAACCCAATGACTTCCAGCAAACAGAGGCTTGACAACTGGTTCCAAAATATTATCCTGATAGTTTTTAGCAGCTGTTTTAACTACTTTTCCACAAAAATAGAGCTTTTTGATGCCATCAAAACAACCTCCCCACCAAACCATCACTGAGGAAGGGTGATGACCTCTTTCCACATCTTCCAATGACTTCCTGGGCTTCTTGAGAGCTGTGTGTGTACACACGATCATTAAATTTTTCTTCAATTATACAAATTTTCTCATCGCTAAACAAAATCTTTCGATGAAGACCATTGGTGTAACGGCCAAGGAGCAATTTGCATCTATCCACTCTAATTTATTTTAGGGAAGTGGTTAGCCTTTGTCCTGTCATTCTTCGAAATACACCCATCCTAAGGTCACTTTTTACTATGCGAGACATTGATCTGACAGAGATTCCCATTTCCCGAGACATGATTTGTTGTTTTCGAATGGAATTTTTTCTGATTCAAGCAGCCACTGCTCTCACTGCATTTGCCTTTCTCACAATGTGGGGACGGCCCGGTCGAGGTCTGTCACATACAGATAGGGTCTCATTATATCTCTTTATAGTGCAGTACACGAACATACAGCTGATGCCCAAAGGTTTCAAAGTGTTGAAAATCTCTGACCTATATTTTCCAACTTTGTGTAAGGCGATCACAGCTATTCGGTTTTCTTTATCACCCCACTCCATGTTAACTGAGCGAACGAAAAATACAAACTAATTGGGATTATTATTCTGACATGTAAAGAAAATAACCTGATAGAGGTAAGGATTATCTAAATAATACCCAAGGATGTAAACAAAGTTCAACTTTTGTAACAGTATTTATGGCAGAACTAGGTAATGATTGTTTCCTATTCATTTTTATAAAATAATTTTAAATTTATACCAAAATTGATTTATTATAAAATCTTTACAAAAATATAACTTTTTTAAAACCTAAATGTCTGTCAACATGTCAAAAATAAAAATTATATATAAATATACCAATCCTAATAGATATGATTCATGTAGTCTTTGTATAAATGAGTGATAATCTAGATCTTGAAAAAAAAAAATCCTAAGATCAATATTTGAAAAATGTTTAAATATAATAAATGATTAGTTTTTCCAACTTAATATAGGAGGGCACTGTAAAATTGCTCGCTCTCAAGCACTTATCATCTGATCAGCAAAGCTGGCCGAAGTACCGATTCCTAACTTTCAGACCCATACTTTAAAGCTATTTTGGTTTATTTAATAATGAAAATAAAACAATACATGATTATATATAATATGATCAGTATATATAAATATATAATATATATTTTTAGGTTAAATTAACCGTGATCATGAATTAGGAAAAAGATAATAATTTAGTAAATGTCATTGTTAACACTTGCCTTTTCTTTTTTTCTTTTTCCTTTGCTCATTTTCATCCTTTTTCTTGTCAAATTTTTCATCAAGGTTAGAGACATCCGTTTCTAGCTTCAAAGACTCTGCACAATCAGTAACATCAGAGCTACCGACATCTTTTTGAGTTATTTCTTCATGCGAACTAGTTGCTATATTTTTCCCATCATCAATATTTTTCTTATTTGTAGCGTCTGCTCCCACTTCTGGATTTGGCTTAAAAGATTCATAGAAAAAATTATATAAATTATAATAGTATGAAACTATATAATACTTGTACTTGAATAAATTTTAAGACCTACATATCCACATACTGGGCGATATTTTTATCACTTATATGTTTATATAACCATACAACATAATAATACCAATGTCATAGATAGTGTGTAAAACACTTGGACCTCTTTTTTGTCTATTCCAATAGGAAGTGACATATTTTAACATATACAGTGTCACTAATAGATAATAAAATTCTTATTATTATTAGTTAATTTATATTATTTATAACTTTGGCTAGCAGTTGGATTACACTGTCAATATGATTCTTAGTGCCTAGATACAAAGATGGTCACTGCAATATCATTTACCACTAAAGTAATTTAAATCTGGCTTTCTCCCTAACTGACATACCTTCAACTAAAATGTTTGCATCAATGTTAAACACAATTTTTTTTCATGTATTTATATCTTAAAATTAACTGATGCTACTGAACATACATGTAGTATCTCTAGTCTAACTATGGTTTTTACCAAAAATTTCAGTTGAGGAAAACACTCAATAAATTATAAGCAAATTAGTGACAATATATAAGATAACATATAACTTGAAATAAACTTGTTAGGAATTTCAACAAGATTTACATTTTAACAAAATAATCTTTTTTTTTTAATATGATACTTACATTTGCTAGAATCTTGGCAATGTCTTGAAGCTTAAGTCCAACAGTCTTCCTTTCCTAAACAAGTTTATTTTTATATTTAATATAAAGAAAACATTAATGTTTTCAATCAAAAGTTAATTTTACAAATTCTATGAAACGTACTATTATTTATAAAAAAAATAATAAAACTATCTACCTGGTTTGAATGTTCAGTCATAACTTCTTCACTGAGTTCATCTTTGTCATGTTTATATGGAGACCATGATGGCAAAGTGACATTGTATTGTTCGGTCAAAGACCTAGCATGTCTGAGATGCTAAAAATGTTAGTACATTAATTAGCTATAAGTAATATTACATGATAATAATAATAGAAGTGATTGGACATAAGAACCAAATATTATCAAGCAATAGGAATAAAACCTATTTTATAACATAAACAATACTTCAATATAACAATTTAATAAGAATTAATAAACAATAAAAATATGCAAATTCTTAAAGATCACAGACTATTCATTCAATTATTGTTGTAACATTGTCAATATTCAGTTGTTCAATAGATGCTGATGGGATATATTTAGCAAGGATATTAACAGTTTGACATAGCTTTGGTTACGCTATTGTAATTCTAAAATATCGAGAGCACTGTCTCTTCTTCGAAATCCCTTTTTTAGCAACTGCGATACCTGGCTGAATCCTATCTAATCTAACCATTCTTTCTTGGTCTTAAGTATTCAGCAACATATCGACTTTATAATGCAAGTATCATCTCTTTTAATGAAGAGGTGGTCATTTGAGTTTATTAAAATTTGTTGAAAAATTTCTGTATGAAATGGTGCCTGCTAGATTGTCAATTTATGGGACATTACTCTTATGAGCAGTTTATCTTTCCCATGTTATGAGGCCCAAAATTCATGGTGGACTGCAAGATGCAATATTTTCTTAACGATTGCACAGTACTTTTTGTTAGATTTGTCTTAATGGAGTCATTTAGAGCTTTCTTATCAAAGATGATTTTTGTACAGAACAATATTTTTTCATGAAGCTAATGTCACTCGTTTCAAACTTTTGATAACCATCTACACACAGTTCATTCAGAAAGAGTACCTTCTTGAAATTGTAACATCAAATATGAGGTATGAGCACCAGAAAACTTAATTAAGGAATTTTTCACTAATATTTTACTCAAGTTATAATAATGATACGAATATGTTCTTAATTATTTTATTTTTAATATAAAATTTCATTTATTAGTTATATATATTCCTGGCTCATAATAAATTTGCCATCTACCTCGGTATTCAGCAAATATATCAAGGAGAAGAAATTATAGCATAAGAAAAAAATAATAGTAATAACAAAACAAAACAAAAAGTAATAACAAATATAAATATTAATAATATTAATTTAAAAAAAAATTATTGATATTCTATTTTTCAGTTTAATTAACTTTTGAGTCATAATAATAAGATATTTGTTTTTACTTTCTTTAAAGAATTTTCCAATTCTTTCAGTAATATTTGTTGTTCATAAATGTCAAATACAGAACTGAACCTCATAGTCACAATATTTATTATTTTATTTTATTATTAAACATAAAAGTTGAACATTAAATTAAATTTGCAATCTCCAAATTTCTTTGTAATGAGCAATTTTTTTTGGCAGCTTTAGAGTGTTCCATCACATATCCAGGATATAAATCAAATAAACAGGTCTCTAGGCCAGCACCTACGTAATTGTCATAGTGGGCTGTAGGGATTTCTTGTGCGTTTAAGGATTTCTGTCAGAGGATAATAAAAAGGATTCAGTCACAACATAACAATGAAACGAAAAAAAATTTCAGTTATTTAATATTATTTGAATACTTTAAACAAGAAGCAAAAGTTTCAATAGAAACAAAATTGCCTGGTGGGTTGCACAATGTAACGTAAAGAGTTCCTGGTTAACTAAGCCTGCTATACAACATAGCATTTAGGAAGAACCTGATGCAATGATCATTTCTACCAGCAACGCATCTTGGGTAATAAATTAGTAGGTTGAATTAAATAAAATGGTTTCATCATTCAAAACTATAAAATATGCACAATAAATAAAGATTGTGAATTACCAAATCATTCGCACCAGTTTCACATAATTTCTTTAACTCCTCTTGCATTTTCTAAAAAAAAATAAAAAATAATAATGAAAAAAACTTAGAAACATAATTTATTAAGATAACAAAGAACTAAATTTTTTTAAATTTACACTTTTTAGTGTAACATCTAGTTAACAGGTGGGTCAAGATAACATTTTATATAGAATCCTGAGTCGCTGAGTGTGTCTGGAAATATAAAAAGGTGATTTATCTCAATAAATCCATGATGAAATCTGTAAAACCGAACTCATCTGAAAACGATCTGTTACAGATATGTTTATGAGTACAAATATGACAATATTTGGCTGTTTTTTTTAATTCCATCTAAATGACTGATTTGATTTTGATTTACTTGTCAACCTGGCACAGTTGTGAAAAAGGGGCAAAAAATCTAAAAATAAGAAGATTAAATGACAAATAAAATATTGAAAAATAATCTTGAATTTATACAAGAATTTTTTATCTTATATTTAATACTTTAAATAAAAATATTCTTAAGAAATAAAAACAAGAAAAACTGAATACATTCTAAACAATCTTCGTTTCCACCACAGAATTCATAATCAATCCGAGAAAATACCTTAGAGTAACGGCTATCAGCACTTATCAATTGGTACTGGTAATTCGAGGGGCAGAAATGGGCAAATGCTACTCTGAGTACCGAGTACCAAGTATTTTACTCAAATTGAATCACTATTGGGAATTTAATCACTACTTCTGTTAATCGTTTGACTTCAAATGAAGTAGTAATTAAATTCTTTGGTACTCAAAAAGTCAAAATTTAAGTAAAATACTTGGTACTCAGTACTCTGAGCAAAATTTGCCCATCTCTGTCAGTGAGTAAGGTACTGCAGCAGTCAACACCTATGCTATACATTGTTTTATGATCCTCCATGGGTTGAATTGATAGTTTTTTAACTCCTCTGAAGGACATAATCTTTAAACAGGGGACTATTACCATCACAGAGAAGCCTTAGGGCTGAATTTCCAAAGATAAAAAAAATTAAAGTTTACAGAACTTTTATTTGATTAAGCACTAATTCTTGAAAAAGACACAGTACTTTTTCAGGCCCAATTAAATTTAGGAAAATACCATTGTTGATTTACTTCCTTTATTTTAAGAATGAGAAAGGAACCATGGAAAAGACTTCTAGTGATTATTTGGTACTAGACTAAAGAGTAAACAAATTTTAAAAAGAAAATATTCTGGTAAAAGGGCTAATTTTGATCACTTATGAAGTTTTATCTAGAAATATAAATGAGTTCAGAAGAGGAAAATGATAGATGATCACTGTGGTTTCATTTATTTACAACAATGGAGGACTTCGGAACTTCTAACTGGTCATTATAGCCCTTTCACATTTATAATACACAAGACAAAATTTAACAATAAATTTGAAATTACGTTGGTTTTCAAACTAACTTTATTGTCTTGGCTTTTCTTATAAAGTGAATCATTAAAATAAAATAAAAAAGAAAAGAAGTAAGTCTCTAACAGTTCAATGATAAGAATAGGATACAGATAAACCAGAACACATAGGTATTAAAAATTATTAATCCAAGTTAATGGGATTAAAATTACCTGGTCAAACAATTTACAACCTGGTAAAGGTGGACACAAGTTCCTAATGAACTCATCATCATCCTTATCACCAGAAGTATCCATGTTTGTTGGATTCATTAATAAAAAGAGCTGTCACTTATTTAAAACGTTCTCATTTCACAAATAGTTTCACGTGTACACAAAAACAAACCAGGTAGGTTACAGAAAGGTAAAATTTGGATAATTATAATGACAATCATAAATATTTTTTTAAGTTATCTGAGAGCAATTTCATGTCTTAAGTGTATTCTTATCAATAAAACGACATGACATCCTAGAGAGAAATTTGACATCAAAAAGGTTTCAAAACGTGAACTTAAATTCCCCTTGTCTAATCGATTAAAATCAATATAAATTCCAATGAAGAACAGCCCATAGATATAGGGAACACATTTAAAACTAAAGTGAAATGTTGTCGATCCTTAGTAAATTGTTTCTTAACATTATCCTCTGAAATATATCATCAAAACTATAGCGTCCTGTGAGTAAAGGGAACGGGACGATCGTCCTGTCCGAGGAGAGCCACGAATTAGTGATAAAACTGTAAAATAGGGATGGGTCAATGGAACTGGATCGGGAACGGAAACCTAATCTCACTGTGGAACGGAACGGAGCAGTTCCACCAACTGAGAATATCGATACCACCGGATTGGTAAGGAGTGGGGAGGACAGTTGGATAAGAAACGGAGGAACAGTTGGCTAAAGCGTTCCATACCAGTTCCAATTCTGTTCTAGCCGGTTCGATAAGGAACGGAGGAACAATTGGCTAAAGCGTTCCAGTCCAGTTCCAATTCTGTTCCAGCCGGTTCGATAAAGAAAGTTATTGGAGCAGTGGCAACTCCTGCTATTTAAAATAATCATCTTATTTTAATTATCTCTTTCACTATTTTTACTTTCACTTACGTATATATGTAATATATAGTAAGGGTAAGTATTGCGATCGAGAAAATTTTTTAATCAGAGTTTTCAACGGAAATGCACGTTTTGGGGTACCCTGAGTTCAGATAACAAAGTCCCAAAAATAGTCTGTGAGTCGGTGTGTGTATATATAAGCAGTCTAACTCAAAAACTAAAAGTCTTTTGAAACTGATATTACGTATTTAAGACAGGTACATGCCTTAGATGTTACAGCAACTTTTTCCTTAAAATCGGCTAACTGGAAGTGCCACTTTATATCAATGCTGAAATACATTTTTACAAATTACTCAAGAATTCATAGCTTTGGATCTACTCAATATTTTGTTTTCATTTAAAGCCTATGTCTTAAGTCAAGCAAACCTAAATATAATATCAACATTTCAAAAGTCTACCATTAGCAATTGCTGAACTTAGGCCTGACAAAATTTCGTTGGACAATGCGAACATACAGACAACAAATTTTTTAAAAGTTGATTTGGTGTCTATAATATATGAAACGAAAAAATATCATGAAACGGTTTGATTCTATTCAATTTACAGACAAAACCTTTATTTTATTTATATAGTTAAAACTAAAAATACGCAGTTTTTTTCTATCGGAAAGAAATTATACAAAAAATTGATTATCTTAGAATAGCCATTAGTAGTTTTATGAATTTCCGTGTTCAGTTTTACAACGAACGGAACGAACATTTCTATAGCATGAATCTGCCATTGTTCCATATTTGGAACATTATAATTAAAATTAGTAAAACTCATTCTTAGAAGTTTTTTATTTAATTTTCTACTAAGCATTATTTTTAGTAGTCTATCACAATCAATTAAATCAATATTCAAATTAAATTTCATCGCTGTAGAATTAAAACAAAAAAATGTTATCAATACACCTCTCTACAATAAAAAATTAGAAACTTTAACTTGTTATTTAACGAACTAAAAGTGATAAAATCTTTATTGAAACAATTATTTAAACCTTTGTTTTGATGGAATTTTTTTTTTTTTTTTAAATAATGATTAAGTTGGCCAAAAATTTTTTTTAATATATGTTCCACTTATGGAACAATGGCATGTAAGAGGTTAAATAAATCTTTAATAGAATATTATGAATAGTTTCGCAGAATACGTTTAAAACTTTAATATAAATATACGAAAAAATATTTAAGATTTTTTTTATGTTTTAGTTAAGCCCTTACATTATCATGAAGGACTGCTCGCATGAACATGTTTCAGGTATCAATCGATTCTGCACAAACAGAGCTGTAAAAATCAATCATCAACTGTTAACTATCTCATATGGTTTGTCTTTAACGGAATTTTGTCTCCAAAAAGACGCTTTAGGTCCACTGTGCGGCGTCTCTCCAGTTACCTCGCCCTAAAGCCAGCACTGAATATATATATATATATATATATAACTTTGTTGGGCATAGGGCTAATAACCCTATCCCATCAAAAACACTATATTAGGAATCTAAAAAGCAGTCTCGCATGACTTTCTTAACATGGTAACGACCCCGGCTTTATTTAACGGACTCCATATCGGATCATGGAATGTTAGGAGCTTATACAGACCAGGAGCCGCCCAAACGGTAGTTAATGAAGTAAGAAGGTACAAAATACCGTTAACAGCCATTCAAGATCTAAGGTGGCCAGATGGTGGGGAAACCACAATAGACGGCTACACACTGTTTTACATCGGCAGAAACGACAAAAATGGGACAGCTGGCACTGGATTTATAGTTAATCCGGCAGCAAGGAAGTCAGTAATAAACTTCACTCCAGTTAATGAAAGGATAAGTATGCTGCGCGTAAGAGATCATTGGTTTAATATCACGATTATTAACATGTATGCATCAACCGAAGAAAAAGAGTATGAAGTGAAGGACGATTTCTTCTACGATCAGTTAGAAAAAGTTGTGGACCAGGCTCCAAAATACAACATAAAATTAGTCATGGGAGACTTCAATGCCAAGATAGGTCGAGAAACCTAATTTAAACCCATCATTGGAGGCCAAAGTCACCACGAAACTAGCAATGATAATGGAGTGAGATGTATTAGTGTGGCAGCAGCTAAAGGTCTAGTAGTAAGCAGTACGATGTTCCTGCACAAGGACATACATAAGTATACCTGGGTAAGTCCTAAAGGAGCAAAAAGTCAAATCGACCATGTGCTGATAGACAAGAGACATCAAAGCTCCATACAAGACATAAGAAGTTATCGTGGAGCAGACTGTGATTCGGACCATACACTAATTAAAATCAAACTTTGTCAGAGGCTGAAGCAAATCCACCGAATTGGGGACCAAGTGCAAAGAAAGAGTTACGCAGTCCGTAATTTGAAAAACCCTATAGCACAAGCTGAATTTCAAACTGAGCTGAAAAATAAATTCGAACACTTGAACGCGAAAGAACTCACGGTTGACAAACACTGGGAGGCACTAGAGTCACGGCTTAGACAAACAGCTAAGGAAGTCATTGGGATTCAGGAAAAAATAAAAGCCAAGAAATGGTTCACAGAAGCATGCGAAAAGGCAGTGGAGGAAAGAAGAAAAGTCCTATGCTTAGGACAAACTAATCAAGCTTTGCTGGACAAATACATAGCCGCCAGGAAAAAGACAAACAAAATAATAAGAACAGCCAAAAGAGAATTCCTTAAAGAAAGATTACAAAGTATAGAGGAAAATCGGATGTGTCCGTATTATGAAAACATAATAGGCGACCATCAAACAAGATTCAGGAGATGGAGGACTACGCTAGATCAGATATTCATCCTAAAACAAGTACTTGAAAAATGATGGGAAGTAGATCAGGACGTAAACGCATTATTTGTTGACTTCAAAGCAGCCCATGACTCCATCGACAGACATTGTCTCTGGAAGATCATGACTGAGCTTGATGTTCCCGGGAAGTTAGTGAGGTTGACGAAGGCGTGTACAAATGATCCTAAATGGAGGGTACTAATACAAGGAGAAATATCTGAAGCCTTTGAAGTTCGAACAGGTTTGAGGCAGGGAGATGGACTCTGGCCGATGCTGTTTAACTTAGCACTAGTAAAAGTAATAAGAACAACATCACGCAAAGATATAGTTGGAATGAAACACAAAATCTTAGCATACAACGATGATATAGCTGTCCTCGGAAGTAATCAAGGGGATATTGAGAGACTCGCTCGGACTCTGTTAAAAGAAGCAAAAAATCGGACTACAATTCAATGTAGATAAAACAAAATACATGATAGTTAGCCGAAATATCCACACAATAACATGATCTGCGTGGACTCTAAGTCATTCCCGAAAGTAGATAGATTCAAATACCGGCTCCACAATAATTTCAATAAATGATCAACTAACTGAGATAGACCAGTGAATAAGAAGTGCAAACAGAAGGTCTATACGCTTACTCTGTAGGCCGAGGAGCCTCGGTTGGAAGCCATTCCTAGCGTTAGCCTTAACTGGCCTTCAACTTTTTTTTTTCTGTTCTTCCCTACCTCGCCTTTTAGGCTATACGGGATTTTCCCGGGCCGGGGGGAGGGGGGGGTGAGGAATTTAAAATCCCCTCCGGCACCGGGACGCGAACTTATACTTTTCAATCTTCTCAAATTCAATTTTAAGACCCTGAAATCCTTCCAGCTCTCCTTTTTATCTACAATTTCTCTCTTCAGAATTCAGTATTCCCTACCTCTTGGAAAAAAGCCATTCTTCATTTAAATAAAAAGCCTAATCCATCCTCACCCGAAGATTTCCGTCCAATTTCAATTCTTTCTAACCTCTCAAAGCCTCTTGAAAGACTGGTGCAATCCCAAGTCTCCAAGTTCCTCGAAATGTCCAACCAATTTGATCCTCTCCAATCTGGTTTCCGTCCCGGCTATTCCACACTATCTGCCTTAATTAAAATTACCAACGACATTCAATCTGCAATAGATGATAGAAAATTAACTGTCCTTATACTCCTGGACTTCTCCAAAGCCTTTGATTCCATCAACCATTCCATCCTCTACAACAAACTAAAATCATTATCTTTCTCCAATAGTTCCATCTCCTGGTTCCAATCTTTCCTCTCCCAACGCACCCAAGCGGTGTCCATACCCAATCAACCACTATCTGCCTACCTTCCTTTATCCTCCGGAGTTGCCCAGGGTTCAAGCATATCTCCTCTCCTTTTCAGCTCCTACATTAACGATCTTCATAATTCAATTCTTCATTGTTCCCATCACCTTTATGCAGATGATTCCCAGATCTACCTATCCTTTTCTCCCTCTGAGTTATTGATAGCATTTGCCAAGATTCAAGAAGACCTTGATCGAATCAGTGCCTGGGCAAATGTAAATGGATTAAAGTTAAATGGTACCAAAACTCAGGTCATTGTCATTGGTTCCAAGCCCATTATTAGATCCCATACTGACTTTCCCATATTACACCTTAATGACCAGCCAATTTCCTTCTACTCCTCTGTTAAAAATCTAAGATTTTTCATAGATCAAACCCTCTCCTGGGAGAACTACCATATTTCTCACATTTCCCGTAGGACAATTTCTACCCTTAAACTATTTCATCGCTTCCGCCATCTCCTACCTCTACAAGACCATACTGAAACCTATCTGGAGCTACGGACTTGAACTGTGGGGAACTGCTAAACATTCGAATATCAAACGCATCCAATCCTTCCAGTCCAAAGTACTTAGAACAATAGTCAATGCCCCATATTATGTCACAAACAAGACCCTACACCATGACCTAAACATCCCATTTGTCCTCGACATCATCCCAACCAGATTCTCAAACTTTCACCAAAACCTTATCCATCATCCAAATCCTCTAGCTCAATCCCTATCCAGCTCCCTTCATCCCTACAATCTTCCACGAAGGTTAAAACGGCAGTGGCCCAGAGATCTCTTGTAAATATGCTTCTGGAGTCCTGGCAATGGCCAGCTTCTCCACTCATGTCCCGAGCGTCTGTGGCTCTAGTGCCCTCTTTCAGTCTCCATTGGCTTCTAATACTAGTGATGAGGCTGGAAAAGTGGCACTGGGATCTCCTGGAGTCTTTGCATTCCACATGTGGGGGAAAAAGCTTGGCTCGGAGATTCTTGGGCGAATGTATATATTGTATATCGGTATGATTGTGATTATAAGTTTCTATTTTATGTTATTATTTTTTTTTTCTTTTATTTACTTTCTTCATCAGTATTATTTATTTACTTTTTATATTTATATTTATTTTTATATTATTTGTATATATTGTTTGAATGAGAACTCTTAGCGCTAATACTTATAGCCCTCCAGCAGTGGCTGATTGTATTATTATTCAATAAATAAATAAAAAAAAAAGGTTGTCAGGCAACTCGCGGTGCTGTGCACACGCTTTAGCCCACCCGGCCCCCTTAAAATATCAACTGGCCTCCAACCTAGCTCCCCAACCTGGATAAGACCAAGAGATTGCAGGCACACAACTGGTGCTCACGGAACGGACAACTTCCTACTACCAAACTTCCGACCACTCGTCTGCACACTATACCAGATGACTAGCCTGAACGACGTCAAGACACACACTGGTGTCGTGCAGCGAGTAGTCGTAAACACATCGACCACTACGACCACCACGGCCGAGCAGTGCAAGCATTCTCGCCGTCCACCCAAAGCGCTGCCAGGGCTCCGACGACGCCCCGTAGTACCAATATGATCGGGAAGCACCTCTTCCCTCATCTCAGAGCACGATTGGTCTCAGGCTCCGCAATCTTACGATCGCTACGACTTTACATCAACTGCCGATGTACAGGAGGATGCCTGCACCTCCGCAGTCGATGAGGGAGGATTCGAACCGAAGGTTCGAGACGATGAACGTCCCCAGAACAAGTGCGAACAGATCTTTCTTCTCTCTTTCAAGGGTACTGAAATCCAGAAAAATCTCCATAAATCTAAAAATAAGGGCGTACAACGCTGTGATTAAGCCAGTTCTGCTGTACGGTTGTGAAACCTTGGCTCTAACCGGCACACTTGAAGCCAGAATTGAGAGATTCGAAAGAACAGTTCTACGTGGGATAGCAGGACCTATATGGGACTAGAACCTTGACACATGGAGGAGAAGGAACAATAAGGAACAGCTGAAAGAAATGGGTCAGTCAATATCTCATGACATTAAGGCAAGGAGGTTAAGATGGGAAGGGCATGTAGCAATCCATCAGTACGCCTTTACACGACAATGAAAGGCAGAGTAGTAGGCAAGAGGCCACGCGGGAAGCCAAAAACCAGATAGATAGATAGGATGAACAAATATGACTGAGCTTCACGCCACAGCAGTACCCCAAGATAGGCAGAGGTGGAGAAGGCTGGTTCAGGCGGCTAAAGATCTACAAGGTCTCTAGAGCCAACCGAAAAAAATAAATATTTTTATAACTTTGGTGTATGGAATTCCCCTTGTTCAAAGTGCGCACCCCTGGATCCACAACTGTATAATATTTAAAAGATAAGATAAATAGTATTATAATTGAGTACCAATGATTTTTAAAACATCTAATTTTGTGCTTCATAAATGTAAGTGTCCAACTTTCAAACGTATTTTGTTAAAATTTTACCATTTAAATCTTTTCAAACTTATTATAGTGTAGTTCAAAACCTAAAGAATATGTATGTACACATTTTAAATTCAAGTAGAAATTTGATCAATATTTCCAGTTTTGCCTCACTCATCCCATCATGGAATGAACCCTGAGTGCTGTTATTTTCATTATTGTAAAGTTAATTTTGTTTGTGAATGAATCAAATACATGAAATTAATAATATATATTAATCCTAAAATAAACTTCCTTATAGTATGTAACAGAAAACAAATCAAGATCTATAAACAACTGTTTTATAAAGTGCAATAAATATCGATCAATCTTTATATACATATACCTTTCAAGCTTCTTTTAGATAATTATAACCATTCATAAATCTAACTTATTGTTGCATTACAATATTGTTAATTGGTATATTATATTTATTTAAAGACACACTTTATTTTCATAAAAACTGAAGTTTGAAATGAGGTATACCTTGAATTTGATATCATCTTAAATTTAAACTCAAAAATTTATTTTATAAAATTTATTTTTCTTTTGCCACCTTAACAAGCCTGCTTCATCTCTGCCTGTCTTGGGCAATTTCTTTCCATTTATCTGTACGCAGCTATATTGCAGATTTGTTGATTCTATCTATCCATCTGCTTTTGGCCTTCCACGTGGTCTTTTGCTTTCTATTGAGGCATTCATTGTTACTTAGAGGCTTCCAAATGGATTGCTACGAGCTACATGCCATGAGATTTTGATTGACCAGTTTCTGTAAGCAGCTCTTTATTGGTCTTCCTTCTCCACGTGTCAATACTCTGATCCAAGATCAATCCGGTTATCATGCGGAGGATTTTCCTCTCAAATCTTTCAACAATTTTTTCTATAGTGCTCGTTAGTATCCAGGTCTCGTAGCCATATATTAGAATTTGCTTTATCATAGCATTGTACACCCTTAATTAGAGACTTCTTGATATTTGAGGGAGGAGACGAAAGCTCTTTTTGCGCTAGTTATATGTCCGTCTATTTCTGCCCGCTGATCATCCTTGAGGTTATTGTGGAGCCGAGTTATTTGAATTTTTCCACTTTTGGGAATGATTTTCCTTTTATGCAGATCCTGTTATTGGGGTGGAATTTTCGTCTTATTATTATATATTTTGTTTTGTCCTCATTTACTTGTAGGCCGATCTGCTCTGTCTTTATAATCAGAATTGTAACGAGTTTCTTAATGTCCTCTTGATTACTTCCAAGGACAGTTATATCATCTGCGAATCCAAGGATTTTATGATTCATTCGGACATGGACCCCTCCATTTTCCTGTAATGTTGTTCTTATAACCTTCTCCAGGGCTAAGTTGAACAACATCGGTGATAGTCGTATCTACCTATCTATCTTAAATTTATCTATTGTTAGGCTTTTTAAAATAGTTTGAAGTTTATTTTTTTAATTTATTTCTTAAAAGCCTTGATTACCTGGGAAGTAATGCACTTAAAAAAATTCACTATGTCCAATGGAAGTGTGGCCATTTTGTTTAAATGTTTTTAAAAAAATAAATAAAAACATGGAAAATATTACAAGAAAGTAATCTGAGAAACATGAGAGATTTAAATGAAGAGATTGTTGAAACATGAGGAATGGTGGACAGGATAGATTTCAAGAAAGAGGCATATGCAGTTAGAAAGGACTTGTCAAACATAGCAGTTCGGCTGAGAGGAATGTAAAAGTCAGAAGAATGAGATTGGGTGGGACTGGATTGGATGGAAGATTTAAATTGCAGGCTCCATGGTACAAAAGATAAATAAAGTCAAGAAAATATATTAACTACAGGCCATTTTAATCCGAAAAATTTATTATTATATGGGAAAAAATTACACAGTTTTTTCAAAATCTAATAGTATTGGATTTATAGCTTTGTAAAAGAAAGATGTTGGATCGAATGATAATGGTTCGACAGTTGCGTTGTTTAATTTAATATTGTATTTCAAAATCACTGATGACAAAAATATTTTCATTTCAAGCAGGGCAAATTTCATACCTGCAACAGACAATCTATTTAAAAACTATTGAAATAATAATAATAAATCTAATGTAAGAATTATTGTTATAGTAATAATAAGCATTAGTGAACTCAGATGTTTAAAACTGATACTACCGTCAATTGTTGTCTACAAATCTCCTTTCCCTTAAACTCCTTCAAAACTTAAATGTACATGTATGTTTATATTTTAGGTGAACTTATATTTTACTATATAAATAAAGGCTGTATTTTTCACCACATTGTTTTTATTTATCCTCCACAGTGTTCTAATCCAATCCTGGACTAAATGAGCATTATTAACTAGATGGCTTGAAAATGGCATCATAGCCAAGACGTAGTCACTGTGGAGGAGAAATAAAAATAATGTGGTGAAAAATACAGCCTTTATTTATAAGTAAATATTTATAAGTGTATGTTTCAAACTTATTAATTTCAAGATAAATCTACTATAAAAGCATCTATCAACAAAGTACTTAGTTTAATAGCTTCTTAATTTTGAAATGAAATGAAAACACCTTTATTATTCTGGGACTAGTGTCCCTTTGGAACAAATTATGAATAAAGAATAAAAATAAACATAATAGTTAACTTAAATTAAATATTTACACAATAACAGGTAAAATAAAATAAAAATACAGGTAATAAAGAGAAATAAAAAAAAATTACAGCTTGGACTCTTTGTGCATTTCATGATCAAGTCCTCAATTAGGTTATTTAATATTATATCTTTAGAAAATTTATTTGAAACAAGATTTGAGAAAAAAATGACCTAAAACTTGAGCATGATTATTTCATAATTAATAAAATAATTACCAAAAAGTTACATTCGCTGTTACAGCTACTTTTTCCCACTGCTGTAGTTTTAGTTTTGAACTCCAACTATATAACTGCTAATTTACAATTACTAGTGGTATGATTCCAACTACCAACTTTCAAGTAGTTATGTTTGTAGTTAATTAAACTATTAATGTAGTTAATTAAAGCTCAACTCTGAGCTCCAATGTTTTATACACAGGCGCAGACTATGGGGGGAGGAGGGGGGGAGAGAGAGAGGGCGAAGAGAATGGTCAATCTCCCCACCCCAATTAAAATTTTGAGGGGGCGAAAATATCATTTCATTCCCCCACCTCCAATAATTCGAGGCCAAAAAAAAAAAAAAATGATATCAATAATATATAAGCTAAATGAATAAATTTAAAAAAATCGACTAGCTAGCTAGCCTAAGGCCTAGTAATAGGTATTGTGTAAACTATTTTATTGATACCTAAATATTACTTTTATTTAAATCGTCATTTATATTCAAATACAATAATTTACAGGGTTTCCTTGTAAGTAGAGGGAAATGTTTAAACAAGTAATAGTAGACCTGTAGAGCTATCATAAACTATATGTAAACAATAGTCCAATTTTCAGCAGAATAGTAGGCAATTAAAGTTTCATTTTTTTAAAAGTAAGTCATGTTTTTTGATGAATAGTAGAATATACAGTAGTTGATGCATAGAAAGTGATAATTAAAATATTAGTTAATATAATTAATTAACCATTACTTCACTATAAACTAGACAACATTTGCTTCAAACGAAAGTAGAGTTTGTTATTGTCTCTATTTAAACAGAGTATTTGAGCAAATTGACTAAGCTATGAGCTGATGCAAAAAAAAAAATCATGAATAATTCACGGTTTTTATTTTCGCCATTCAACTAGGTAAATACAGATATATTTATAAGTGGCCAATTAAACGTTTCCGATCCTCTTATCTACCTGTAAAATAAAGAAGCTTGTTGATTGCTTGAATTATATTCGCGAAATTGTAAATATATCAGGAAACATTTAATTGATCACTTATAAATAAGGACCAATTTCTATAATACAGAGCTAAATAAAAAAAATACGAATTCATTATTATTTTAAATAATAAATATATGGGGCGGGGTGGCCGAATAGGCTAAAGCGTGTGCACTGCACCGCGAGTCGCCTGGCAACCAGATATATGAAGATTTGAAAGACAAGAAAAGTACGAGTTCGCATCCCGGTGCCAGAGGGGATTTTAAATTCCCCGCCCCCACCCTCCGGTCCGGGAAAATCCCGTATAGCCTAAACGGCGAGGTAGGGAAGAACAAAAAAAAAAAAAAAAAAAAAAAAAAAATAATAAATATTTAAAATATCATTATTTCAACATTTTTTTTGTAATAAGTAAAAAGTGTATTTACGAATTTATGTTTATATAATAAATTCCAGATAAAGTGAAAATAAATTAAAGCTTTGCAATAATTTATTGTTGTCATTTTTGCTGAAAACACGGGTACTTTAAGATGACAGGATATCAAAACACCTCATTTTTTTACACAACTTGAGGTGGATTTTAACTTATGAGGTAATATACCCTCCACTTAATTAATATGGACTTAAAGCTTATCAAACAAGAAAATTTTTCTAGAAGTGAGTTTTCTGTAGTACAATTGGAGGGTGAATAATAAAAATCGCAAGTAATTCATGATTTTTTAAAAACAGAACTTATCTTAGTGTATCCGCTTAAAAGTCCTCTTTAAACCATTTTAACAATGGCAAACTCCACTTTTGTTTGAAGTTAATTTTATCTAGTTTAGAGTGAATCAATTTTGAAATAATTATGTTTAAGTTATCGCTTCCTATTAATCAAAAACCATAATTTACTTTAAAAAACACAAAACTTAAATTTTCTACCATTATGGAGAAAATTGGACCATTGTTTACATGAACTTTTTTATAGCTGTTGAGGTCTACTATTACTTGTTAAAATATTTCCCTCTACTTACAGGACACCCCGCATATCAACATATCCTAGGATTTTATGATTCAATCATCCCTCAATTTTCACATGATATTGTTTAATATCAATGACCAAGTGGCGTTGGACTGTGAAAACCGTTGTATTTTTATTTGAAATTGTACACACTAAAAAATCAAAAATATTTTTACTTTTTTAGAGGAAGTTGACAGTAAATAGTTAAAATGTCAACAAAAATGTTGGAAGAAAGCTGTGATATTAGAATCGTAAATCAAATTAGAATTAATAAAATGTGTATGAAATTACAAATTAAGTTCAGCTTTTATTGATATGGTTACCTAGCACAATAGAAGTACAAACTTCATAAAGTTTGTTTGTTTATTAGACTTACCACTTTTATTTCCATGAATGAGGACCAGAAGAGAGAGCTAATCTACAGGTGCATGTCAATTTAACTTTAGGGAGACCACATGACTAAAGAAACACAATATATATATATTTTTTAAATTAAAAATATATTAGTTCTGAGTGTCACCTATACATAATCTTGGTCCAAGCCCAAATGGATAGAAAACTTTTTGAGGCATTTCCCATCTTTCTGGTATGAACTTTAAAGGATCTTCATAAAATCTTGGATCCCTATGAAGACAATAAATTGGTACAGATATAGCAGTGCCAGCTGGAAGAACAGCACCACAAGGAAGCTTGAATGGTTTTTCTGCTACTCGAAACATACCAGTCACAGAAGGATAGAGCCTTAACGTTTCTGAAAATGTTTTTAAAATATTTTAATATCATACTAATATCTAAAAATTATATGATAGCAATTTATACATAATTATGTACGATGATGTAATCACCATTTATAATACCCTCCAAAAAAGTCAATTTTTTTAATGAATCAATTGATCTTCCATGTTCTTTAAAGACTTTTTGAGCTTCAAATCTAGCTTTATTTTGAGCGTCAGGATTTTTAGACAATAAATACAAAGCATATGTTAAAGCTGAGGAAGTTGTTTCAAATCCTGCCAGGATGAATATAAAGAACTGTGCCACCATTAGGTCATCACTGAAATCTAGAGTCATTTAACAATAAAAAGTTAGAATCATAACTTAATAACAACTTTATGGATACAGTATGATAATATAACTCTATCCAGAAATAATTTAAGGCTAAGCATGGAATTGCCAAGCAAACAAGAAAATATTTTTGGAATGACTTAATATAATGCTTATTACAGCATGGATTTTATTAATCTATCTATTTATCTTATATAATTTCACTAATACCTATTTTTTACTGATAAGGATGCTTTTTACATAATTTAACATTACAATCTGTGATATTTGACTTAATTTACTTTTATGGACAGTAATTAGATTTGCCTAAAAAAATTAATTCTTCATCAATGACTGTAAAGCTTTCAATAAAGAATATCTTTATTGATTGAACAGATTCGATATGGAATAATATAAAAAATAAAGGCAAAAAAAAAGATAATGTATAATTGACATACATTATTATTTCAGTTTGCAGATAGTAATTAATTACAAATCTGACATCTATAATAAAACAATTACTAGACAACATAGTTAAAAAGGAGAAACTAAATACAGAGTAAAAAAGAGAAAATATTGGTCTTAAATCATATCTATAGTATCGAATTTCCTACCCTAGAAGATAAAAATCTAAGAAAGCAAGATCTCAGAATTAATATTCAATGTTAATACCATTAGAACGGTTTTTGTCATAGTAATGACTAATATTGCTACAGCTTAAGTACATGTCGATAGGCACAGTAAGATACAATCAGGCTTAACTTTGATTGAATCATAAGGAAAACTTCAGAATTAAGCAACAAGCCATAACTCCGACAGCTAGGGAGGAATATTGCAATGGGTCCCCCAAGCTCTAGTGCAGAGCAATTAGCTTTAATCTTTGAACAGAGTGATAGAATAAATAACACCTATTCATACAAATATATAATGATACTTTACATAGTTTTAAAATAATTAACATAGATTTGTGTATGCATAAGTAATTGGGTTTTCGAGAAATTTAACAGAGTGATTAATTAACCACTCAATATCGTATTTTCTATATTATCAATATAGAAAACATTTAATTTTCTTTATTATTATAATTATACTTTCATGTATAAAATACTATACCTTTCTTAAAATTAAATACACATTGCCAGGTTCTGTCTCCTTTAAGTGCAGCATGAGATCTAAGAAACTGCCAGGAACTCGTGTTGACTTGGCAATTGCATTTCTATAAAATGTTTCGATTTCCTGTGGAACAGTCTTTATACCAATTGAAAGGGCAAAATTAGGAATGAATACCCTTAACAAAACAGCAATACCTGCAAATTGAAATCCAAACCTTAATGTACGAAAAATGGAAGATAATTGAATATCTGAAAATATCATATTTTATTACCTGATAATCCAGATAAACTGAAAACCTTAAGAGAATTTTCAATAAATCCAGTATTGTCCTGAACACAGAAAACATTTTTTGCGATCACATTGCATGTATATTCGTCCATGACTTCTTTTATGTCCACAGATGAGCCAAATGAATTCACGCAGTCAGCAGTACATAACTCAATGCCATTGAAAACTGTTTTCAGTCTAGCAAAATAAAACATTCACATAAGGCACTATTAACTATAATGTATTTCAGGTTTAACATCAATAAACAAAGTCCTTATAACATTTTAAATGTATAATACGTTTTTAATTAATTTCTTTGGCAGAAACCATTGTTACATCTAAATTACAAACTATGAGTACAATAACAAAAAAATGTTAATTACCTAATGTTAGAAAATGCAGGTCGAAGTTTGGCCCTGGTCCACTTCCACAGCTTGCCCTTGAGGAAAAATAAGTTCAAAGATAATGGATCAGACAAATCAGAGCACAACCCTCGGTCTTCAAAGTTTCTGTTTGAAAATAAAATATTAATCAATAACAAGTTTATCAGCCTAGAGGGGAAGAGAAACAAGTTTAATAACATTATACTGTTGTAATTGCTTCTATATATTCCATCTTAAAATCTGAACATGTGTTAATAGTTTAGTAATAGATGTTTTCGACCTATTTTAAAATGTATATCTGGAATTGCCAACAAAAACTCCATTAGTAAGAAAGTAACAATTTATGGGTAAAACAAAAACCTGCAATATTCATTCAATATGCAACAAATTCGAACCCTTCTCTCTCTATATATACTCTGTAAATATAAAAAATGTAAAAAGAAGTAATGAGTGGTACCAAATTATATTTTTTGACTGTGAAAAGAAAAATGTCTAGAATTTCATTGCAGAATTCAATTAAAATCCATTGATCCTGTATTCAATATTATAGTTATATAGACCTTATTGTCAGATTGAAGTAATTAATGCCATCATTAATATCTCTAGAGTCATTCACTGTTTCATAGTCACAACTGGTTACAGATGAATCAGCTTATGCAATAGACTTGATAACTTTTTCCTCCTCTAACTTTGGAATTTCCCCAAAAAAGGATTTTTTTCACTTAAGTGAAAACCTTCTCAAGATGTATTTAGGGTATGTCAAGATGACCAGAGAGAAATTTTACAAAAGATTCACATAGGACCAGATGGTTTTCCATCTCTCAATATAATGATAATGATAATAATTGTTGGAGAATAAATTTTCAATGACTTTGGCAGAATATTTCTAATACTTAGAAGAGTTCAGCAGTCAATTTTAATGTCCTAAAAAACTCTGAAATTAGCTAAGATGAGCAAATTGTAACCAGTGTTACTTCTAATAAAGTACACCTAAGAATTTACAAAAGTGGTAATGTAAGCAATTTTAGTAATTTGTTTTTTTTCTTCTGGTAGGTGGGTGAATTGTTATGATATAAAAAAATTCACCAATATTCTACTTTTTTACTGCGTATACACATAACATAACTTCTTTATTTAATTTTCATGAAAACTATATACATGAATTAGTTAACAAGGCAAGAGGTCCTAATTTACAATATTACATTGGACGAGCTCTCTAATTAGAGAATCTTTAGAATCTAATCGTGCTCTATAATTAGAATCTTTTCCTTAGCATACCAACAATCAGCCAATTTTTATTCTAATATTAAATACTATATAAAAACCTTTTTAAAAATATTTACTTACTTGGCTTCTTCTTTAATCAGGATTTCTACTAGATCTGGATTTCGGATGAGTAATGTAGGTTGTGTACCATTATAAATCCCAATATAGTCTTTTCCTTCACCAAGCTTATAAAGATCCTCAATTGTTTCAAAATAACTTTTCTTTTTAAGAACAACTGGCAGAAGATTACCAACAATTGGTATTCCATGTACTTCAGGAATGCGAAGTTGACTCCATAAACTTTTTTTAGTCAGTTGGAAACACAGCAAAAAGAATAGGGTGAAGAGTAAAAGGGCAGTAATCATGTTTTTCCTAAAAATTATAAATCACAAGAAGTAATTGAGGTATTGATATTGAAAAGGAGGGAAGTGTCAAAAATGATTTTTTACTGAAAAACGAAAATCTTTTGGGAAAGGTATTTAATAATAAAACAATATACATCGTGTGTGCATACATATTATTATTTTATTTTTTAAAATGAAAAAATTCAAAAATCCACGATAAGGAAAAGCCTAAACGTAAGACCAGCAGAGACTATGATAGAGGAAAATCATTTCAGATGGTTTGGTCATGTTACTCAAATGCCAGAGGACCAAGTGATGAGGTTTGCGTTGGAGTTCAAAGGAGGCCTTTGACAGAGGAGATATTGAGTGAAAGAGGAGAAGACAGGTGGCCCAGGATCAGAAATTGTGGATTCGGCTCTAAAAGGCGGCTCTTCACACCGCTCAGCGGTAAAACAGGAAACGATTAAGAAGAAGAAGAAAATTAAAATTAAAAATTTACATTTACTCTTTTTGTAAATAAGGGTCTTCTCTTCACATTGCTAACCTTAAAACAAAACATTTTATCAGTTAAAAAAGAACTTTTCCGAAATTTTGGCTCTTCCCTCTTTTCAGTGATAAAGCCTAAATTTCTTTCAAAAAGTCAAGGTCAGAAATTATAAACACAAACTACACTACCATTTTGTTTTTTAACAAGTAAGACGAAACTTTGATGATATCATAGTTATTTATTATTTAGGCTTTGTTCTTCAGAGAATCAAATATTCTTCTAAGGATGCGTGTTAACACTACCCGGTTTTTACTTTGCTTGAATGACCAATAATCCACAGGCAGATTCAATGAGGAAGAGTTGGAAGTTTTTTATTTATTTCTAACTTACCCTGATGTGATCAATGTTTGCAGCAGTAAGATGTTATTTCTTGAATAATATGTTATTTCTTTTACATATTATTATTTACATATATTCTTTTACAGTGAATTGATCATGTTCATATTTATCCTTGGCCTTTATCTTCTTATACGCTTCTTCCATTTGGTGGCCTTGCAGTAGCGAGTCTTCTTCGTCAAAGCTTAAAGTGGGCCAGGCCAACGGAAGTTTTCTATCCAAGCACAAATTCATAGTAATCTGAATGTTTTTTTCTGATACTAGCTGAGAAACAGAGTCCGATTTCTCTCAGATGTTTAGGCCTTAGTGCCTCAAGACATTGGGATTCAAGATGATGGGCTCAGTAATATCTGAGACTCTACAGCTATTCAATGAGGGTCCATTATGATAGCCAGAGTTCTGAGATTTACCTGCAGGCGTCTATCTTGTATATATATCTCATTTTATTGTAGTTTAAACTGATGAACATCTCCAGTTCTTAGAATTTTCATACCATGATTTGATGTAGTTACAATTTAATTATTGTATTTATTTTTTTATTTATTCAGAAATATTACAATCTGTCACAATTGAGGACATTTATGATAGTGATCACATTCAGTGATAGTGATCAGTGAAAGCACATTCACACTTTATTTACACTAAATAAAAATAAATAATACAGAAACTAAAAATAATAAAAGTAAATGTATATAAACAAAACAACTAAACTAATCAAAATAACAACTAAAACACATGCATACTATACAATATTTACATAATCCATTCACTCAGGAGAACTCTGAGCCAAGCCTTTCTCTCCACTCGTGGAAGGAAAAGCAGGACTCAAGGAGATCCCAGCGCCTCACACTCAGCCGCATTACTGGTATGATGCTGAGGAGAGACACTATAATCACACATACTTGGCTTGAGTGGAGGATCTGGCCATTGCCAAAACTCCAATATATGCTTATTCATAGGTCTCAGAGCCACTACCGCTTCAATCTTCAAGGAGGATTGTAAGGATGGGTGGTGCTGGATAGTGATTGTGCAAGGGGATTTGGATGATATGTAAGATTCTAGTGAAATTTGGAGAATTTTTCTGGGATGAGGTCTAAGACAAATGGAATATTAAGGTCATGGTGTAGCGTTTTTTAGTTACACAGAATGGATGATCAACTATTGTTCGAAGGACTTTAAATTGAAAGGATTGGATGTATTTGATGTTAGAAAATTTTGCTGTCCCCCATAGTTCCGTATGTCCATATAGGTTTCAGGATTGTCTTGTAGATAAGTAATTTGTTTTCAATAGAAAGTTTAAATTTTCTATTTAGTAGTCTGTATAGCTGGCCGGTTGAGTTAATGTCCTAATGAGCTAAATCTAATATGTGGGTTCCATGTTAGTCTTCGGCCTAAATGAAAGCCAAGATACCAGACTGTGTCAGAGAAAGAATGCTGAATTGAATTAATGTGTACTGGTGGACAGGAACTGCGTCAGAGTGTAAAGGTAATATGTTGGCATTTAGATTCATTTACTTTAATTCACCAATTATTACACCAGTTCTCAATCAAGGAGAGGTGCCTTTGGAGATTTAAGGATGCTATTTCCGGATCAGAGTAGGATGATACGATTGCAGTGTCGTCAGCGAATTTTGCAAGGAAGGTATCGGGATGAACAGGGATTGAGTGCAGACAGCCCTCAAAAATGAAAAAAAAAATGTGCCCCCTAAAAATTTCCGTCATGAAACACCCTTCTGGGCATCCCTGCTCCTTGCTTTAAAAGAGAGATATTGTTCAGGAAACTATTTTTTGTATGAGAACATAATTCAGCGTATAACCTCTTTGCAATATTATCGAAATGTGTAGTAGGCATCGTTTTTAAAAAATTAAAATGTAAGTTTTCAACATCAACACTAATAAGGACAAAAAAAAAAGCTCAAATCAAAAAGTTTTATTTTTAGAATTAACAATATTAATGAAAAATTGTGTGCCGTGATACTACATATTTTCCTCGAATGGATCACATTACCGCATTGGGTATTCTACCGTGGGTGGCTGGTATTAGAATCAGAAGTCCCCAGGAGGGGGTTTCATGACGCAAGTCGCGCCATAAAAATGTATGAGGGGGCACTTTTATACTAGGTTTTCATTTTTTTGAGGTGGAGAAGGGGCAAATTTCGACGGGATTGCCTTCGGCCTTGGGTGAGATTGACACCCCCCGTTAGGATCACAAGCAGATCTACGGGGAAGAGATGGAGGTGGTGGCTTTCGAGTTAGAGCCTCCCGAAAATAGTAAAATGTAACCATATTTTATGGAAAAAAATTATCTCTTAAAGTATTATTGCTCGTGTAATTGCATTTAATAGATATTCAAGAATCACTTAGACACCATTTAATATTGGTAGTAAGTATTTTTTTTTTCAATGTAATTATCGTTATATATATACATATATGTATTCTATATTCGTTATATATATAGAGCGTAGTCCGTTGGACTTGCTGGCCTGGTGTGACCGGCTATACCTTGCTAGCGGGTGTGACGTAGGACTGAACGCCCTCCTCATAAAATATTTTTCTTTATAAATGAGAAGATGTAAAATATTATAATGGAGCGTAGGAAAAAAAAGTAAATCCAGTAAGGATGTACTTGACAAAAACACTAAATAAAGTTAGGATCCCTAATTATTTATCCAAAAAGTTTGAAGTTCGTTCGGGTTTAAAACAAAATTATTCCATTCCAACTGTCTTATTTAATTCAGCACCAGAAAATCCCATTAAAGAGTTGATATGTACCGGAAAGGTTTTAATTTCGGTAGAAAAATATGTAGATGATTCTGTTAAATGAAGACAATATATACAACAAGAATATACAAAACGTAATACAATGAAGATGAAAGCTAAAGAATTAGGGTTTAAAATAAATACGTTTAAAATAAAATATATGGTTAGATGTAGAAATGGCGTCAATTTCGTATCTATTGTGGGGTAATATATATACTATATTTTTGTACTAAATCATCCGCTTAGTTTCTAATGATAATATTAATAGTACCATGATTAGGTTTGGTTTATTTTATCTTTCATTTTTAAGAATACGCTAAACATTTATAGTGTACGAAAGAGAAAAAAATAAAACAGTGGTATATACGCGTATACTGCTAAAATGTTAACAGTTATCTAGGAAGAACCGAAATGTATCTAACATTTGTTTATTTAAGTAGTAGGCGGAGCTTTCTCTATCTCACTCAAGATTCGACAAAAATAGTAATATCCTCACCTGAATAAATGGTCGAAATCCAATGAATCATCACAAAACTTTAAAGACGACTTCAGTAACGAGAGTATTACGGAGCTGACGAATCTTATGTTATAAAAGTCACTTAGAGAAATCTATCTCAGATTAATGAAAAAGGCCTCACCCACCAATTGCTGACCTCGCCTTATCAATTATGACATTTAGCCAATAATATCAAACAGCTTATCAGGAACTGACATATCCGAAAATCATATTTTATTTTTTTGTTTATAACAATTAATTCCTATTTACAATATAATATACAGTTTGAACATGGTACCTTCGCGGATAAATTGCTAATAAAACGGTGGGTTTATTATGCAACGTTTCTGGCCATCCGATTTTCTGAAGTATGTAAGTGGTATCAAAAACAGCATTTATGTATATTTATTAACCGCCTACCACAGGCGTATCTACGGGTGAGGGGGGCTTCCCGGCTTAAGCCCCCATCAATGGTAAAATATATAAAAAATAAATAGTGTTCTGTTCCACCTTTACGGCGAGTTAAAGTGACTCTTTCCTGCTTTCCGCCGATAATAATTCCTAGGAAAATAAAATAATTCCTAGGATTTTATCTATTCCAAACGATCAACTCCCAGCACCCTTCCTACATCTATGCAATCCAAACCCGTAGGCCATTCCCAGAATACAGGATCCCATGTTTCCGACCTTTATACCCCTTTCCATAGATCTAAAACATTTGAACATTCCTTTATTGCCCGATCAATTGCCTTCTGGAATCCCTTACCATCTGAAATCCGCCATGCTTCTTCCTAGTCCTCATTCAAATATCTTCTTTGCCAATTCCTATTCACATCCCAAAATGACGCTCTACAATCATAAAATAAATTCTATAAATCGAAGTAAATATTTCTTTAAATTAGTTAAGTTTTAGTTTCCAGAATCAATTCATTATGTTTATAACGTTCTGTTTTTTATTTTTCCTGATTTATGCTTTTCTTTTCATTTCAATTATGTTTTTTTCTAAAAGTTTTTACTTTTTGTTGTTTATATATTGTCACTGAAGATATTGTATATATTGTTTAATTCGTATTAATGTAGTTTTAGGCCAAATATGTTTTTTTTTTGTTCATAATTGTTATTCTTAAGGGACCTTGTCCCAGAATGAAGTTTATTTTCTATCTATCTAAACTGATCATAACAAAATTGATCCAATTTCAATATCCATTCCTTGGAAATTAATCATTCATAACAAAACATTAACTGATAGTTGCAAATAGTTAATTTCATTTCATGGTATGTCCTTCTTCATATTTATTTTGTATTTAAAAAATTAGGATCATAAAAAATACTTATCCTAAATTCAATTAATCGATTCGCATATTTTCTTATCACCTTCTCTTGCATGACCTTGTAATAAATTCCAAAGCCTGTTTATTTACATTGTTAAATTCCACTTGTGTTTAATGAAGGTAAGTGTGTAATTGTACATTCTTTAACAGAGGTAATAGGAAAATTATTATCTATTTGATGATTAATTGAATTAAATGGCACCGTTACTTGGATCTTGGATATCACGTTTGAATAGATTTATCAAAGCCTGAAACATCACCAGAAATTTGTAATTAATGTTTAACAAAACTGTTCTATATTTCTACTGATTTTACGATGTGTATTCATTCTACACAAACTGTCTGTTTGATGTGTCATCCTGTATTGTTGGTAATTAGAGCACTAACATGGCAAAACCAGGGGTTAGGTTATCATGTCACTATTATTATTTTAAACAAACCCCATTCATGGAAAGTAAGAAATGCAAGCTAGGAAGTTTTAAAATATGAAAGGAATATAGCTCAGATTACACCAAAACCCTAATCTATTAATTATATATATTTTTAAAAGTATTATATTACAATTTGTGACTAAGGAGCCATATTGTAATATTTCTTGGCGACTTATATTTATTCCCATTAATCAATAATTGGATTAAAAATAAAAAGTTAGATCGAGTTTTTGACCTCCAATGGAATGTACATTTTAATTTTTGATCCCCACTACCAAATGTATAGCGGCATTTTATTCACGGAGGAAGTAAGTATATTTTTTTTACAGAATCGAAAGTTTCCATTTTCGTTTCAGACATCGAGAAACAAATTTGGTTTCGTTTCTGTTTCGTTATAGCTTCTCGTCAAATCTATCTGATTGACATCATACCCACTATAGTTAATCAAATTTTGCGGAATTTTTTAGGTTTTCCACAGATTGGTCCTGAATAGTTTCAAATATTTTAATTTCATATATCTTTCAAAGTAGATCTGAAGGCAGTGATTTTTGGAATTGAACCCTAGGTTTTATTAAGACTCTTATGACAAAAAGTCTTATGTGTTATGAAACTGAAATTACATGGTTATATACCTGAAATTTTACAGATATATTTTTATCAAAATCGACTAACCGGAATTGGCACTTTATCTTATAGATTTTAAATTTTTTCTCGAAAACGACTTTAATGACATTTAATATGACTTCAAGAATCACTTAAACACCATTTCATATAGGTAGAGATCGTTCTCTCTTTTTTTAAAAAAGTAATTATTGTTATTTATATGAAAAAAAAATCTTTCGGGCTGAAGCCCTCTCCAAAAAAATTAAATTCTGGAGTCGCTAGTGACCTCATATAAATAGTCTGACAGAGTTTAAAAGTCGGCGTTCCATAACCTAAACGCCTTCAAATCCGGTCTATTCAATCATTTCCTTTCCATCTAATTCCCAAAACAAATTATAAATAGGTATACCTATAAATATGTATATATTTTATACCGCGGTACAGACCTATTTATATAAAATTATTTTCACACCTCTAAAACTTCGTGGTTGGCTTCATTTTATCGTAATCTACAAAATTTGTATCTATGAAAATTCTCAAAAGTGAGGCGTTTTCAGATTAAATTCTTCGATTTAACGAGGTAATAAAAAACTCAAGAATACCCATTTGATTCCCACTTGAATCGTAAGACAATTTGAACAAACAATGGAGAAAAAATGTGGCCTACAAAAATATTGGACCATTAGGCCTAAATAATCGGATGGAGGTCACGCCCAACGGCCCAATATTTTGTAGCCTTTTTATCTCAATTTTGTGTTAGCATTATTTCACGATTTAAGTGGAAAGCAAATAGGTGTTCATGAATTTTTAGTACTTTATCGAATTGCCGTAAAAGTTTATCGATCTCTAGATTGATTGAAATCGCTCCCTTTCCAAGAATTTTCTTAAATAAAAAAGTTGTAGGTTACTATAATTATATTTTCCTCTTTCCTTGCCTTTCGGCAATACAGATTTAAGTCATCATCACTAATATCATCAAGAATGCTGCCGTTTTTAATTATTATTATTTTACGTTTCATTCATTTTTCATTAAATTATTAATTTCAGAAATTGACATTATTTATATTTATTAATATAAATAAAAATTTAAGTTAAAAAGTTAATCTTTTTTATTAAGCTTGGAAGCCCTAAAGCCTCTAAAGAAACTTGTCTTGGAATAAATAAAGACTATATGATTATTATTATTATTAAATTACCTCTAGCTAGCACGGTAATTTAATGGTAAGTTTCAATGAGTTACCGCCTCTCGTGATTTTTGAAAATGGGTAATTAACAATGGGAGAAACATTTTCAAGGAAATAATAATAGTAAATAAATAGATTTAAAACAGAAATAAATTTACAATACGTCGTTGAAAGGCATATTAGTAAGGCATATTATTAATAGGCATAGCAATTTTAGAAAATTTGACACCTAACGTATTATGTCATATGACGTAATGGAATGAGGCAAAAAAAAAATATGAATGATAATTTTTTAAAACTAATATTATTTAAAGAAACCTAGAAGTTTCCATAGAAACTGGAGAAAACTTACAATTATTTTTAAGTTTATCAAACCAAAAATATATATACCCATCGAACTACCATTGTGAAATTACAGAAAACTATTTTATCGTGTTTTTGTGCGAAAATATGTGAAGAATGAAGTAATTCACTAATAACTTTGGCACCGATAATAGTTTTAAATAATTAAATATTAACTGGACGTCATTGGCTATTAAAGAACTAACCAACAAAATATGCAAAAAATGAGTTAGATGTGGTTTTAGAGACAAGAATATAATATACTTTATTAAAAGGCCATTTAACTTTGATCTCAATTAACTCAAAACTTGTAATGTGGATTGATTTCCTTTAAAAAAAACTAGCTTAAGCAGACATTTAATTATTTAAATAGTGTGTGTGTGATAAATATAACTTGTATGATTTTCACACCGAACCCGATTTATTTACATGAATGTGGTTAAAACTTTCAACAAACAATTCTGGTCATTTGTAATATTTTTTCAACTAGTCTTTATTTATTTAATAAAAATTTATAATGCTACATTAGAAGCCTTTAATTTTATTTAAAAAAAAATTTTTTGTACTTACCAGCATAAAAGTTAACCAAGGAGGCACAAGATCTTGAAGAATCAATTGACTGAGCAGATAATACATAATGTGATCCCTATCGAAGCTGATAACGTTCCAACAGGTGGCTGCAAACACCTGTTCGACAAGCACTGGTTCTTGAAATACAGTGGAGCGATATTTGCCTAATGGGATGCTTGAATTAATGCTTGTGTCCTCTATGAAACCTCCCACTGTGCTCTGAACCAGGACTCTCAACTGATTAGTCCTCGGAAGGATCTAGAGATAGTTTTTCTGCTGATGAAGTATCAGGGTGACCACAGAATTACTTTGCCTATGAGAGAAATTCGAATAGAAACATAGTTATTCACCTGTACTGATTCTAATAAGTATATTTTAAAAAGTCATCTATACCTTTCCGATTCCCCTGAGTCCAAAAATCATATTTTTAGCCATTGTTCTGTCTATCTGTCTATCTGTTTTTTAAAGGTAACGAAATTCCCTACAAAACTATATAAAAATCGTTCATTTCGGACAACTATTAACCAAGTTACAGCTATTCAATTTCGTATGAAGAATACGGGTCTAAGCGGTGAATAAGAGAAAAAAAAGGTAAGAAAATCTGTTTCCGCATCACACAAGTTTTCTCTCGACTTTTAACAGAAATTATTGTTTGACAAAATTGGGCTAAGGTAAAAAAGTTTTTGATTAACAAAATTAGAGTGTGTTGAATTTTTTACGCTGATCTTCCACAAGCCGGTTTACATTGTTTTAGTTTATTTAAGAAATCGTACACTTTTTAGGAAAATAAATCTAATTCAATTTATTTTTTGTTTCTTAATGGACATATTTAAAGATATAAAAATTTTCTGAAATAGGTAGAAAAGCCGTGTGAGTGGACACACCAGATTTTTAACCGTTTAGCCTGTTTTTTTTTTAAAGGAAGTGAAATTCCCTACAAAACTCTATAAAAATCGTTCATTTCGGACAATATTTAACGAATTTTTAATTTCTAAGGCTATTCAATTTCCAATGTAAGATTACGGGTACGTATCCTGGTGTCAGAATGGGTGAATGAGAGAAAAAATATAACTTAATGAAAGTACGAAAATCTGTTGCCTGCATCACGCAAGCTTCACTATTACCTCTAATTTTAACAGAAATTATTGTTTGACACAATTAGGCTATGGCAAAAAGTTTTTGATCAATAATATTAGAGGGTATTGAAATTTTTATTACTGATCTACCTTAAGCCGGTTTACATTACTGTAATAAAAAACAAGGACTCCTTGCCTACGTTCTAAGGGCCACAGTGACTTCCTCATCAAGTCTGAAGGGCCTTAGACGCTATTTCAGAAAATAATTAATCTAGTATTTTCTTGATTCGATCTTAAAACACTGTAGGTTGTCTATTTGACTTTCGACTAAACCTTGTAACAGTTGATGGTTTTAGGATATAAGTACCTCACTAGGCATTTACTAGGTACTTATTTTAATAATATACGATGCAAAGTTTTTATTTTATAAATATATTTTTTTGTATACCTGCGTCTTGTTATAAGAATGTTACTCGTAGACAAAGATATATTGACCCCGAACATTAATCGCTGTTATCTGACCTCGTCAACGGTCATCCTTGCTCATCCAAAATATGACTGCATGCCTTGACACGATGAGAATTACAATACTTCTCTTTGGTTCGCAGAAATAAACTTACATATGGAATATTAAGGCCACTATGGATAATTTTATTTGTGACAAAGTAAGAAGCATTGAGGATTTTGGATTGAAAAGATTAGATATGAAAGTAATTTCATAGTTCAGTGTAGTCCCAAAGTTCAAGTCCGTAAGTCCAAACAGGCCTTATTACAGTAAATGATTCATTCATAGTTAATTGGAAGTTTAGAGCGTTTGTCTGGTAAGTGTTAAAGTAGCCGGAAAAGTATAGAAATCCTAAATAGCAGATGGAGTCCTATATAGCGAATCTGTTAAATCGGGATAAGTGGGGTATTATTAACGGATAGCATAGGGTAGGAAGTCATAGGTTTAGGGCAAAGAGTACATGAACCTGAACCTCTTCCACATACTATCTCAATCGAGATATTTCAGCATAGATTTTCTTTGCGAATATTCTAATAATATAATTAATGCGGTTAGTACATTACATTTACGTTTATGTCTCATTGGTGGCGTAAACGATTTATGGATTCCGTGCGTAATAAATTACGCAATATACGTTATTCAAGGATAAGTATTTAACTTAACTGTTCAATAACCATCTACATCGGACTTACTAGACACACCTCCACCTTAAACAAAAGATCATATCCCAAGATGTCAAAATTGTCAACAGTAATTAACTATAAAACATATTTTGCAAGAGTGTCCTTTTTACACCGCAAGGTTAAAAAATCTCGGAATACCCCAGAATACATCAGCATCTCAAGTTATCAAGTTCCTGGATAGTGAAAGACTTTAAAAACATATATGACAAGTTTATAACTAATGACCCAGTGCAGATTTATTATTATATATTTATTTTAATTTTAAAAGTTCATTTGTTTATTAATTTCAATTCATTTATTGCTACATTTTTAAAGTTTATCTATTTATCTATTCTATCTTATTATCTATAAGTGTCTATTATTATCTTTATTTATTTATTTTATTCTATTAATCCTTTTATTTATTTTTATTTTTTGTATCAAAAATCTAAACAGTATAAAAGTAGTTTTATTTAGTTGATCGGGCGCTGATGACCTGGATGTTTTGGGCCTAGACATCCAAACAAACTAACAATAACCAACTAGAACACTTGATAAAATTGTTTCACGTTCAGACAACTTACAAATGAACTTAAAGGAACTTACAAAAAATTACTTGATAAAGATAGAAAATATATATAATTATAAAATCGCTGGTCTTGTTACGTAAGTATATCAACGTAATTTATTGACTTTGGTGTTGACTCAATTTTACCTGATCTTATGTAAAAATATATTTTATTTTTAGATCAGCAACTATAATTATTGTTTTTCTAACAATAATCAAAGTTTTTAGAAAAAAAATTACATATATCGGATCCATATTTTTCAAAAATGTCCAAATAGTAATTAGATATATTTAAAAAAAAATTAACATATCGGAAATCGTTAATTTCCATCTTTAATGTATAGATTATTTTTCTGTATAATTTATTTTATTTATTGTACGTAGAGTGTGAATGTGATCTCTGAACACTATTATAAATGTCCTTTGAGACAGATTGTAATATTTTTCAATAAATAAGTTAAATAAAAATAAAATGTGTAGGATTATAGTTAACATTGAATTGATGTTTTAGATTGGTAATAGATTTTATAGCAACGAATGAGGGAGTTACAATGACAGTAGAGTACCTTATTATCGCTGTTTGTTCAGAAAGAACATCTAAATCTACTTCAATAGTAGCCTCGGCTTTAGGAATTTGGCATCCTCGAGCATTCCTCTCTCTCTTCCAAAAAAAAAAATAATATTCGATAATTTGTATAAGTTGTTGCATATTAATGTATATTTCAATATATTCCTAATTCAGTTGCTTTATTAATAGACTAGAACAAATTTGTATGAAATATTTTTTTTTTGTATTCTTTTTAAATGTCCAATGGGCAAGGATCCCTCGATATCAGGACATCTGGGCGTGTGCCCCGTTATTAACGTAAATAATATATTATTAAAATAAATTTACAAAATATTAAATTTTTATAAATCAAAATTGAATTACTCTACTGTCATTCAAATCTCCTCGGTTAAATATTTATTTATTGCTTGAATCACCAAAGTGTCAATTTAATAAAGTTTTTTAATCAATAAAAAATAACTTATTATTAAGAACTTGATAAAATAATCGATCTAATAACCAAAATAAGAGTGAAAGAAGATCAATGTTGAATGATTTAATAAAAACATAAAAGTAATAACATATATTGTTTAAAAAAAAATAAGATAAAAGAGAATTAAATTGTCCAACATATATAACACTATTTTCCTTGAAAATGAATAAAAAATGATCCTTAATATAGGCCTAAATATTTTTTTCATCATTAGTAATTTGCTAAGAAATATAGACAGTAAGATTACTTCAGGTGATGTAAGACTTTCCAAAAATCAAAAACCAAAACAAAGGTTATCAGCTTTGCAGCAGAACTGAAAAGATTAATGAATAGCTGCGTAAGATTTGTTATTGGTGCCCCGAGGTACTCCCATGTCTCTCACCACTACACTGAGTTAAGGTGGCTCTTCCCCTCCTTCCGAAGACAATACTTTCTAGGTACGTTCCTCTACCAAATCATCAACAACCATCGTCCTTCTTAGGCCTACAACCTTCTCCAGTTCAAATCCTCAGTCCATTCCCTGTCCACAAGATCTCGACCTTCTGACCTTTACATGCCTTCTCACAGATCTGCCTCATTCCAAAATTCCTTTATTGTTCGCTCTGTCAATTTCTGGAATTCCCTCCCTATCAAAATTCGACATTCCCCCTCCATATCCACATTCAAATCCCTCCTATTCCAATTCCTATCACAAAAACAGTCAGATACTTGCTAACCATTCGAGCGGATTTTAATAGAGAATTTGATACATTTTTATTTTTTAATTCTTTATTTTTTTCGGAAAAGTGTATACTGGTCTATAAGAGCAAATAGCTTTAAGTTTCTTGTCATAGTATTAATGGTTTTGTATATAGTTTAGTTTGTTTTGTATATAGAATTTTTATCTTATATTTTTTTTACATTATTTCTTTTTTTCGATTTATTTTATTTTGGCCAGATGTAATATTTTAATTTTGTTCTATTTTGTTATTCTCAAGGGACTGTGTCCCAGAATAAAGTTATTTTACTATTAAGTAACGTGTGGGAAATATTTAGAACAACATATCTTTGCAATTGCAAATTGTCCGATTTAAAAGATTCTTTTTTTAGGAATATTGTAAACTTTTAAATTTAAAGACGTTTGAAACACCTGATTATAAAAATCACAAAAGATTTTCTACTTTTTGAGTTATTCCAAATAATTAATTTAATTGCCCCCAAAAAAAGTCACCACGTCCGATGACATTGTTTCCAGTCTCTCTCCGTTGAAGTATGTTATATTAATATATTTTATTTCATGTTATATTAAAGTTAATTGCATGGAAGTATTTTAACCATTGTAACTTAGCCAAGTTTTATCGAAATCGATTCATACGTTTAAGCGCTACAGTCTGCACGGAACAGGTTTTTCGGCAGCCATTTTGAAAGGATAAGGCGGATGGTAATGCCGAATTCTCAGGTGCCTTTTATAGCCTCAGAGATA